AACGCCGTAAGATCATTCAGGCGTTGCCATATCTCCTTGAATAAAAAACGAATTTACTCCGAAAATTCTGATTATTTTTCCTCCAATTTTACAAAGCATTTTGTTCACAATTGAATCTAAAATATCTGAAAATTTCAAGGATAAATATGCTAAAATCTCTTAAAAAATACGTGTTTTACCCAGGGAAATTTGGCAACTCTCGAAGGTTCATACGGCGTTCTTCCTTAGCACGGCGGAGTAGTGAAGCGCATTTTCGTCCTGGATCGGGTTCGTTGAGATGACTCGATCACTCGCTTTTGTTTTTATTTTAAACTAATCCCGAGGTTTTGGTGACTCATCAGTCCGTCGACTGATACCATTAACTCCTCTGGAAATCTATCAGATGGAACAACGACGACGCAGACGCCCAAAAAAAACGCGGATTTCTCGAGAGTTCGTTTTTTAATCCCCGTTTTATTAGTGTTTTCAGAGGGAGCGTTTTTCATCACTTAATGGAAGTATTATTGCTAAACGGAACTGAGTATAGACGAGTGGGAATGATCGGGAGTGCTCTAAAAAACTGCATAAGAAAGAATGTAAACCTGGGCGTGATTCCCCTTGGGTAAATGGAAAAGCGGAATTTTACATTCTAAACGAACTGAGCGCCAACTGTATGCGGCACTCAAGCTGTCGTGCCTGGGCCGGATTAAGGGGGTAGCCACATGGGCCGCGGCCCATGTCGACAAATCTAGGGGGCGGCAAATTTTGCAAGTTTTTTAAATGTAGGTATAAAAAAAATCGGATTTAGGAAAAAAAAAAAATAATACAAACGAGAAAAGGCTACAAATCTCTCATTTCCTGAGAGAATAGTAATTTCTAATTTTGTCGTCTTTCAGTCATACAAGAGACAGCACCTTTAATTAGTCGAGTTAAGAGAGAAACCAAACACACAATTTGGCCTGGAACGGCGCGACTTAGGGAGAAATGATGACGAGGACTTAAGATGAAAAGGAGAAGCCCTCGGCGCGGCGATCGGCATGTAACACATATTAGCGCCTACAAGGCTGCACGAATACTACACGCATTGCATCAAATACAGTGCGGTTATTGCGGTCAGCGTGAAACGGATAGCGCCTACAAGAATGCATGAATACTTCACGCATTGCGCCACACACAGTGCAAGGAACATTATGGAGCACAACATGAACGCAGGAAAAATATGAATATTTGCATTTGAAATTTCCAGGAACTCTGGGTGAAATTGCGAACAAAATTTTCTAAAAAATTGGAAGAAAAATATCCATAAGTAAGTCTGCCAGGAAATTCGTGTTTTATCGAAGAAAATTTCGCAACGCTTCAAGGTCCATACTCCGTTCTTCCTTAGCACGGCAGCATGAGCCGTGGGCGTGACAAAAGAGCGTTGTGGACAGGGCTCATGAGTTTGAGAGCGTAGGCGCTCCCTTCGTCGCCGCTGACGTCACTGGCGCTCTATACTACCGTGCTAAGGAAAAACGCCGTATGATCCTCAAGACGTTGCCAAATTTCCCTCGACAAATCACTAATTTTCAGGAAAATTTTTGAATCTTTGTCTGCCAATTTCGCAGATAATTTTGTTTGTAATTCGATCTAAAACGCCTGAAAATTTCAAGGAAAAATATTCATAATTTTCCTAAAAAATAAACATTATATCGAGGGAAATTTGGCAACTCTTGAATGTTTATACGGCGTTCTTCCTTAACACGGCAGTGTACTCATTCATTTTTACAGCCCTCAACTCATGAGCACACCCCTTCTTTCCCACCAGTCTCTGGTTCCGTTTAGCAAAAAAACGTCTAAATTTGACGTTGATTTCATTTGAATCAGTGAGAATGAAAACACACCAACTCGGAAAAATGAAAGTAATCAAGACACACACAAAGCTGCACAGCAGATGAGGAAATTAGTCGAACGAAAGATTTTGGTGCCGAAATACAAGCTTTTAAGGACATTTTAAAGGTCCAAGGTGGAGCAGATGCGCTAACTTCAATTACCTTTATAAAGATTGGCCGTCTGTATTGAAAATCGAGCATTTTCGAGTTACCAAGTTGGTATGTGTTTTCGATCTCACTGATTCATTTGTGGTGGCTGTGAAACAGCCGAAAACTTTATATTACCAGCGTCATTTACCATCCGAAAGCGCTCCTCTGACTGCGCAAAGAGAGAATCTTTCGTGTGCGGGTCTCAAGTAAAAATACGTAGTTGCTCGCAACTAGCGAGTGAGTGAGAAGCGTATAAAGTCACTCCTCGCCTGAGGACATGCAAGTTCGCTCACAATCGCGCCGGAGAGCGATCTGCAGAAAGTGAATAGCTACAATACTTCCCATTGTGCAAAGGTTTTTCAATCCTTTATATCCTTTAATTAATCAGCCGCAGACCTTGCGACTCGCGCACTGACCACTGTCCCGCCTGGACATTGACCGAGGAGAACCCTGAGGCTGCCTTACGAAATTCGGTGTCCGAGTGTCTCCTGTAGTGGTTGTGTCTCTGTCCGGAGTCCGGGCCCTAGAGGCGTTTCCGCCTAGCTTACACATTAATCCTTCCATTAACTCTGTAGCCTGTTCATATTTCATAAGTATAAAAAAATGGATTTAACCACGGACGCGGTTAAATTAACATAGTTCTTTTCATAAAATCTACATTGAATTATTGCTGTCACTATTTTAGCAGTTTAATAGTTAAATCAGCAATTTCATTTTTTCCGTGATAGGATATAACTTCCATAAAGAAAAACTTGCCACTCCGACCTGTGGGCTGATCATTGAAATTGATAGACAAAGTCGTAGACAAAAAAAAGACATAGAAGTATGAAACGATCCTATTGGTTGAAATGGGTGGTTCCTACAGACTAAGGGAGAAGAAGATGGATTAGCTATAGGGTCTCTCGTGGACTGCCGAAAGTTAGTCTATTACCAACCTCCTTTGTCTATTGTGACCACCCGCTTCCACCAATAGGATCCCTCTATATCCCTTTTGTCTTCTAATTATATAGCTATTTGTCTATCGATTTCAATAATCGGCCCTTTGTAGGGGGTTTCTTTTTGGCTTATGACGTGCGACCTTGCCAGGAACTTCATAGAAATGTCCAGGATGTCTGATTGCTAGCCGTTTGTGAAGTGAAAGCTTTAAAAAAAGGTCGTCTCCTCTGAATCTGCCACAGCGGTTCCGTAATTTTCGGCCTCCAAATATGTACCGCTTTGAGCCGCGGCGTGTGTGTCCTACCCTCCCCCCCACCTCATATTCAGGCGTGTCTATCTAAATTACCCTCCCACGGGAATATGTTCACGTCTGCAGGGCTACACTTATAGAGATGCTACTCGGAAGCGGTGAATTCACCTCAATTCGCATTCCAATCAGGTTTTTGCGTTTATTAGCTATTTTCTATGCTAATCTGAAAATGCGATATACTTATTGATCGGGGTCGTATCCAATCCGTATCGAGGTGAATACTGTCGTGCTAAGGAAGAACGCCGTATGAGCCTTCAGGCGTTGCCAAATTTCCTTCGACAAATCACTAGTTTTCAGGAAAATTTGTGTACATTTTTTCTCCGATTTTTCAGAGGATTTTGTTCGTAATTTCGCCTAAAGATCCTGAAAATTTCAAGGAAAAATATTCATGACTTTCTTCAAAAATAACTGTTTTCTGAGAGGAAATTTGGCAACTCTCGGATGTTCATACGGCGTTCTTCCTTAGCACGGCAGAATAGTCAGGCGTGTTGCGACAACCAAGTTTTCACACGAGTGTTTTCAACGCGCCTCGCCGCGGCATCCCTCGATGAAGATCGCGGAATACGCATTCAATCTGCATTGCAAGGCCTGTACGAACGTGGCTATTCGCAATGACAGCCACGGGCAGCAGAGGTGGATTGTCGAGTTCAACTGTATGGGACCGTTTGGAAACGGAATCGCCCGATGCCAAACGGTTTGTGATGTTCGACTCCTTTTGAATCACTCGATGACTTGCGTGTTTGTATTTGCACACCCAACATTGCTACCCACCGCACAACGCTCTCCAGAGGTCAATAGGACCGTTGAGTAGTGTTTAGTAAACAGGAGAACCAAGCTGTGTTGGGTAAGTTTACTTCGACATCGCGGTTCTAATTTGACTTTGCTATGGTCTCAGCAGTGGACGCATCAGGTACGAGGAACGATGCGACGTGACGCGCGGGATATGACGCCGCACAGTGGTACAAAATAATAGAAGAAGTCGAATTTTTGGCTAAAGTTTCAAATTTTGATGTGTATATAGTCACAAATTCAATATCAAAGGATGTTTCTAAAAGGTAATTTCACGAAAAAGCCAATAGAACCACTCTTGAACTTTTTTGTTCTATATTTGCGAAAATATAAGCTTTCAAAGTTTCTAATTTTTTTCCGACCTCTCCTATTGACTTAGTCCAGTGTGCGTCGCTCCTACTCGACCATCGACTTTTCGACTCGAGGAATTAATAGACGATGGCCACGATATTCCACAAATCGTAAAGCGATCATTATGATATTCCATATAATTGATTTGCGATGATTGTAACCGAAACACTAAAACATGATCGTATATCCAAAAATGATTGATTGTGATTATTCTTTACAATTTTTTCATTAACAAGTTATAAATCAATTAGCAATTCATGAACGAGACATGCCGAAACGGCATAGATCAATAAACACTTGCTACACTTCGAACCCAGTAATCGCGGCAAACAAAATAAAATCTGCCGCAGTATGTGTGCCCTTGCCGCACAAGAATATGATGAAGACTACGCAGTTCTCATGCATGTTGAAAATTGTATGTGACATGTATACCTTCTATAAATATTTTTTATCAAACCCAAAACGAAACAAGAAAAATTAGCAGATTGCATGTCCAGAATTAATCGAAATTTATTTCCTCTTTTTTCAGATGAGGTGGTTGCAGTTTCTACTCATACTTGTCTGGACGACTTACATAGCGCCTCAGAACCGTAAGTATTATAACGACTGTAAAGGATTGGGAAATATTTATTCTTTTATAATAGACATTGAAATGGGTGTCAGGGTAAGGGAAAATATGACATAACAAAATTGCAGCTGAGGGAGGTTAATTTTGTATTCTTTGTCGTAAAGCGTACCTATCTAAAAATTCCAAAAATTGACCCTTTGCCAGCGATATAAAGTTGAAAGGCAAAAAAACTAGGAATGTGTCTGTTGCCGAAAAGAGATTCTCTGACGAGTGAATATATTTACTTTCCGCGGGTTAAAGTAAAAATCACGACACGCACATGTAAAAAAAACCAAAGCCACCTCTTAGAGTGCAATTTTCATTTTCCTTTGTGACGCATTTTTTTCAAATTCGGCATTCGTGGGCTATTTTCCTTCATCGCCGGCGAGGAGGTCTGCCCAGATGGAGATTTAAGAAAACTCAATCTAAATAAACAAACTACCTTACAAAATGGTCCTTACATTATTTCAATAGTTTTAAGGCTTTGTTTACCTCCTTTACCTTATCTCTTTCACTTGGAAAAAAATTCGCTTGGATCTAGAGTCCAGACTCTTAAAAACATTGACAAGAAAAAATACTCTCGATTCAATCGGATTTTTGCTTCGATCGAGAACCAAGCATCTTATAATTTAAGCGGATTTCCATTTGATTCAAGCAAAAATCCGATCGAATCAAGAGTACTTTTTCTTGTCATTGTTTTCAAGAGTCTGGACTCTAGATCCACACGTCTTTTTTCCAGTGTTGTTTTGAGAAAGAACGCGCATCTCAAAGAACACGATTTATCGAGAGCAGGAAAACAGTATACATTCCTTATTTTTGCTTGTCGAAAAGTAATAACTCTTCGAAATACCAACAAAAAGATGCTTTTGGACAGGTGGTCCGCAAGCATTTTTGAAAATAATTCCAACTATTGAGAAATCATGTGGGAAAACCGAGAGACGTGTTCCGCGAATGAGGTTCCAAAAATTTATCCGAAGTGACAACATTCAGTATTCGCCAACTTAATCGATCAAGACCATATAAAGAATCCGGAAGAACAGCGAACTAATATGCACTTAATGGGTTACCTTAATTTAACTTAATTACCTTACACCTTTCAATGCCAAATACTTCCTAATAATAAATTGCGGCGTTGGGCTCTAATTCCGCTGAATTGATCGAGGAACATTCACGAAGCACATGTAATGTTACGCCGGCGGTGGAGCTATGTATACAGCACGGATGAATCCGACACTATGATTGATCACCTTAAGTGGATGTAGTATATGTATGAACGCTGGTTTTCGAAGCACAGTCTAAAGAATTACACGAGAGCCGACGCAAGGCACGCGTTTTGCGAATTGACACCAAAATATGTGGTAGATTTATTCTCGTTAGAGAGGCGAAAAGCTGTATGAACTTTCATTTAGGCTGATTTTCGTTCCAATTCCGTTGACTAAAAAATTAAAGTAGAATAATAACTAAAATGTGATAATCAAGAACTGCTAAAACCACGTAAGAGTCGCTCACTGCTGCGTGAAACCAATCACCTATACATCGTTAGGAAACTCTTTTAACGGTAAATTTTTTTTTTTAAAAAAAAATCGATTTAACGATGCAGCGGAGCTAAATGGATTTTTGAACGATTTCACCTAAAAATGACAACGTCGCAATCCGATTTTCTTAGCAAAGTGGCGAACAGTTCTAAGGCGTCTCAGATGATATTCTTTATCACATCAAGTGACCAAAATTCAAAAATGCCGTAAGGAATTTTTGGCCATTTTTCCACACAACTCTCTACTCAAACTACACAAGTAGCGTATTTGCTCAGTTGGAATTGAAGCTAATTTTGGGCATCAAATTGAGAACATATTTTTAACTTGAATCTATTTCGTGGCAAGGTTGGTATAATGAATGTAACGGATGACAGACGTCAAGGGTTGGTAACGTACATCGCCCTCTTTCCCGCTCCTCAGGCTACCAGTTTATGCTGAGGGATGGCATTAAGTCGCGGAGACTTTAACGCGTGGTTAAGAAAAAAGACCAGTGTTTTTCCGATTAACAGCATTTAGCAATAGGCAGTGGCGATTTTGCAAATTGGCAACACTGTCTATCCGCCATTTAAATCCATTAAAAATATCGATTTTAGATGAGGCAAGCTGCCTCGCCAAAATCGATCGTTTTACATGCATTCAGATGAGGGTAAAAGAGTATATTGCCACCTTTCAAGCATCGCTGGTGGCTTCGGTGGAAAGACTAAAATATTTCTTACCGATTTTTTTCTAATAATAAGATGTATCCGCGCTTGAACGAGTGTTAGCGAGTTCTTATGTGTGCATTCTTAGCAGATATAGTAATATATCTATTAACTTGCTTAAATCTTTCTCTCAACTTACAGATTCAGTTAGGAAGCGGGCAACGGCAGATAGCGAGAAGAAAGTAGTATGTTACTACACCAACTGGAGCGTTTACCGGCCCGGTACCGCCAAGTTCACTCCACAAAATATTAATCCATACCTGTGCACTCATCTTATATACGCCTTCGGTGGTTTAGACAGGGAGAATGGACTCAGACCCTACGATAAATACCAAGACATAGAGCAAGGTTAGTTTTCTGAGCTTGCGCCTTTATTATTTTTACATGCAATGCAAATGGATAGCCTTTAACATATCGGGCTAACTTCCTAGGAAGGCGAAAAAAATTGAAATAGCTGAGAAAAATACACAGATTTTAGCACAAAATAGTTAATATTCCTAAAAGATGTAGAATTTATTTTTTTTCTTCGAATCAAATCGACCTTTAACCTAGTAGTTGCATGACAGTTTAGTTTTTCGAGAGGTAATAACTTTAGATTCTCAAACTAAATAGTCTCAGAGGTAGATGATATTTAGTAACGAAATCGTGACACAAGTTTTGGCCACTTAAATCTGCACTGACACGGGAAATGGTTATCTGCCGCGTATCGACACACGCCCCAACGTGGCAGACAACCGTATTCCATGGCAGTGCATGTAAGGCTGTCGATTCAACTGGTCATAACTCGTGTCAATAATTTGTCGCTAAATATCGTCCGGCTCTTGGACGGAAAAGTTTGTAGTCTGTTTAATTGAAATCGAGGCTTTACAACATACATTTTCAGGTTGAAATTTTACGATAAACACGTGTTTTGCGTGTTGAAAGAGCCCAAGTCAACCTCTAGATATAATTCAATTAAAATTGAATTGTGTCATGCGAAAACCGCTAATGTCCATTTTTCAGCTTTCAGTTTTTTTTATTGATAATACTTTTCAAGAGTTGATACAATCATGGAAGTGGTGCAATAATACTTGTTTTGGGATGAGGATAACCCTAAACAAAGTATTAACACCACTTTTATGGTTGCGTTTAACTCTGAAAAATATTATCAACCCAAAAAAACTCAAGACTGGAAAATTGGACATTAGCGGTTTTCATACGACACGATTCAATTATAGTATTTCGTACTGATCATGTTAAGCAATCAATGTAAATAAAATCAAACATGGGTACACAGCAATAATTTTATTTTTAGATTAATTAACTAAAATGGTGCATTAATGGTATTTTGTCTTTTTCAAAAATCAAAAAACGAAAAACAGGTGGATATGCTAAATTCACCGGTCTCAAAACATTCAATAAGAAATTGAAAACACTTCTGGCCATCGGTGGTTGGAATGAGGGAAGTGCAAGGTTTTCACCTCTTGTTGCTGATGAGGAAAGGAGGAGAGAATTCGTCAAGAACGTCGTTAAATTTTTGCGAGTGAATCATTTTGATGGACTCGATCTGGACTGGGAGTATCCGTCATTCCGCGATGGAGGAAAGCCCAAAGACAGGGAAAACTATGCGTCCCTTGTTCAAGTAAGCATTTGACATTCTCGAAAGTTTTCAGTGATAACTCATGTATCGAGACTGCAATGAAATAATGAGCCATTTGCGGATCCAGCAAATTGGCAACATTGTCTTTTCTCAATTTAAACCTATGGGAATCTATCGATTCTTGGAGGGGCCAGGTGCTCCGACAAGAATCGATTATTTAGCATAGGTTTAAATGGAGGAAATTCAGCGTTGCCAAATTGCTGGATCCGCCTCCGTGATGAGCTTGCAGAGTCGTGGAACCTCTGCAAAAATAACGGCTGCGCTGCCATACTGAGGAAGAACGCCGTATGGACCTTCAGATTTTACCATATTTTTTGCAATATTAAACACAACAAAACAATATTTACAACATTTACTGGAAAAATTTTAGTTATTTTCTAGTTCAAAAGTTTCAGACTGTTTAATTCACAATTGAATGTAAAATATCTGAAAATCTCCAAGGAAAAATGTCCATACATTTCCTCACAAAAATTATTTTATCCGGGAAATTTGGCAACTCTCGAATTTTCATACAGCTTCCTTCTTTAGCAAGGAAAATAGAGATCATCATTATCATCTTCTTAATTATACATCATTATTAATAAATTACTAAAAGGCTGCGTCCCCTGACCCCACGCGGCCTTAATCCGCCCTCTAAGTCCCCGTTTTGCGGGCTGCATGAATTAAGTGACACAGGCAAGAACTGCAGTATTTAAATTGCAATGAGGCAATATTATGAAAAGTAAAAAAAAGCAATTGAAATTAAGTTTGGAAAATAATTTGGCGAAGGAGGGAAATCTACTGAGCAGGCACAACCCATGACTGGAGCTTTTTACCCGGAACAACCCGAGGCAAGTGGGTCCTACTATCTTACGCAGAGCGCTCAGGTGGAAAGAATCCGCTGACTCAAATTGCCCCATGCAGCAATGAGAAGTGAAATTAAATGTAATAAGACATCGAAGAGAGATCGTAAGTCACAATTTATTGATATCGTAATCGTTGCCGTAGAAAATTGGAAACTTCAGTATCATGGGCTTGTGTTGACGATGAAAAACAAAAGGAATATTCGACTTATGAAGACAAATTTCGTTTTGTCCAAATTGTTTTGTATTTATATTTCCTGCCATTTTCCTTACGCTTGACGTCTCTCAACAGACATTTGTTTCTTTTCTCATAAGGTCTTAATTTCTTAGAGAGAAAAAATTATGTTTATCAGCATCAAAAATTAATTCTCATTGAAATGTAACGTGTGTGTTTTTTATATTTTGCAGGAACTCCGAGAGGAATTCGATAATGAATCGGCGAAAACCGGTCGACCACGTCTTTTACTCACAATGGCCGTTCCTGCGGGTATTGAATACATCAACAAAGGCTACGATGTAGAAAAATTAAATAGGTACTAACACATTCAACTAGGATGAGACTCTTAACGTCTTTTGATTTTGATGAAGTTTTGAGGAAATTTAGTCCTCAGAAACCTAACAGGCGTCGCACAATCGCTCCCAGCACTGGGTCCCATGATGAGAAAGAGCCGCCCTGCTTTTTTTAACTAAATTTTTTTATTGTTACAATTTCATTTCATTACAATGGCACATTCTATACAGAGGATTTCCCAAAACAAATGTCCACCGACTTCGGCACCAAAAACTACAAATGAACCGCGTTAAGCAGAAAGGAACCAAGCCACACCAGCTATTGCCAAATTTAATCCGAAGATTTAATTTTGCACGTGAAAATGATTGTGCGTATTTTCATGCAAATTTCCATATATTTTCTGCAAAGTACAAAGAAAATTCCTAGAAATCATCCAAAAAATCCACAGATACGCTCTCTTGTAAATAATTAGATTGCTCGGTTAAATTTTGCAATAGCTGGTGTGGCTTGGTTCCTTTCTGTTAAACGCGGTCCGAATGAAATTGAAGGACGGTTTGTGAAAGGATCTGGAACAACGCATTGACTTTAAAAGAAGACCACGTTGAGCGCATTTGGGTGGCAATTGACGAATCTAAGGCGATTTTACGAGGGCGTGTTGACAAAGAATAGGCAGTCTATTTATTCTATGGTGTTGATTTTACTCCTCCAGGATTTTCGGCCTTCTAAGTCGGTGCGTCGCGTTGCTCATCGCACCGCAAAACCGCTTGAACTTTACAGTATTGATGATATGGGCACCGAAGATTTTGAACTCTTTGGATCTATCACTATGACCGTGGAGTAATTTTTTCACGCCTTTTTCCCTCTTCAATCTTCCGCGGCAAGTTGCCCCGAGACTAAAATAGACCAATGTACCACCTTACGTGCATGGCCGGATTTACTTACTTGCCGCCCATGGGCCTGTATTTTGCCGCCCTCTTCCCATTCATTTTGAAACATCAATAAAAACCATCAAGTGAGCGTGCCGGAGGGAGAAGGGTGCATAAGACGCGTTCACTCGTGTTTGACACACATTTTACGTAAGCCCTGCCAACACTACTAGCAAAAGTTCACGGAACTTCGCGCGAAAGTTCAGTTCCGTAAACCCATCTCTATGGGGACAAGGCCTTTCATTTGTAAGAAATGAACTATAAAATTAAGAGAGAACAAACATAAATGTGGTTTAATAATTTTAACTTCCGCCGCCGTGCCGCGCTGACCACACTATATTTGGTGCAATGCATGAAGTATTCATGTAGTCTCGTAGGCGCTAATATGTGTTACATGCCGACCGCCGCGTCGAGGGCTTCTCCTTTTCATCTCAAGTCCTCGTCATCATTTCTCTTTGCGCCGCGCCGCTCCAGGCCAAATTACGTGTTTGTTTTCTCTCTTAACTCAACTAATTCAAGGTGCGCAGTCTTTTGTATCACCGAACTACGACAAAATTAGAAATTAATGAGCTCTCAGGAAATGAGAGATTTTGTCACCTTTTCGTGTCTGTAATTTTTTTCTGAATCCGATTTTTTTGTACCTGCCTTTAAAAAAATTGCAAAATTTGCCGCCCCCTAATTTTACCGCCATGGGCCGCGGCCCATGTGGCCACCCCCTTAATCCGGCCCTGCTTACGTGATATAGTACCTCGAGTAAATAACCAAAACAAAAGAACGGCAAAAGTACTCCTGATTATTCAACTTATTACTCGCAACTTTGAAAGCAAAAAATTGATGATATCGAGCGTTTTCATGTTGTCCGTCAATCAACAAAAAAAAAAAAAAAAAAAAAAAAAAAAAAAAAAAAAAAAACTGGTAGCGATCATTTTTGAGATTCGCGTAAAGTTGTGAAACAGAGGTGACTCGTTGACAGTATTTCATTATGTCTATACTGTATAGTGTACTTTTGGAGGCGGGGAGCTAAAAAAAAAAAAAAACCCCGAAAAACTTGTATAGAAATCTGTGAATCGAATAGTGAAGTTTGGAGTGAATTTCAGACTTTCTCCACGTGCTCATCGTGAGTTCTCAGTAGTTTTTCATAAATTTCGTTGATTCTCCTTTTCGCTCCGTCAAACGATCGTGGCAGACTAATTTTAAACTAATCATCATTTTTCCGTTCTCTTTCAGATATTTAGACTTCATGAACATCTTAAGCTACGACTACCACTCTGCATTTGAACCTGCTGTTAACCATCACTCTCCTTTGTATCCTTTGGAAGAGGAGTCTGAGTACAATTTTGACGCTCAATTAAGCATAGTAAGTTATTAAAAACATATTTCCCTTGTTTCAGCACGTGTCACCAGTTTTGAGGCTATTCACAGATAAGTTGCAAAATCATACAAGGAAAGAATTTGTCACTTATGTCGCAAAAAATGTAAAAAATTAAGCTTGAGGAACTGAGATCTTCGATGGTGAAATTCACAGGTGGAAGCGGAGCGAATCCATACAGCCGTGCTAAGGAAGAACGTCGTATGAACATTCGAGAGTTGCCAGATTTCTCCTCGATAAAATATGTATTTTTAACAACATTTATGCATATGTCTCCTTGAAATTTTCAAATATTGTAGATTAAATTGTGTACAAAATTGTCTGAAAATTTTGGATAATAGTATTCACAATTTTTCCAGTAAGTTCGGTTTTTATCGGAGGAAATTTGGCAACGTCTGAATGCCCATTCGGCATTCTTCCTCAGCACGGCAGCATATGACCCGGTCGGCGGACAGCAACAACATGAGCCCCTGCGATTCTGACCTCGAGCAACATGCAATGCGCGTCGCACAGTGGAGCGAGTCAATAGGAGCGGTCGAACACGACACACGAATGGAAACTTTAAAAGCTTATAACTCCTTCTATACGGGATATAGAAGTTTGAAAGTGGCTCCATTGATTTTCTTAGACAATTTTCTAAAAAGTGACCACGTGATGTAACAAAATGAACATCGAAATTTGCGGTTTTAGTGAAAAAATGCATGCTTGACCTCTCTCAATGGATCACTGGAAAAAAAAATATATTGGATCTAGAGTCCAGACTCTTGAAAACATTGGAAAGAAATAGGACTCTTGATTCAATCAGATTTAAGCTTAAATCAAAAGGAAATCCGCTCTAATTAAGAGGCTTGGTTCTTGATTTAAGCTTAAATCTAATCGAATCAAGAGTATTTTTTCTTGTCGATGTTTTTAAGAGTCTGGACTCTAGATCCAATGTGTTCTTTTTTTTTCAGTGCGGGAAAGTCTGAAATATTGACTCTTGAAAACATTGACAAAAAAAGGACTCTTGATTCAATCAGATTTAAGCTTAAATCAAAAGGAAATCCGCTCAAATTAAGAGGCTTGTTTCTTGATTTAAGCCTAAATCCGATTGAATCAAGAGTATTTTTTCTTGTCGATGTTTTTAAGAGTCTGGGCTCTAGATCTAAAGTGTTTTTTTTCCAGCGATCGTTCCACTGATCAGCTCAGTGGCGTGGCGTGAATAGCGATATATCGATTGTTATGCCATTTAAATCTATTGAAAAGGATCGATAAACGGGGCGTTCGCAGCGAACACCTTAATAATCGATTCTTCACCATAGGTTCAAATAGCATAACAATCGATATATCGCAATTCAAGCCACGCCACTAGTCCGGCCGGNGGGGGGGGGGGGGGGCACCCGGTGCCGGGGAACGAGATCCGGAGCTAACCGCAAAAAACCGCAGACGGCCCAATAAGTCCGCGGTCAGGAGCGACCCCTGGCCACGGACTCCCAGCGTGCGCTATCGGACTGTACTGCCGCGCTAAGGAAGAACGCCGTATGAACATTCGAGAGTTGCCAAATTTCCTTCGATAAAACATGTATTTTTGACAAACTTTATGCACATTTTTCTTTGAAATTTTCAGATATTTTAGAGTAAATTGCGTACAAAATTGTCTGAAAATGTTGGGAATAAATATTCAAAATTTTCCCAGTAAATTCGGTTTTTATCGAATGAAACTTGACAACGCCTGAAGGCTCATACGGCGTTCTTCCTTAGCACGGCAGTATAATGCTGCCGTGCTAAAGAAATACGCCGTATGAACCTGCGAGGGTCGCCTAGTTCCCTCCACTTAAATGTTTATTTTTAAGGAGAGTTAGAGATATTTTCTTTTGAAATTTTCAGATGCTTTAGATCTAATTGCGAATGGAATTTTCTGAGAAATAGGAGGAAAAATATTCACAGATTTCCCAGAAAATTCGTATTTTGACGGAGGAAATTTGGCACCGTCTGAGGGCTCATACGGCATTTTTTCTTAGCACGGTAGAATGGCACCAAACGGAAATGGAATTCTTGAATGCCACGGGGAATTGTGGTTAAAGCACTTTGGCCCCCGTAGAATTTCGAGAGAAACATGTTGGTGTCACTGGTTTTCTCTAAAACAAACTCTCGCTCTCAAAAAAAGCTCCCGAACGTGAGCCTCTAATGGAGGGAGCCGGGATCTTGCTACGTTGCATCCTTTCATCGCTACACAGTTTTTGTCTCTCCTGACAAGTTGAATAGAAAAGGATACCTTTTTTTATCATAATATGAACATTTCACTCTTGCTCCGTTTCAGGACTACACAATCAAACATTACTTAAAGTTGGGTGCTGATAGAGAGAAGTTAGTTCTCGGGATCCCCACTTACGGAAGGTCTTACACTTTATTCAACAAAGATGCAAATCAGTTAGGAGCTCCTGCAGACGGGCCCGGCGAACAAGGAGAGGCCACTCGAGAGAAGGGATATCTAGCGTACTATGAGGTAAGTCCAAATGCCATGATTTATGCGCCTTTTAGTTTTTGATCGAGCATGCAATAAATATGTTTGAAATAGTGTCTCATGTTTTATTTCAAGGCGGGAAACCTCAACGATCTAAATGTACCTGGTAAATTGACTTTTCTCGGCAATCAAGTTGTGAATTATATTTAGTTCATAGAGTTGTAATATAAGGCCTTGTTCACATGTGTGTAGTTCGTGGAACTTTGAGCAAATAAGTTCAAAGAACTAAAATTTTGAGGAATATGTAATAAATTGTAAGTTGCGGGAACAAGTTCGCCCAAAGTTCCGCGAACCACGGATGTAAGCTGGAGTCATTTTCTGGTTGACGAGTTCCAAGTTCGGTGTGCGCCTGATTCGGCCACCTTTTCGATACATTTTCGATCCAAAGTGGCGATGTTTAATACTTAATAATTCACAACCGCTTTGTTTACATCGGATGGCCGGGTACCAGTGTATCGAAAACAATTGATGATGTATCAAAATGGTGACTGTACAGCAGTTATTGAATTCGGTGACTGATAAGTGCTCTGGAAAAAAAACACATTGGATCTTGAGTCCAGACTCTTGAAAACATTGACAAGAAAAAGGACTCTTGATTCAATCAGATTTAAGCTTAAATCGAAAGGAAATCCGCTCAAATTAAGAGGCTTGGTTCTTGATTTAAGCTTAAATCTGATTGAATCAACAGTATTTTTTCTTGTCGATGTTTTTAAGAGTCTGGACTCTAGATCCAATGTGTTTTTTTCCAGTGTGCTTAAAAGTTGCACCAGCATCTCCATTCCCATTACTCCTCTACATATGTACTCTCTTTGAATGAGAGAGTTTCCGCTGCAATTTTTTCAACCGTGGAGACTAAGCCAGCGACGAAAATTTTTCAGAGTCCATTCGATCTCGATCGAAAAATCCACAAGATTAGATCTAACAAGTACACGTTTCTTCACTTGGAAAAGAGCTGTGTGCGATTCGAACGCCTCCAACGAAACGACTTTAACGCACGATTAAGACGAGCGTTTAATTCGATCCACTCACCCAGCAAGTGACCCTGAGTTATGCGCTGATCCATCGGAGGTCATTCCGAAATTTCGTGACGGTGGATTTATGGATTTTTTAACCCCTCCCTCTCCCCCTCCCCTCTGTAAACACGCCATAACGCTGATCCTCACTCCCCCGCACCCCATTGACGATTCTTGGAAGTTGGCAATAGCCTTATTCCTCCATTTGAATATGCGTAAAACAATCGATCCTTAGTGAGACTGTTTTCCTCGCCTAAAATCGATATTTCTAATGGATTTAAATGGAGGAACAACAGTGTTGCCAACTTGCAACATCGCCACTGACCCCTGAAGATACGAGCACCGCGCCGATCGCCGTGTGTGGTATCAGACGCGTCTGACTCTGTGGAATGTCTTTATAAGAGAAACGTCTTGCGGTTTGCGATCGAAGGGTAATCAAGCTCTCGCATTCAAAGAGGGGTAAATTCCAGCCTCCATTTCCCTAGACCTTACTTTCTAAAACATATTTTTCAATATATTTTGAGAAAAAAGACAAAACACTTTAAAAACCCGCTTGCAGTCCGATTATTTAAAATATATGTCAACACGACAAGACAGGAAGGACGTAGCCCTACGTAAACCATCATGCAAGTCTTATCGGGCTGCTTTAAACTTTCTATAATGTACTGCTGACCCGATGGTGAAACTGCAGAAATACGTATCTTGGTTTACGGCGTTGTAGACTTCCTGTCATACCTTATTTTCTGCATGAAAAACTATCCAACGTCATTTCTGGAAATTTCGGTGATTTTACTCTCTGTGCGATGAATATTTTGTGACAATCTCAAGCCATGTTGTTGGTTGGGTCTCATTTTTAAAATAATGTAAAAGCGGAGCATTGGCGGATCCAGCAAATTGGCAACATTGTCTTCTCTCCATCTAAACCTGTGGAAATGTATCGATTCTTGGAGGGGCCAGGTGCTCCAAGAAGAATCGATTATTTAGCATAGATTTAAATGGAGAAAATCTGGTGTTGCCAAATTGCTGGATCCGCCTCTGCAGCGGAGATTTTGAAACACTGCAACCGAGTTACGCATTTTTGCAGTTTCACCGTCGTTATAAAGAATTCTCAGCGTCTAATGATAAGACATTTGTCCACGCAAGGAGCGCCACCTCTAAATTACGATTTTCGTTTCAAATTAACGCCACGGCGGCAATATGCTGAATCTCGAGTTTCTTTTTCCTCACCCAAAGTCCAAATTGTAGATTTGTAATTTCTTCCATTTTTAGATTTGCAACGGGTTGAAGGAGGACTCGGGCTGGAAACTAGAGCAACCTAAACCCGAAGCTATGGGACCATATGCTTACAAAGGAAATCAGTGGGTCGGATACGATGACGAAGATATCGTAAAATTGAAGGTTTGTTCACTATGCTTCTATTTTGAAACAGTTTCGTACAGAGTACTACTAAAGTTCATAAGTGGCGGATGTCCTCCTCTTATATACATTATTCAAAATAGACCTTCGATTATTTGGCTTGCATCCTTCTTTCGTATAATGTCAAGGACTGTTCTTACGTATAGCTTTATTTCGTTTTTTCATCCCCCTCCCTTCTTGTAATGCGTTTGTGACGTAAGTATCTACCCTTTAACACGTAAAAATAAAGTGGCGTCACGCTATTTTCGACCCCGTGCGCCACCAAGACACTGAGAAAAAGTATGACGGGTTATTCCCAAAAATTGTGGTACTACCCCAATTTTTGGATGTTTTTTTTTCTTTTTTCTTTGATTTCCAATGAATTGTGTTAGTACTGCAACGCAAGGTAGGGTAGAACTGCAACAGGAAGTAATTTAATTTATTGGAGTGCTACCCCAATTAATTGAGGACTTTTTCGGTAAAAGGGCGTATGAGGTTTGCAATGCTGCTTTGATTGTGCAATTTTTCAAAGTGTTTGGGGTAGCTGAAATTCATTCACAGCCGACTTACTTCCTCACAATAGCTAGGAAAAAATTCGGAGCAGATGAAAGAATAAATTCAAAGCAAAAATGTCGGATAAGTTACTTACAACCACAAACTGAGTTGCACAATCTTAACAGCATTGGAAGTCTCATACGCCCTTTTACCGAAAAACGTCTCAATTGGAAAAGTCCATATTATTCAACAACCTCTACCTTTTTTTCCGTGAATCCGAGAACATGCAAAAGCCGTTATGGGGTTTCTCTTTCCCGAGCAAGTAAAGCGCCTTCAAGTAACGTCGAATACAACAAACACTACACGTATATCTCATTTTAACTCTTGGATGCAACTATTCGAGCTCCGTGGATGTCCGTGTTGCATACGCACGGAAGCGAAGGCGTTTTGACTGTCCAGGCGCTCATTGCTCACTGCTCCACTTATTTTGCAACCGGCCCCTTGACTCAATGAAATAAAACTGAAAGGTGAAAGTTCAATTCGGCGTGAACAGATGGAAGTTTGACAACCGCTAGAGTGGCCAATGCTGCCGTGCTAAGGAAAAACGCCGTAAGAGTTTTTAGACGTTGCCAGATTTCCATTACTAAAAACTGAATTCACTGGAATGATTTTGACATTTTTTTATCAAATTTTTCAAATAATTTTGTCTGCAATTTGATCTAACATATTTGAAAATTTCACGGAAAAATATGCACAACTTCCCTTAAAAATGCATGATTTATCCGGAGAAATTTGGCAACTCTCAAATGTTCATACGGCGTTTTTCCTTAGCACGGCAGAATTCGAGTGAGCTCGAGTAGAGTATTGCGTTTGTCGGCTGAGTGACGTTGTCTTCAACGTTGATTTAATTGAAAGGAGTTTCATCATAAAACTGTGTTTTAGGTGGAGGACAGAACACTTACGGTCCCCAAGCTCACACGTAAAGCTAAGTACATCCACTTGAGCGTTTCTGGCGCATGATTCGCACGAGCGGTCCCGCTCGGCAGTGGCGCGGCGTGCTTTGCGATTTATCGATTGCTCTATGCTGACATTTAAACCCGTGGAAAAGGATCGATAAACAGGATGTTCGCATCGAACACCTCAATAATCGATTCTTTACCACAGCTCCAAATGGGGGAATATCGATAATCGATCATTCACGCCTCGCCAGTGCTGCTCGGGTGTTTGGGCTGTGCGATTGGTGGGCACGCCTTCGTATACTACTCGAGTGCTGGTCCCACACAAGTCGTATAGACTAAACAACGTTGAAAGCTTTTGATGTTACTCAGCGCGTTCACATGCTTCTGAGCACAGATGGACGTATATCTGCCAAACGGAACTAAGTGCATTGAGACATGAGCCCTGACACCCATAAGAAGGAGTGCATAACAGGGCTCACGTCATAATGCGTATAGTTCCGTTTGGTGGAAATACATCCAGCAATGTTTGCAGTTGACTCACATGTGACTTGACTGACTCAGGCCCGGTTACAGATTTATCCCTTGATTAAAATTTGACAAGCGCGCTGAGCACTTGATTTTTAACCGGAGGATAAGACTCACAGTTCCGAATGTTGCATCTGATCGAAAATATTAATGTCATCCGGACCATAAAATATATCACCCAGGCCCGAAAATTTACTAAAATATCGTTACGAATGTTGTATTCACTTGGGAATTCTAACCAAAGATCAAGGTTGATATGGCCAAGTCAATCCAATAACAACACGTTCTTTGGGATTCCCCGATCTGGCGATGAATTCCCTCGATTTGATGTTTCACCACTTTCCAAAGTTTCCCCGATATGCGCTGCTCCACCGCGTAGTCCCCCGCTCCCCCTGATCTCCCCCGCTCCCCCTGACCTCCCCCCGCCGGATCATCTCCCCCTGATCTCCACAGTTTTCGGGCCGTGAGTCTATGGTTGGTACGCGTGGACTAAAAATCGCGAAAAATCAAAATCTTTGCTGATCCTACTTTCGAGATATTGCAATTTGAAATTTTCATAGTAAATACATGTTTTCTATTAATCTTGATCCGCTTTTGTTTTTCTTTGTCCATTGAATCGGTATTGATTGGTTCTCGTTTTTATTTTCCGTTCGATCCATGTCGATCGAATACATACCCTCCCGTTACATGCAGACTGCCTGGCATACTCTTTTATTTTTAACTGAACAATTCGCCTTCTGCTGTGTCTGCAGCAATTGTTGTTACGAATATGTTGTGCGTGCTGATTTCAGATCATTACATACTCGATCCTCTGAAGGCGTTTCATGTGCTCAAGTAGCGCAGTCTGTCGGAGAACAACAGAAGTGAGATTGAATGAATCGCTCAATCCCTACTTCGCTTGATTTCCGACAGACTGCGCTACTTGAGCAAAATAAAACGCCTTCAGAGAGTTAAGTATGTAATGATCTGAAATCAGCACGCACAACATATTCGTAACAACAATTGCTGCAGACGCAGCTGAAGGCGAATTGTTCGGTTAAAAAAAAAGAGTATGCCAGGTAGTCTTCAAGTAACGAGAGGGTATGTATTCGATCGACATGGATCGAACGGAAAATAAAAACGTGAACCGATCATTGCCGATCCAATGGACAAATAAATACAAAAGCGGATCAAGATTAATAGAAAACATGTATTTACCATGAAAATTTCAAATTACGGTATCTCGAAATTAGGATCAGCCAAGGTTTTGATTTTTTGTGATTTTAAGTCCACACGTACCGTAGATTCATCCCCTGCAAACTGTTTTTGGGTACATTTTTGTCGCATTTTTTTTTTTTTTTGTCTAAAGTCCACTGGGTATGTAATTCGTGCGTGCGTCGGAAACGCCCGAATAGATATCCAGTCGAAGAATCACGCTAAATGGAGGTCAAACATGAAACTTGCAGGCAAATCGGGACTCCTAAAAGACCGAGGATACTCTTAAAGTGAAATAAAACGTTGCGAATGAAACTGTAAAATTTTGAAATAAAACTTCGCGGCATTTCGAAGAATTATCATCTTATCTTTTTCTAACTTATTACAGGCTCAATACGTGAATGAAAAAGGTTTAGGTGGGATCATGTTTTGGTCAATTGATAATGACGATTTCCGCGGTCAGTGCCACAGCCGCCCGTATCCGTTGATTGAGGCCGGCAAAGAAGCCTTGTACGGCTCTGCTGGGTAAGTTTTCTGACTCTTTTGTTTATGCATGTGTGCCTGCGACAGGAAACTCTCATTGCAAGTATCTTGTGTAATGATTTAATAACAAAGCTTCATTCTTATATTTTATTCACATCGAAACGTAGAAAATATGAACAATGAGACAATAAATATTGTGGTACCAGAAATCAATCACCTAGCTCACAATACAACAATAAATGCGGGTAATAAGGCAAATTTACACGAATAAAACCAAAACGTTTCGGCTGAAAACTCAGCCCTCCTCAGTTGGATAGAACAGTAAAAAGAAAAATGGTAAAAATCTAAAACAGTACTTGGCTATACCTTTCAAAGTGAGAACCTAGCTCATATATTATATTTTCCTTTTATTAAACACACGTTATATTTTCCTTTAATACATATTTTTTTTCATCAATTAAAATGAGAATAATTCATACAGGATGTGCAAACATTTCAAAATCATGAGTTGAATAACGCTGACTCCGCCAAATTAAATATTAGAGCCTTAAAACAAAGCGGAGCGGCGACGCACTGGCGCCTACAAACCTAACAGGGATACTTCACGCATTGCGCAACGCGTGAAGTATCCCTGTTAGGTTTGTAGGCGTCAATTCGCGAATCGCGCTGGCTGCCCGCCTGCCGCGCCGCAGCGTGCCACGCCAAGGCGCTTAAAGCAACTATTTCACACCAGAAGTATTGCACAGTATCATACGAAACTGAAGGCGCTCTAATATATGTATTAGGACTGGCAGGCATCCATCAAAAGTACGGAGCTTTCCTCGCAAAATAAATCAAGATACTACGGCCCAAAAAGAGAGCGGTAGTCGAAAAATTCACTAAATCCTAGCATCCGTAATTAGTAACGTTTAGCATCACTTTATCGTCAGGCTGTTGCTTAATCGCCATCGGCTATAAAAGGCTATAAAAAATTGTGTTGCTGGCTATAGAAGCTATTGGAAATCTAACAGCCGGCCGTAGGTCTATGGTATTTTGGAACACAGATTCTACTGCCAATTTTTACCAGGGATTAAATTCCACATTTTTCTTTGGATCGTAATAAACTTGGTCGAATATATTATCATAGAAGTCATTTTTGGGTGTCATTTTTGAATCTAAGAATTTGACGTGCCAATAACTCGTCATTTTACAATGGTCTGATAAAAACTTTGTTTCAGGCCATCAAATAATTTGATCTCATCCTTCGAATCAAAACAAGCCACTCAAGCGCCATCGACGACCCGAAAAACGAAGCCCAGGCCAAAACTTACATCAACTCGAACTACTGCAATCGCAAAAACTACCACTCCTAGTCCCCAGACAACTCCTGAGCCACCGACTACCCCTGACCCGGGCAGTGGTGAGTATCCTCTTAAACATGATTTGTTATAAAATGTCACTGTGAAATCCATATATACCTCAGTCAGGGTTGTCACAGTCAGGGAATACTGGGAAACCCGGAAAACGTCAGGGAATTTTAAAAAGTCAAGAAAACCCTAGAAATGTCAGGAAAATGACGAAAATGTCTGGGAAAAATCGTCAAGTTACTTTCATATGCTTTTTAGAGTGGGTTTGACGTTTCGAACAACACATTCTGCTTGAAAACTATTTCTAACTATGACTTTTTAACCATCTGACATTTGTAAAATGTCAGGGAATTTCACTAAAATGTATCAAGGAAATGTCAGGGCATTTCAAGGTAGGTAATGTCAAGGTAGATCTTAAGCGTTAGTTTAAAAAAAAAAAAAAAAAAAAAAAAAAAAAAAAACCTACGTCTCGCTGCTAAAATTTAGCTTTAAAATCAGCAAGTATTTTTCTTAAAAAAACGACAATACATTAAAGTTCAAAACCCATAAAGTTCCAGCAGCGTATTCCTGGAATATATAAATTCATTTATAAAATTAAAAATTTCTGAAATTTAAGTGATCGTCTACTTATGTATAATTTTTTTCACCGTTGCGAATCACCGAGCCTTGCTCGTAATGCGGTTCTCGAAGCTCATCTTAATTGTTCTGTTCTCAGACTTCAAATGTAAAGATGAAGGATTCTTCCCTCATCCTCGAGATTGTAAAAAGTACTTCTGGTGTTTGGACAGCGGGCCGTCTAACCTTGGAATCGTTGCACATCAGTTTACTTGCCCATCAGGTAAGAAACGTGATTTACCAACAGGTTTTTAGTAAGAGTAGTAGTAGTAATAGTAGTAATAGTAGATAGCTCATAGTCAGTGGCGTGGTGTGATTTGCGATGTATCGATTGATATTCCATTTAAACTTGTGGAAAAGGATCGATAGACAGGGTGTTCGCAGTGAACACCTTATCAATCGATATTTCACCATATCTTCAAATGGGAAAACTCGATAATCGATCATTCACGTCTCGCCACTGCTCATAGTATATGTTCGTAGTTTACTTATTTTGAAGGCATCACGACGAAAACGTTAATATTGGTAACATTATGGATGAAGGATTGAAGTAACCCGTGAAAGAGCCTGTCAAAGAAGGGTCTTCTTGTGCCCCTATTTGGACACTTAGGGATTTCATTCAAATCTATTTCAAGTCGCGACAGCGTGTCACGCGTCGCTGGGAGCAGTGCTTCATTTGAAAACATCACAAACGGAGCGCCTTCAATTTTTAGTATATGCAACACACATGTTCATAAAGCACGAGTAATTGTATCAAGAAGTTACTTGTAATTGTAAAAAGAAGTAGTAATTGTATCACGTAGGTCCCTATCCTTTAACACGTATAAACGAAATGGACTACATTTTGCAATTTGGCACTATAAATTCTAGCCCGATTTAAATACAACCAGCCAGAATTTATAGTTACGAATTGCAAAATGCAGTCCAAATGTGACGTAACGCTCTCCTGGACCCTTCCCACGTAGAGCGTTACGTATTTTAGGGACGGCCCTTTCTGTAACAAATTGAAAACTAACTTAAGTATGTTATGTAAAAATTGTCTAAGAAAGGCATATAATATTCAGATTTTCTCCTCTTTTTCTCTAGGTTTATTCTTCAACAAAGCGGCTGATTCTTGTGATTACACACGTAATGTGTTGTGTAACAAAAAGTCATCTTCCACTGAGAAAACTACGAGTGCAGCGAGCAAAGTCACAACCGCTCCTTCGAAAATAACTGGCAGCCGACTGACGACCACAGTCACCACCACCACCACTACAACCACAAAAGCTCCTCCAGTCGAGGAGATCGAGGAGGAGGAGGAATATGCAGACAGTGCAGAAGAAGATCCCAAAGCTATTAAGCAGTTGATTTCCTTGATTAAAAAATTAGGTATAACTGACAAACAAACTCAACTAATATTTTCCCATTTTTCGTCATATATTCGTCTTGGATCCAGAAATCCATCCCCATAAAAATTTGTTGAAAAAAAGCTGCGAATTGCTACTAAGGTGTTGCTCCTATTGGTCTATGAGGTAGGCTTTGTTACATTTAGGCGTTAACATTGAAAAAGCGCCTGGTTAGTTAGTTCGGCTCTTTTTCGGCCGAAGAGTAGGTGTCACTAACATTTATTTTCTTCATTCGGGATTAAAAACAAATAATATTTCCTCCGAAATTTTTTCCCTCATAAAAATGTCAAATGTCGGCAATCCTTAGAACTTGTTGGTATATTTCATGAGAGGATAAAAAACAGGAATTTTTCAAAAATGTAATCCTTACATTTTGGCACACGCGAAGATGAATGTCATAAAATCACTAATTAACTATTATTTTATTCTAACACAATTATCTCACTTCATTTCTCTTTCTAAGAAGTCAGCGTACGAAAAAAATTATATTGACTCACAATCAGTCTATGATGCATAATATATTTTTTGATACAGGAGGTGTTGCAGAGTTAGAGAAGCAATTGAATCTGGAGAGTGGCCATAATTCAGATGTTACAACTCCTGCCATTAGTCGAACTTTGTACAACAAAGTCCTCAACACAGCTACCCCAAGGTAAGGCGAGCCTATAGTGATTTGTGAAGTCAAAAATTCACCCCTTTTCAAAAATCACCCCTCGGACTTTAAAAGTGTCTTGTCAGGGTGAATTTTGAGTTTTCAAGAATGTTACCCAAAAATTATTAAGATCCAGTATGATGATGCGTAAATTTCATATGAACTTGAGCACGTAAACATAATAAGTATAAGAGTATATAACTTTCATGTAAGTATAAGAGTGAAATTATGTTTTATTATGGTTGTGTGATTGATGTTACGGTATTTAGGTATGTTAATTATCATTGCGCATTTAATGCACATTTAAAGTTTTTCTCTTCCAGGTATCAGTCAAAATTTAGAAACGGTCCAGGACCACAAAATGAGGGTTTGAAACCCGATCTGAGCGCTGCGAGTCGAAAAGAAAAACCCCAGTATGTGACCATCAGACGAGAAAGGTAAACCAACCTCTATCAAGATAAATACTATTATCATCCCCACTCAATGCGTGTTTTTCTTAAACACATATGCAACGCTTAAATTCGATTCCAAGCTCACAAGCTGTCACTTGCTCGTTCTTTTACATCCCCTGGTAAAAATTGGCGATAGGAGCTGCGTTTCAAAATACCATAGGAGTTCTTATAGCCGACTGAAGAAGGCGGTAGAAAATCATATAGCTGGCTGTAGAAAGTGAGAAAAATCATACAGCCGGGCTACACGAATTAAGCGATAAAAAATTATCCAGCCGGGCTATAGTTCCTACCGCCGGACTTTATACTTTATCGCCTGGCCGTTGCTTTTTCGCCATCGACTATAAAAGGCTGTAAGAAATTCTGTAGAAATTCGTGTGCTTTGTAAATCCTTAAGTTTGTGCGGAATCACCTTAATATATACAAAACGCACATTATATTTTCCTTTACTACATATTTTTTTTCATCAATTAAAATGAGAATAACCTATACAGGATGTGCAAACATTTCAAAATTATGAGTTGAATAATGCTGACTCCGCCAAATTAAATATTAGAGCCTAAACACAGAGCGGAGCGGCGACGCACTGGCGCCTACAAACCTAACAGGGATACTTCACGCATTGCGCAACGCGTGAAGTATCCCTGTTAGGTTTGTAGGCGCCAATGCGCGTTTCGGGCTGGCTGCCCGCCTGCCGCGCCGCAGCGTGCTACGCCACGGCGCTTAAAGGAACTATTTCACACCAGAGGTATTGCACAGTATCATACGAAATTGCAGGCGCTCCAACATGTTAGGAATGGCAGGCATCCTTCAAAAGTACGGAGCTTCCCTCGCAAAATAAATCAAGATACTACTGCCCAAAAAGAGGAGCGGTAGTCCAAAAACTCACCAAGTTCTAGCATCCGTAATTAGTAACGTTTAGCATACATTTTATCACCAGGCTGTTGCTTAGTCGCCATCGGCTATAAAAGGCTGTAAGAAATTAGATTACCGGCTATAGAAGCTATTAAAAATCTTACAGCCGGCTGTAGGTCTATGGCATTTTGGAACACAGATTTTACTGCCAATTTTTACCAGGGTCTATAAACTGTCTTGATATTCACGTGGTCCGAAATATTTTAATTTAATGCTCCATTTTTTGGACAGCCTCGGTCTTTAAGAGCAACTTCGTTTACAACTTCACGTAAATTAAAATTATCCGTTTTGTAGCTTTCAGTGTTATTAATCATTAGTTAAAACATTCAGAAAAATGTTCTGCCCCTATTTTACTCGAAAATATTAAATTTTATTAAATTCAAATTCGAGCCCGAATGAATTTTACACAACGTTACTCAAATCGATTAAAAAAAAATATTCTTCCTTGGTTTGTATAATGAGAGTGCCGCTCACAGCAATGAAAAAGTGTTGAAACATGACTGAATTGCGTCCGTGCAATTTTGTCGTCTCTTTTGACAAATTAAGCTCGCTCTTAGTGGTTGAATTTTTTTTTTTTTTTTTTTTTTTTTTTTTTTTTTTTTTTTTTTTTTTTTTTTTACACTTTCAATATCTCACAAGGGATAATCTTGCGCTTTATCATCCCTAAAGTCCCATCCCCCCTCCGTTCCAAATCAAGCCAGCCCCAGCCAACCGTTGTTTGAGACCGTCAAACTCGGGTCACCTGGCCAGGAATCGAACCCGTGACCTTTCGACAATTGAGCAAGCGCTACAATCACCACACTACAGGAAACTTACATGAAATTGCATGTTCCAGACCATCAACCGAGGAGCCACTCGACAACGAGGATGAAGAGACCGAGGTAGAGGCACAAAGCCCACAATACAAAACTATCGAAAGGTCAAAAATTGTCGACGACGCCTCGGAGGAGCCAGAGGAAGTGCAGGAAGTCCAGACTCCGAAATATTCCAGCATATTTCGAAATCGCAGTCCACCCTCAAAAGAGTCGAAACCGACCTACGTCACCCTTCAAAGGAACCGGAATACGCAAGTTGCTCCAAGTCCAGTGGAAGAACAAATAGACGAGGGCCCTGTCCTTGAGTCGACTTCTCCGTCTGCTACTCCAAAGTAAGTAAAATTCATATCAGTCAAACACGATGGCGCTAGGTCAAAATGACCTCCAAAAAATTTCTTAAAGTCAAAATGTTTCCAAAAAATGTCTTAAAGTCAAAATGTCCAAACCCAGAATGTCCAAAAATCCAAAAAGGCCAAATCCCATATTGTCCAGCAGAAGTCCGACGGCAAACGTACAAATGTCAGATTAGGCAATTTTTGGATTTTCGGTCATTCTGGATTCGGACATTTTGACCTAGCACCAACACGAGAAACCCACGCTTGAAAAGACATAATAATATTCTCATCTCAGTGGAAAAATTTAATTAAAAAGATCTAATTGTACGCCGACAAGCGACCGCACTGTAGGTATTTGGCGCAATGCGAGAAGTATTCCTACAGTCTTGTAGGCGCTGATATCCTTCTCGCGCCGACCAGCGACCGCACTGTGTTTGGCGCAATGCGTGCAGTCTGTTTTGGATTTTTTAGTTCAATTTGGACAGTTGTCGGAGAATTGACGATTGAGTTTTTGCGATATTGCGATTATTAAGCCTGTCAAACGAAACAATGACCAAAACCTGACCAAAATAATGACCAAACAATGTGAGGCAGCCTGTCTCACGGTATTTAATGGATTTAAATGGAGTCTTATGGTTTCACCACCGATCTATTCTTTTATTCAATTACTAATTTTGTATCTTGACCGTATCTTGATTTTATATCTTTCTAAATGTTTGGTCTTTGAAACAATTTGAGGTATCCTATTAAGTTTAAAAAATTCTAAAGCATTGCCCAGTGTTTTTTGTCCTTGATTTGGTCCCCTCATCGTATTTTTAATTCGCTTTTAACTTAAATTTTCCTACAACTTTTTTAAGATTTTCAAGGTGTAATATGATTTATAATTACCCATACTAAAATTTGGAGATGGCTCACCTCCTTGAGGATAGCTCCTATGTGAAATCAGACAGAACAATTTCGGCGGGATTGGAATTTCTTTCACAAATATATGACATAAATATCAATATGATTTCTATGTCACCGCTCCTTCACCCAGGGAATATTTTACGAGGTGGACATGGCATTTTCGTACAGCTAATGAAGCGACGCGAGAAAATAAAACTAAGTTTTCACTCGTAAACTGAGCTTATGCTTGAAAACTTCAATATTTTAATGATCGTGTTATCTAAGACGGTACCTTAAAGCGCAAATATCTGAAAACATAAACTTCAAAAGTGAGGGATACATGGCCTATGAGGACATATACTTGAATGAAGGAAACCTTTATAAGCAAATTCTACATTATTTTTTTCAACGCCTTATTTAGGATTTTATGCTAGGAACTTCAGGCCGGCTTCCTTTAAATAATTCCTCATTGGTTCGTTTTTTATGAGCCTGGTCTATACTGGTTCTCCAATTCGATGACTTTGAAGAAATCAGTAATGTAAGGTCTTTTTCCAACAAGCTGTGGGTCCTGTATCATCGAGTTCTGAACTGGCCATAGGTTGATGTGAGATTTCTAATTGATCTTTAAAGTTTTTACGGTAAAAATCAGTAATAATGTACTTCATCAGCACAATAGGCTACGCTTGAATTATATTAAAGTGTAAGATTAACGAACAAAACCTTCTCAGATAATATTGCACGCGGCAAATGCAAAGCGAATTCCATTACAACGCCTTGATACAACTTTTCGGGCTCCAAGGATATCTGTGTTGCATACGCACGGGATTGAAGGCGTTTTGACTGTTCAAGCACTCGGCGCTCTACGCGACGGCTTGTCGGGCAGCACTGCACAGATCGAAAAGGATACAACACCTTAAATTCTTCGTTTATTATACAAAAACATCTTTTAGGCAGGATTAGTTGCTCTAAAAATCATACTTAGCACGTCGCGATATCAAAACTGAAGCACAAAAGACACTAACTTCCTAAGTACGTGTGCAGAGTATTCGTGCTTTTGAGATGTCTTTGTAGTAGAAACTAATAATTACAGGCACTCTGTAATTTTGGATCATATCTGTAAAGCCACCGTTGGCGCCGCGAATGAAGCAGTGAGCAATGAGCTCCTGGACGGTCAAAACGCCTTCTCTTGCGTGCGTATGCAACACGGTCATCCATGGAGCCCGAATAGTTGCATCCAAGAGTCAAAATGAAATAAGTACAGTGTTTGTCACATTCGACATTAACTAAGGGCGCTTTGGGAGTTCGGGACACCATAAAACGTCCTTTGCATGTTCTATAATACACGGAAAAAAGAGGCAGGAGTTGCTGGATGATATGGACATTTCCAATTAATTGTGATAATACCCAAATAAATTAGGTTACCAACCCAAATGTTGTGGTACTACAACAGTTAGTTGGAAACTCCCATATCATTCAACAAAAGGTAGTGTAAGTGTAACATGTCAGTGTATCATGTCGTTAGCCGTGTGTTGTGGACGCAGTAAATTTTCTCAGCAATTTGTTGAATGCTTAGAGATTTAGGCAGAGAATCCTATTATCATCCAAATTTTTCCAGACTTTTTTAAATTTTGACCACACTTGAAATCAAAATATTTTAGAAAACTTTTTCTTTTTTTTTTTGGAGACAAGTGTATGCAGCAACGTTGTCAGTGTTGTTTGGCTGCACCGGAGTTAGGTGGCGAAATCACTCTTGCAACTCTTACTCTACAAGAAACAAGAAAATAAAAAATACGAACATTTCATGCCTACATTCGACCGAGTTAATTTTTTCATGACGCTGGGAAGCCCTTGAGAGATTAGACTTAAAACTTTACAAATAATTTGTTCACTGTTTGTGAACGTAATCTCTGAGAAGAGACTAGAAATAAGTTTGTCACCTTTTCGCTCATTAATAAATTTTCCGGAAATCAAACTTTATTAATCAAATCAATTTATCAACTAATCAATATTTTATCGAGTGATTATTTGTGCAGGTACGTGACACTGCGTCGACAGAGGCCCCAGTTGTTGGATCCGGCGTCTGACGACCAAGGCGAGACTCCGGATAAAAAAAGCAAGTACGAAGTCAGCTCTACGACGACTGACGTGACGGACTCCACTAGCACGATAAAGCCAAGAGTGAAGGTGAGTGACCCTTCCAGTACAATGGAGGTAATTATTGTAACACCCGAACCAGTTACACCTTCGAGGCTCCCGCCACCATTAAAGGCTACGCTACCTCCGACAAGCACTTCACCCTCCCTCCCGACGAGCACCACTCCGACCGCAGCCACCACCCCTTCCAACTTCTTCGTACCATCCACGAGCACAAGAGTCGTCACCACCATCGTCCAAGCGGCCACCGAAAGACAGGTCGTCCCGGTGAACAAACTGGAGTACTTCTTGGCCAAACACTCTTCCGGCATCAGGAACCTGCCCATCAACTCGGAGATCATCCACAACGATGTCCAAAAACTCGACGCCGAGATCATAAACAAGCTGAAAAAGTCGCAACCATCGCACAGGCCGAGCTTCAACGAAAGTAAACCCTCCGAGGGAACTAAATACAACGGCATAAATTTCAAGAGATACAACAGTCCGGCTAACCGTACCAAACTGGCTGCAAAATCACCGACGGACTCGACTGAGAGGGATGCTTTGTTCACGCCTTCGCCGTTCAGAAAATCGCACAACACCACACATTTTGATAACTTCTTGAAGATGAGACATAACTCCAGGTATTTATCCCTCAACGGCACAACACCTGAGCCCACTGCGGAAACTGCAAGAAAATTCGTACCATCCCGCTCTAGGGTATTCAAGACGACGCCGATCCCAGCAGAGGACACTTCAGAATACGGCGATTCGTCGACTAGGAGGAGGACTACACCGATCAGCCCGACGTCTACCACCATCGCGGATATAAAGAAGCGCAGAGTGCTGCTCCGAGGGAAACCAAACAGCCCCGAGCTCATCACCCTACCCACGTCTCTGGAACCAAGGAGTTCCACTCTCCCTCAGGATCTTCAAACCCAACCGGGGATCCACAATTTCCAATCGAGCGTCGCCTATTCGAAGCAAGAGAAAATCATAGCCGACGATAAAGAGGGAAAGATCGAACTCAACGAGGGCAGAAATTCTCTTCTCTACGACGACAAAAAATCATCGACCACGGATGGTGAAAATAAAATCCCCGCCACCCCGGAATATGAGTACGTTACTCGATCGATCAAGCCGAAGAACTTGAACGACTTTAGTAGAGCACTTGACCCCTACACTAGTCCTTACACCTCTACGCTGGAGGTTACGACTTTCAAACCTCCTCAGAGGGGAAAAATCCGCGCTCAAGATTACTTGCAAAAACTCGCCGACGAGTTGGGGACGGAGGTGGAGGAAAACCAAGGCGAGCTCAAAACAGTGTATTTTGACAAAGACTTTTACGAAGGGAGCTCTAAACCCTCGATTGAACGGTACAGCCATGAGTCTCCGCAGCTCAGTAAAGTCAAAAACGCTGCACTCTACTCTACCTCGAGTCCTGTGACCAGGCGCACCAACCCCGAAGAGAACCTTGATAACGGTAGAATTAATTCTAACGTAGAGAATGAAAAGGGTAAAGTCTATCGGGGCTCGGTGCGGGCTCACCACTTGCTCCAAGAAGACCAGAATATCGAGGAGGAATACATCCAAGCAACCACCAAACGTGGTAGCCACTATGCCAAGGCTTACAGTTCTGGAGCGTCCTCGACTAGGAAGCCGTATGCCCAAATCTCTAGAGATTATGCCTCGCAAGAAAGTAATATCGACAGCGTTGTAAGCACGGATGCAGTTCGTCAATCGAAGGAGCAGAAAGAAAGTGATCGTAAGATCGTTACTTTGAGGGGAAAGATTCGCTACGCAACGGATGAAGAGAAGCCGAAGAAGGCTCGCGGCAATGTCATCCATGCGGAGTATTTCGAAAACCAAAGGTTCTCGTTCCAACCGACTTCCGAGCCTCCACCGCGACCGAGCCTGGCGTATCGCGGGGAGGTTAGGGAGGCTCCTAACAACTACCTCCTGACCAACCTCAACAACGGACAGCTGATTCATCTCCAGGCGCCTCTGCTGGCCCACTCCTTATTGGCGGACGAGAAATTTTTCGAAGACAGTCAGTCCATTTTGAATGAGAACATCGACGACTCGCCAGTCCTGATTCAGAGCCGCGAGATCAGCTCCCATCATTACGAGAGGCAAACGAGTGACAAATCCGAGCTTGGAAATGATAATAAGATCCTGGCTGAGTCGACACCGAACTCGGGGAACGAGGTACGACCAAAAAAATGAATCGCCTCGCTGCCTTCCTAATCCAACCATTTAAAGCATGCTTGTCTACCGCTTGGAACCCTTTTTGTACCCTATTTTTAACTTTTTTGCATCAACTAGAATAAACATGACTGGAACCCGAGGTTAACCCGGCTTTTGTTTTGCTTGCTACTAACGTATGTTTGGTGTCATCGTTGTTTGTTCTGCATGTGGCGCCGAAGTATCTGGTTTGGGTGTTATGATCTGTGTGTTTATTACTCATTGTAATTGATATCGTTATACAATTGGTACACCTGGATTATGAAAAAAAAGCAAGGAAATTAATATCTGTGCATTCATTGTGTCAACTTTGTCTTGCTTGGTAAATTCATAAAATATTTCCCTGTGCTCTATTTTTTTCCATTGACAAGATCCCGATGATAAATGTAAGTTTTATTCATTTTAATTATAATGTATTATGAACGATAAATTGATATGGACCGACCATCAGCTGCCGTTTGCATGCCGAACTATCAAAAGCCCCAAGGAAGGTTTCCCGGTTAAAATTCTCAGTTCCCCATTTTTGTGGAAATTTATAGCTACACCATCTCCTATCGTGTAAAATCGCAACCAAAGAAATTAAACCAAAGGCGACTCTTTAGGAGTAAGCGTTATACACTGGCCGTCAAGGATTTTATTAATATGGAAGCGAGGAAAAACTCTAAAATCTGGCCTTATTCGTTGGCGTGGGATTGGTCAAAAAAAATCATAATTACCGGTTGCATGTAGGGTTGAAGTAAATGTTTTTCTTTTTTTTTTTCCATGTGTTGCATTGATAATTCTCAGGAGCCTGAGTGCTTAGCTCGGGCTCGGGATGCTTGCGGGTGAAAGGACCCGCACTTTGCGGGTTGTATACTTCGTAAATTGAAGGCGGTTCACTATTCCAAGTAAACAAAAGGTCTCAAATGCCCTCACTTTGGTCCTAGGAGAAATATAAATACAGATTTTATTCAATTTTTCCCAATTTATCCCCTCCCCCCAAACAAAAATAACTTTTCTTTGTGCCCACCAAAACATCGGTTTTTAGAACTCGATAAAAGATTGAGAACAGAGGTTAGAAGCTCTGATTATTTTCTGGGTGTTTGAGAGGGCCTGAAATAGCCTCGAAAAAATTAGATAATTATTTTCGCGGTAAATGATTTTATTTAAATTCGGCTTGCAGATATTATTAAAGAAATAAAATCGGTGCTACTGTAATTTACCATTCTTAACATATTAATCTTAAGACTGTTATCACTGGCCATCTGATTCAGATATAAAGCCAGCCCCTTTTCTATGAGGGGTACTTTTGCGCTTGCGTCTCTAAGTACTTTCTAAGAATATGACCTGTTCGGTAAACTAATGATGGCTCTATATTCTTGTGTGTATTAGTCATTTAATCTCAATTTTACAGTATACTTTCAACTAAATGAATAACATTATTAAGGCTAGCCTGCAGTTAAAGGATTAAATACTTGCCTGGATTGAATAACATGGTGCGAGCATTTAACAAGACAATCTGTTTATATAATGGAAAAGTTTGATTTCATTTCACAGATTCCAACAATAAGGAACAGGACTCAATTTAGGCGACCAAATTCATCCATTTTGCGCACGAGATCAACGGTAAGGCCTACAACGGAGGCTCAAGAATCGACAACGGATTTCACGAGAGCTCCCGCTAACAAATTTTTCAGAAGACGAAAAATTCAGCCTGAAATCCAATCGTCAATACAGCCACAGTCAACCACGCCAAAAGGTGCAGAATCAATCCATAGTACGTATTAAGTATGGTATCATACCATCATACAAGAACAACGAGAAACTATACTCATCAGAAAATGAGAAAAAATATAAACTACTTTAAAAGCAGATAGGGAACGTAGGAGAACGTAGAGGAAGGGGGGGGGTATCGATACCAAGCACAGAAAGGGGATGAATTTCTTCAACTTTACAATATTTTACTCGTTTAAGGTCTATATTTTACGGAATTCATCATGATCTGAATATTTTCGATCTTTTTTCGGGTCTAATACTGACGTAAACCTGGGTCTAAGGGCAGATTTTAGCGAAAACTGCGCGTTTGACGAGCTTGCAGTGGAATGCCAAAAGGTCCTCATTTTTCTCCAAAATCGGCCCTCAGACCCATGTTTGTTGAATGGTTTCCAGAGGAAACGTAAATTTTTGGATACTTTACGACGCCTAGAGGAAACTCTTTCTTGTATTCATCGAATTTAGTCGCATAGTACTAAGGAGGTATGTATGGTTCAATGAGCGTAACGTCTTAAATGCCCCATGAAAATAGCTTTTGTTTTCACTCATCCCAAGTCAAACGGCATTTCTTACTGACTAGATCGGATAAAAATTCATCGACGGTTGACATTTTTACTAATATTCTGCGGGGAAATTGGACTGCATTTTGCAATTTGGACCTATGAATTCCGGTCCGTTTTAAAAACAACGTATGCGCCATTAGTTTCCCTATGCACATAAGTGTTTTTTCAGATGAGCCAGAATTTATAGGTCCAAATTGCAAAATGCAGTCCAATTGAGTGAAAGCGAGGCAGCGAGTCCCGTGAAATATCTCTCACTGAGAAAACCAGTAGCGAGGCGTGAACGATCGATAATCGATATTTCCCCCATTTGAAGCTGTAGTTAATAACCGATAATTGAGGTGTTCGTTGCGAACACCCTGTTTATCGATTCTTTTTCCATAGGCTTAAATGGCAGATCAATGGATACATCGCAAAGCAGACCATGCCACCGGAGAAAACTCATCTCAATGTGACGACTTGACGTAATATGGGTAATTGGGTGACCGACTAACCGACGAATTATTACTAGCTACCGATCTGACTGACCGTCAAAATCAAAATTTAATAGGAAAGACACGTTACATTAATGCAGAGATCAGCCTATTACTTTCATCTCTTGTTCTCCATTCCATTTTCTTCGCCAGGTCCTCATTTTTTATGATCGCACATGATAAGACCTTAAAACGTCGACTATACAGTTTCGGCATTTTTACTTACCTACGACTACGAATCAGATCACCTCGAACCCCTCATGGTGAACGCTTGGTATAGTTTGTCGGGTCACTAAACCCACTGCGCGCCACAACCTCGGATACGTTCTACTTTTAAGATAGTGGTTTGCGTTTTATCAGAATTATTGAAAACTTTGTCTCCTCCTCCTCTTAATTATTTAGATAATACGTACCAGTACCACAAACCACATGCATCAACGATGTTTTTCAGCGTGTGCGGTACCTACTCCTGTCCACTCATGCGGTAAATTTTATTTTTTTAAAAACATTTACGGTTTACCTATAGGTAGACTATTTTACATAAAATGTAAGACAGCAACTTTTTGGTCATGAAATGAATTAATTTCCATGTCTCGTAAGACGTTTCAGAGAGACATGCGCACATATTTTCATCGCAGCCCTAAAACCCTCACCTTGATTTTCAGCAATATAGTCACTTCTGAACAAACTTCCCTAAGACTGAGCGGCAAACTTCTTGTTCTGTCAACTACATAACGGACTGGACCGACGTACAACATACATCAAAAATACACGGCTTCCTGATTTGGTATTTTAAAATCCATTTTAAAGATTGCTTGGGTGTGGAGCGAATGCTACGTATAATCATTCAAGTGGCATATTATTGTTATTCGTAGCTTGGTGTTTCATCCCATAGAACTCCTGCATCGGACTTGACTAACTATCCTTGTAGAAAAGTATTACTGTTAATTCCTTCCATGACTTGAATCCAATACCCTTGTATACTCTTGAATACTCTTGAGAATATGTATATAAGTAATTAGTGTAACACTAGATACTGTACAAACTTTTAGATATGCACGTGAGTGCTTAATGTACAAATTATGGCGTCGCTGAGTTGTTTATTCGTAAGTATGATATGGGAAGTAGGAATTTGCAATCCGTTGTTTGATATACTGCTACACATTATGTGAGGCCGCTTTATGTTTCTTCCTCTTCTTCCTCATTTTTTCCTTCTCTGTTTCCTCCGTTATCAATGAAGATACTTTCTGTGTATATTTTGTCTTTCGATCTGGTATTACGTCAAGTGATTTATTACACATATGATTATATATAGCAAGAAACAATTTATCTCTAAATATACGTGGACATGTATGAGTCATCCCGTAAGAAATGATTCAGAAATGGTATAAATCTATTAACTACAAAAATGGTCATTTTAAAGTTTTTCCAGTTTTTCTGTCCCTCGTTAAATGGCAATCTGAAGGTGCAATTTTTTTTTTTTTTTTTTTTTTTTTTTTTTTTTTTAGTCAACATTTTCGGATATTTAAGTTACTCTGAAAGGGAATTTATGAATTTGAGTTGGATAGAAATAAAATGAAGGATCCCGATACAATTATTTACCTCACTTAACACCGATTTTTAGATCATATACTCAATATTAGGTCATCGGGTCTTGAAATCGTTGCTGATGGCGGTTACAATCACTGATTTTAATCTCTTACATCTCAAAATTGGAAGATACCGAAAACCTGAAATTTTTCAAGGAAATTGTCTTTTAACACCCTGGTCGAAAGCCAGATTGTGGTCACTTACCTAATCGCAATTTATCGCGATCACTGCTACTTGGGATAAGCTTGGTGCGTTTCTAATATCTCGGTCCATCTTGTTTCGTTTTTATTCATTACGAATAAAATCAGTGAAGACATATGATTCCGTTAAAATCTGGATTATGAAATTTTTTTTCTTTGATGATATAAGGTTAAATTGTTCACTTGAGTACATACTTAGTTTTGCACTCGGGCGTATAATTCATGCAAACTTACGAGGATTTGTCATTTTTATAAAAACGCTGATCTCCGTAGACTTGAGCGCTACGCGCATACGGGGAACGGCATTAAGTCGCGGAGAGCGGAGACTTTAACGCACGGATAAGAAAAAAGACCAGTTTTCAATTTCTGCTTAGGAGCATTGCTCAAGCTAGCGATGAGGCAGAGGTGGGGTAACAACCCCTCTTTACAACCTCTCTTACAAGAGGAGGGGAACGCCGTATGAGTTACTAATCTATGACTGTTGACTAATCTGTTATGCGACTAAGCACTTCCTCAAAAACTTTAGCAGGTCCTTCTACGTTTCCTTATGGAGATTTCAGGGCTTGAAATTGGTGATTTTCACCCTTGCGCGCAGCGATTTTAAGAACTGCTAACTTAAAATTGAGGAGTTAGATGATAGATAATTTGGTTTTTCATTAGGCACTAGTCTTTATTTAAACAATCAGTATCAAGTAGGAGTTTCAAAAAAGTAAGCATTTATTTTGAACGGCTCGGAATCGGAATCTTCTCTGTTCTTCATTAGTTTTTCACGAGTTTTTACGAGTTTTACAGAGCGTTTACTGGCGTTCGAGTATTGTCATCTCCTCTCTTACGATATTATTTACTCAGAGACGATATATTTTAGAGACCCCATATTAGAAATCAAAGCGATGTATAATGGGGCGAAAAGCTGGGTAGAGCAAATTTAATATGAGTTCGGGGATCAGAATTTCGCAACTTCTTGAGCATAAATTCGCAGGACGATGATTAATGATTTTTTTTTCCAATTTTTAGGGGGAGTTTTTAAGGATTGGGCTGGGGTGGCTACCGCCACCTAGAATCGGGGTGAGCACATTGCTCGGCGAGTTTTGCAAAACCAACCGCTCCATTGTTTGGATACCAATTATCAATAAGCGAATATGATTGTGAGCTTCGAAAATAACTTCTACACCACAGGGAAAATAGCAGTGCGGGGTTTCTAAAATATACCGTCTCTGGTCACGTCCCTCGAAAACGCATGGTAACATCCTCATTTAATTGGTTTCAGATGAAGAAACAAGCACAATCCGAGGGCGAAAGATCGAGTTCCCCCGCCGCGTGACGAGCAAACCGACGAACCCCGAACGGAGCGTCCCCGAATCGGCGACGATCCAGTTCACCAATTCGTCCATCGACTACGAAGACACGCAGGCCGACGGCGGGTCCGTGAGCAACCGGATCGGCTCGCTGGAGGACCGAGCCCAGGTGGACAAGATCTCCGACCTGGCCAACGTGGCCGTGGTGGCCATCCACAACCTGGCCACGGTCGGGCCTCGGATCCCGGCCGTGCTGACGACGAAAATCGAGAAGGTGCCTGTGCGTCAACTCATCGTCACCCAGTCGCCCGTCACGCAACCACCCATCGTCGTCGCCCCCGTGAAGAAGTACACGCACCGCGGGAATATCAAACCGTATCTTCGGATCACGACGCCAGCGCCAGCGTCTATCCCCGCTGCGGCGCCTCCGTTCAAGCTGCAGGACCCTCTCTTCGACTACGACTCGGAGTACTACGCAGAGCCCGTCGACGTGCCATTGAGCGGGAAGGTCCGCATACATAACGACGGGTACATCGAGTGTCTCGACGTGGGCAACTTTCCGCATCCCTTCTCCTGCCGCAAGTTCATCTCCTGCGCCAAGATGGAGAACGACAACCTCCTCGGCTGGGAGTACACCTGCCCGCGCGGCCTCTCTTTCGACCCCATCGGCGGCATGTGCAACTGGTCCGCGGGACTCGGTTGCAAAGAGTGAAACTAGTCTTTTGTTAATTCTCCTTTTGTTTCTCTTCGTCTCCAGATTAAGTTCGAGTGCCTTTGTCGAGAGAGTACGGACACTGAACACTGAAAAAAATGACATGCTGTTTTGGCATCTACGATGTCAAAAATGTGTCTGGTGATCCTGAGATGCCGCCTTGATTGCCCACGCAGTTGAATTTGCATTCACAGGATGTAGAGTTAACTGCGGGGGCAGTAAAAATAGCATCTTGGGATCACCGGACACATTTTTGACATCCCAGATGCTAAAACGGTATTTTTTTCAGTGAAGGAACCGACTCTGATTGGCTCAGCCACTTTACGAATCATGTAGTGGCGTTGTGTGATTTGCGATGTATCGATTGATCTGCCATTTAAATCTATGGAAAAGGATCGATTAACGCGGTGTTCGCAACGGACACCTTGATAATCGATTTTTTACCACAGCTTCAAATGGAGAGATATCATTTGGACTACATTATGCAATTTGGAGCTATAAATTCTGGCCCAGTATAAAAACAACGTATGTGCCATTAGTTTCCCTATGCACATAAGTGTTTTTTTTTTTCAGTTGAGCCAGAATTTATAGTTCCAAATTGCACAATCCAGTCCAACTATCGATCATTCACGCCTCGCCACTGGCCTCATGGAGCTCGCAGGATAAGAAAAATGGCGGAACGTCACTAACTGACGATTTGACGATTCAAAAGTGCAGGGCATTAAATTGTATTTGCTTGTATCGCCATGAACTTGGCTCAAATCACACAGTGGCGTATTCCATCAATTTTGAAACCAATTTTGAGCATTAAAGTTAGAAGAAAAATTCAACTTGAGCCTTTACTATACCAAGTTATAGCAGGTTATAAACTTCAAAGATTGACAACAACCCCCTTTTGCCCGCTTCCACGTAGAATCGCCGCCATTTTCGTTTTATTCTAAGGGTCTTCATGAGACCCATTGTGTTTAAACTCTCTCTATGTAGGCACTCTATTTTAAGTAAGCTTTTCAACTCTGCCACCGGCTGTAATGATTGTTCAACCGATCCCAAGAACACCTCACGGAGGGAAATGTGGAAAAGTCTCCGACTATTGTTCGCTCGCTGACGTTTGTTTTTCATACTGAAGAGCACTCGTTATGACTTTTTCCCCATGCAGTTTATTCGTGTGACGAAAGCTTGACGTTTAGATGGCTAAAATCTCTGGTATGCATATATACCTGAATTCGTAGAGAATCCTGCGGTAAAGTTGCCACTAGAAAAAAATTTCAGTCCAAAGAAGCTTTTGCTGGCCCCTCTGAAAAACGGTAAGGCATGCGCATCTAAGCAGAACGGAATTGCACTGCTAGCTCAAGCGTTTTAGATATTCTAGCCTTCGTTTACCACTGGCTGTAAGACGTTTTTTTTAAAAGGGGTGGGGCGAACGGTTGTCACTTTAAAGATATACAGAATCAAAAAGTCTATTGACTTTGCTCTCATATCTTGAATTCGTTCAATATGAAGATAAAAAAACTTTTGGGTATCATACTGCACGGTTCAAAATATCGATAGCAAGCCAATAAATAATAATAAAAAAAAAACGCTTAAAAGACAGATAAAAAATAAGAGCGATTAGACACTAGAAAATATCCCTCTTGTCCTTTTCGCCTATGTTATTTCCTCCACAAGAACAGCAACGAAGTGTCATACTGCTGCAAGTAGCTGTACTGCCGTGCTAAGGAAGAACGTCGTATGAACATTCGAGAGTTGCCAAATTTTCTTCGATAAAATATGTATTAATGAGAAAAGTTGTGAATATTATTCCTTGAAATTTTCAGGGACTCCATGTGAAATTTCGAACCAAATTACCTGAAAAATTGAAAGGAAAATATTCATGACTTTACCAGAAATTTTGTGTTTTATCAGAGGAAATTTGGCAACGCCTTAAGGTTCATACGGCGTTTTTCCTTAGCACGGCACTGTAGGTATCTGAAACGAGTAGAGTCTCCCAATTTACAATTGACGTGCTCCCTTTTTCAGAGGGGTGTTACAAAAATTCCGCTTTACTGAAACACTCTAAAAAAAAGGGATAGTCGAAAATTCAAAACAAGTGCAATACGTACCTACTTAACTTTACTTTATATTACATTTTGTTACTTTCATAGCAGTATAAACAGCCATAGGTTGAAACTGCACTACTGTTATTAATTGTTGGTTTATTTGTTAGTTTGTTTGTATGTTTGCATTCTCATGTGTTAGGATATTTAAATAAATAATTTTAATTACTTGTGAATACGTATTATATTTGCCGTTTGGTTAAAAATTAATAATGTTTGTGCATTGAGATCTTTTTGGGAAGAAAGATGAAAGTAGACGGGTTTTGTAAATATGTCAAAAACCGTAATTTATTTTAGACCGCATTTCTATGTGTAGTTTTTGTGAATAATTATTCGGTCCTTTAGGGATCTATTTCATCTATCTGTAATTGCAAATTTGAGGTTTGCTGGAAAAATCGCAATTTATGCGATGTTTCTTTAAGTTTACAAATTATTAAGTCCAAGCGTCATTTTGAGGAAAAGAGCTGGTCCATGAATCATCCTAATTTTAGGAATGAAAGACCTCCAAATAATTGTTACCCAAAAAGCGATTTTTCATTGCTTTGCTCGCTCTCTCTGTCCCCTTCCCCCGCACCCTTCCTCCCTTCTTTTCATTTCCTTTCCTGGGCAATATTCCAATAGATGAAGACAACTTAGCCTTACTTCTGCCTATTCTTGGATCTCGACTGAAAATTGTAAGTATAGGGGATGGAGAAGATAAAGGCCTTTTTTTGTATTAAGCGTATCGTTTAAATGCAAATAATGCTGGTTAGACCTATGTTCTGTATTTTGTTCACTCAAAAGAAGCCTACATAAGAACTTGGGCCAAATTTTTTAAGGAAAATAAAACCAATAAAAAACTTTATAATTGATATACTGATGTGATGATTATTATACCTACTCGTTCAATGCATATTATCATAGACGGTTCTACGTGGGGGCCCGTGTGTGCCAGGCACCCCCAAGCAAAAATTAAGTAGGTATACGGTTATCGGAACCGTGAAATTACTGCTTTTAAAGATTCTCTATTCGCTCACACTGAGAAGAAATCCCAGCAATTAATTGAAAATGTTTTAGACAGAATTAAAATTGATAGCCGTGGTTTACAAAGATTCCACTGTTTTTTTTTATGGTAAGACTGTAGTTTTGATGGAAAGTTTTGATAAAAATTTTCTAAATTAAATTTACAGGTATTTCAGTGGAGAGGAAGGAAAGAAAACGAGAAAGGGAAGGGATAAAACTTAAGGGCCGAGACTTAGGCCTCCCCTGAGCGACCGTCCCCTTTGGAGCCGGTCTCCGACGTTTTCCACCCCTGGGCACCAACAAGAATGGAGGTCTAGAACCGCCCATGATATTAAGCATTAAGCTTCCACGGCCTTACTAAGGCGCAGGGATACAACTATTTGAACTCTCCGGAACGCGTGAGGTGTCACGCCTCAATTGAAGGCGTTTTCGAATCTTCTGTGTTACATGACGAGTTTTCTAAATTTTTTTGCATTATATTGTTGATTTGAGTTCCTTTTATTATTTAGTTAAATTTCTCCTGCTTCTTAATTTTTAATTATTCTGCAAAAATTATTCATTTGCGAAATACAATCCTGGCTTTAGCGCCCTTAAACTACGGCCTTAACGGTCGAAACTGCAGTAGCGGCAAAGGAAAACCGAAAAACCAAGCGGGGACGCTACTTCAATATGAAGCTTCCATCGCCTTGCAAAGGAGCAGGGATACAACTATTTGAACTCTCCGGAACGCGTGAGGTATCACGCCTCAATTGAAGGCGTTTTCGAATCTTTTGTGTTACATGACGAGATTTTCCGAATTGTCTTGCATTATATTCTTGATTTGCGTTCCTTTTGTTATTTAGTTAAATTTCTCCTGCTTCTTAATTTTTAATTATTCTGCAAAAATTATTCATTTGCGAAATACAATCCTGGCTTTAGCGCCCTTAAACTACGGCCTTAACGGCCGAAACTGCAGTAGCGGCACAGGAAAACCGCGGAAAACCAAGCGGGGGCGCTACTTCAATATAAACTTATCATACTATTCAAACTCCCTAATTTTTTCATTCGACATCAGACCACTTTAAGAACTCGGGTTCCTTTACGCCAAAATTGAATGCAAACGTCAAATGGATGATACCACCAATGAGTTCTATCCATCAAATAGCGAAGCGAGATATATTCACCGCTAATTTGAAGAGATAACTATTCGTGCTCCCCTTTAGGTTGGTTGCCTACTCGGCAAAATTGAAGGAGCGTATCAAACGGACAATATCCACCGGTATTGCCGTGTTACCAAATGAGAAAAGAACACTAAGAAGTGGCCCGAACTGTATGTAACAAGTTGGAGAAATGGTGCTGGGTCCACACCATTAAGCGGCTTGGGGAAAACAAAGCCAAGAAGTTCCCAAAATTATAATCAGAATCAAAAATAATTTTTTTTTAACTCTAATGAGTACCAGTACAAAACTGAGGGGGGAGAGTGTTCAGCTCAGACAATTTGCATTGGAGTCACGCCGAGAGATCTATTTTGGTCTTCTTAGATCTCATCAGCAGAGCACACTCGTCAGTGAACCCAACTTAACATGCCGCAAAATCCAAGACGGCATTAAAACGCCGTCATGGATCGGAACTTCCGGAGTGTAAAGGTTTTTGAAGTGGTTTCATTTTGATTTTCTCGTAAAATTTCCTTTAAAAAACACCTCATACGAATTATAATGTGAGGAAATTCGCAATTTAGGTCAAAAATTTCATTTCCAGCCTCTTTGAAAAGTTCTCTTCATGTGACTATACCTACTGCAATGATCTTGAATCACAGAGTATAGTCCAGTTAAATTAGCTCTTAAAAGGGCAATCTAGAAGCATCAATTTTTAGAAGAGGTTTCTTTTCGGAAACATTTTGCAATCTGCCACCAGAACAACATAACAAAACTTAATTTAACGATTAAAGCGCGTACTGTAGTGAACGCGCAATGCGTGAAGTATTCTTACTGTCTTGTAGGCGCTAATCAGCGCCGCTCTCCGCGGCTCTCCGCGCCGACCAGCTGCCGCACTGTGTTATGCGCAATGCGTGAAGTATCCATGCACTCTTGTAGGCGCTAATGTGCATTCGTGCCGTCCGGCTGGCGGGATTAGAAACGATGATACAGCATTAAATTTGAATGAAACTATAGAAACAGAGGAGGAATAATAAGTTTAGAATTGCACTGAAGAGTTTGAAAAGGAAATAAATTTGGCTTTGCGCAAACAAGGGAGTAAGTTCTCATTTAAGAATTTAAAACTTCTCTTTAAAAATAGAAATTATCAAGGATGAATAGGCTAAAAACAGGTGCTCTAGAACCAAAACTGGCAATCTCTATTGCCCTGTCTAAAAATTGTGCTATCATGATACTTTAATATTGAAAGAACGAGAAAACCTCCATATCCATGTTATCTTGCAAATTTTATTTTTTCAAGCGAGAAAATTTGGGGAAATGTGAAAAACAGCCAGAACTTTTATATGCTACTCTCAGATTTTTTTTTTTTTTTTTTTTTTTTTTGAGTTTTGTGGCTTAATAAAATTACTTAGTATGATTGAAAAATTTCTAGACAGGGTAATAGAGATTTTCGGTTTTGGTGCTCATTCAGTGAAATTGTGAATTTTATTATGTACACGAAAACCACCGTAGTTTCTAAAAAAATTGCGGACGAATCGATCTATGGGGTCATCCCTAAATTACGTAACGCTGAATTCGCGGGGTTTTTACAACCCCTCCCCCCCCCTTCTGCTGGCGAGGGTGATGTTGGGCGGGGAAATTGACGCAATCAACCAGCTGTCAGTCTCAGTCGTCGCATAAATAAACATCCAGTTTACTTCTCGCTAGTGTTAGTACTTAATAAAATATACTTGCTGAACGAATCAGTTTCTTGACGTGTGCTTCTTGCAAAATCTCGTCCGTGGAATGGTGAAATCTAGAGTAAGCAGTGCTCTGGCTTATCAGTCTACAACATTCTGTCAATTGGACTGTGGACCTCGTCATTGAGTCATACCTATGTCCTAACAACAACTATCCGCCGTTATTAGTATTGTAAATTCAACTCCCAACAATTTACCCTTTCGATCACATCCTTCTTATTCGAAATAGATTTCTGTGATAATTGAAAATGGCTCGAGTTCTAGTGGGTGTGAAACGAGTGATTGATTATGCAGTGAAGGTAAGATACAAAATCCAAGGACTTAACACATATTTCTGAATTCATTTCATTCCATCCTCGTCATGCTACCTTCCTTGACTCTTGTTAAACTCTCAGCAACCTCCTAGAGTAATTGGTAAACTTTGATGAACTAAGGAACTCGGCTCTCTTTCAAATACCTAAATGGAAGTCGTTTGACAAGTGAACGTCTGTATCAGAAATCTGCATCATACCAGATGTCCTTCAAGAAAGCATTCTAGGTCTTCACCTTTTTATTCTATCTTTTTGTGTCCGTTTGAAATGAATTCATGCTATTTTAGAGTGCGAGAGAAGATTAGGGCCCAAATTTTGTCTGTTTACGTTTGAGAGGAACTTAACCTCTAAATTTGATGTTAAGTTGCAAAAGTTATACTTCAAACACAAGCTGTACGTAAGTTAATCTTTTAAATGCAAGCTTCAGCCATCCTCAGTTCCGCTATTGTTGAAACCATCAGTCAACAATTGTATAACAAAGTCAACATTGCTGTCGCAACTTTTAGCCGTATGCCAACAGGCCGACAAGATTCGTGTTCAGTTGTCTTCGATTCAGCATTGAAAGCAAGCATATGAATCAAGGTGGTGCATTCTCCGTTTACTCTCTAATAGCGCTTACTTCTCTGTTGTTGACTCTCCTCTTGTAAATATTAAAATCATATAAGATATAGTGACTCAGAGCTCGCGCATCAAATGTTAAGACAAATGTCGAAGTATTGTTTATGTCACCACTCATCAGTGGTGCCATCTGACTGCATGTACTAACTCGTTGAGTGGTACTAATTCAGAGTTAATCAGAGATTGACGTTTGTCTCAACACACAATGCGCGAGCTCCAGTATGTTGATGATTAAAACTTTCTTACTGTAGCATCTAAATCCAAAGCGGCTCATCCAACTGTGTTGGACTTGAATCTTGCTTCTCTTGCTTTTGATATTTGTAATGATGATGTGTCAATTTTTTCATGCCCTCTGTAGATACGTGTGAAGCCAGACAAAAAGGGTGTGGTGACAGATGGCGTAAAGCATTCACTTAATCCTTTCGATGAAATAGCCGTTGAAGAGGCTGTACGGATGAAAGAGAAGAAACTTGCGTCTGAAGTAATTGCTGTATCTTGTGGTGGTCCTCAAGCGCAGGTACTTACTTACTATTATTTTAAGTTTCATTTTCATCTCAATGCTTAGAGAACACTCTTAGGTATGTACTGACACTTATGAAGGTTTCAAAGTCTATGAGGTCAACCCTTTAAGCAAATATTTTATTCATTATGAATTCGGGATTTGGTAACCAAAACAATGCTGCATTCGATACAGAAGTCGATTACTGTATGGAAGGTAACATTTTTTCCTAGCAAAATTCTGTTTACATTTCAAGTCATGTTTCTTATCTTTCTTGATGAAAGGTAGGTAGCATAGGGAGATTTAAAGTTTTTAATGCGCAATCTGATGTTTGCAATGAAATTTAACAGTACTGCCAAAATGTATTACAAGCAATCTTTCTTAACAATAAAGGGAAATATTGACTGCAGCGTTTCCCAAATGGCTATTTCAACTATTCTGACGAAAGAAAGTGTGCCATATCTCTGGATGCATCTGGAAGATGACTCGAAATTTCTTTTGGTGACTTTTTAGTTGATAACTACTTAGACTAATTATTAGTGGTCAAGTGAATGAATCAGAAATCATGCATTTCAATTATGCAAAGATGCATTTCCAAAAATTATTCCAATAATTAAAAGCAGTGCATGCCAGATTTTCCATGTACTGTGAAGGGTCTGGATGACTCCTGTATCTATGTCTCACCCAATTTAAATCAAAATCATTCAGCATCCGTTGAACTATCAGAATCAACATCCCGCAGATGCTGAAATACATACAAATCATAATTTATTAACTGGACTTGTATTATTTTTTTCAAATATCTCTTTGTCACTTACTTAATCTCCGCAGAACTCTAAGTCTAATCAAATCTTCATGGTTTTTTAAAGGAAACTTTGCGAACAGCTTTAGCAATGGGCGTTGACCGTGGAATTCATGTCGAAGTGTCCCCAGCTGAGTTTGACACAGTGCAGCCGATTCATGTATCCAAAATTCTGGCTAAATTAGCACAAGATGAAAAAGCAGATGTCGTAATCGTCGGTAAGCAAGCTATCGATGATGATTCTAACCAAACAGCTCAAATGGCCGCAGCATACCTAAACTGGCCGCAGGCAACATTTGCATCCAAAATAGAGAAGACTGATGGCGAACTCACCGTAACAAGAGAAATAGATGGTGGTTTAGAAACAATTAAAGTTAAATTACCTGCTGTAATTAGTGCTGATCTAAGACTGAATGAGCCTCGTTATGCGACTCTCCCAAATATCATGGTAAGTACCATACACCTACAGTTTTTCCTTCCATTGTGCATTACCAGTTACACATACATACCTTTGATCTGTTGATAATTGAGGCCAACCATTGACTTTCACCTAGCATCAGCCTAGGTCTAGGCCTTCCCCTCAAGAATAATCAACCCACACAGATTTTACCGGAGGTTCAATCACTTTCGGACTTTATTTTGCAATTAAGAGCTGCTATTTCTGGCTCATCCATTGAGCAGCCCTTGAGAGCTGAAATTTTCGAAAGAACTCTTTGCATGTTGTGCACTAAAGTAAGAACTCTGGTGTACATCTACATGTAGACAAAAAAAGCTTCTTTAGGTCAACCTTTTTAAAACTGCAATGAAACTTTTCTGTCAAATCCGATGTTTGAATTTGACCAACAAAAATTCTTGCTAATTGCCGTACTCTTTAAGACTCCTCCAGCAAAACCTCCAAAATAGAGTTTACAGGTATTCCTTGGGGTCAATTTTAGCTGTGAAAGCCGTTCAGGTTTTTGTTATTTCAGTTTTCCCAAAAGAAATTGGACCAATTTGTTGAAATAACGGTGCACTTTGTCATTCCCTAAAATATATGAAAAATCTCTGCCATTGTAATTTGTAATTTATTAACCTAGTTTTTCTGTTCCATACACAGAAAGCAAAAAAGAAACCTATAAAAAAGGTAACAGCCAAAGACTTAGGAGTTGATCTCGCTCCCAGGATTGAAATAATAAGCGTAGAGGATCCACCAGTAAGACAAGCAGGCTCAATCGTCGAAGATGTCGATACTCTAGTCAACAAACTGAAGGAGAAAGGTCATTTTTAAAAAAAATTTATGGTGAGTTTTTTTTTATTCTTAAATTGTATCATTTTATTATTAAGGCTCTTAAAAAGAAAGGAACAAGGCGCCAAGTAGCTCTTGAGCACAAGTTGCCATATGGAACTTGTATAATAATATGATCAACTTGAATGATTTTGAAAGACTGAGAAGTTGTAACACATGAATTAAGTATAGGCTCAACCCCACAATGCATGAATTAATTTTGGGTGAAGAAAGGTAATAAAGAGCAATTTTTTTACATCCATTGCAAATAATATATTTTGTCATCAATGGAGAATTTGAACGCAATTTTCTAAATGCTTCAGCTGAGAGTGTTTTAAGAGCTGATTTTTTTTCAATTTTTTTTTTTTTTAGTTTTGGGAAATAGTATAAAAAAAGATATCAAGGAGAGAAAATGCACCGCCTAGTGACATCATTTGACAGCATTGTCCACTTAAACACATATATACACACATATATTTTATCAGATTAGATCGTTTTATTATACTTCTCCAATAATATTTCAATTTATGAATCAAGGCTATCCTTGTGTTCAGTTCACTTGGTAGTTTCTACTGAAACCCGAAATTCATCAAATTTCAGATACCTAGAAATTCTTAATTGCGATTAATTCGGCTCCCATGCGTACGATTTCCATAATTTTTTGGCTTCAGGCTTATAATGAACTTCATTTCAACTCAGTGAATCTTTATCGAAGTGTACCGAAAGCCATTGTCCAACGATCTTTAAATTTGTTAGTGATAACTTCTCCTGAAAAGCCTCAAAATTTAATTGAAGGGCTCGCAATTATTTTTTTCGAATTCCTAAGGGTCAACTCGGGCCATATTGAGAGATAGTAAGATTTTTACAACATTCGCCCAGTCTCTTTAGGTCTCTTCCACAAAATAGTGACTGTATGGTCTGAATAACTCTGTCAGTACTGAGAGTAGAGAAATTGGTGGTTTTACAGAGATCATTACTTTATGCAACAAGCAGCAATTGTTGCACTCATCCAAAGACTACTTGCAACATGTTCTCTTGATACATTCTGCTCGAGCATCTGGTTATTTGCGAATGTCAATGCCCGTCAAGACCCTTTTGAATTTTGAAGGTAGAAGTAGGAAATCTCATATATTTTCTCTTTGCTCTCTAGTTAACTGGCAAATGCCTACAAAAGCAGGAATTCAGTATTTGAGGAATCAACTCCCACGTGAGAATTTCTTAGAATGGAACATGGAGGTAACCACTCCTCATGTCTTCATGATCAGTCAATTCTGCAGACACCCAGGTTTTGAAAAAGTTGCCTGAAAGGAATTTTTTGCTAGTTGATTTCTTGTTGAGACATGAATTTTCTCATCAAAATTCTAAATCTCATTTCTTATTTATTCGTTGTCTTTTTTTTCAGGACGCAGCAAACCATGACTCCTACATCTTTTAAAACTCTGCCCTTAGTAATGCTCTGAATGGCAGTAAAAGTAATAGCGGATGAGGAAGGTTTTCTTCTTATTTGCAACCTACTTGTTTGCCTATGCAGTCAGTTTCTCTCCATTGGAAATGTTGTTGTTTTTTAGAATATGTTTTATTTTTATTGCATCATTATTAGAACTGTAAGTACCTCTTTGTACCACTCCTCCTTCTTTACCTGATATCCATCATCTATCTTTGGGTCTTTCAAAAGTAATAGAGATATATTTTATTGGTTAATTTTTATAATCTATTCATACATTCAAAGACAACCTTTTTATTGGAATAAATCTCGTTTGTCTTCTGTACAAATTATTTTTGAAATTTCTTGTTTCCTTGGTTCCCCACATCTCATATACCGTATACAGGTTTTCAGAAAAAAGCCTGTCCCTTTGAACCCCTCAACAATAATGCAGGTAAAGAATCTATATAAAGGGGAAAACGGACAGATCATTTCATGGAAACCTTAGAGCCCAAAAAGGCAGATAACCTTCCCACACAAAATATGCAAAACTGATTGTTTGATTACCTTCACTTTCCAGAAAAGCAGGCAGTTGGCTATGCTTAAAGCGATCAAAAGTGACCTCTAATTCTCTAAAAAATGAGCCCAGAGAATGATTTAAAAGGATGTCAAAACTGATTAGAGGGTGAAACTGCAAAAACGCGTATCATGGTTTGCGGCACTGCTTACTGTTATATTTTATTTTCTAAATGGAAAAATACTTAAAATCATTTCTTGAAACTTGCTTGATTTTTCTTGTCACTGTAAAGAATATTCTTCACCAATATCAAACCGTAGCGTTGACCCTTTTGCTTTTGATGAAGTAAAATGGGAGCGGAGATTTTGGAAGGCCGCAGTAAGATACGTATTTTTGCAGTTTTACTATCAATATGTATTCATATTTAAACGATCCTCGATCACGCTAGAAATGTGAATTTATAGGGAATCACAATGGATCATTTGAAATAAAAAATGAGCTACCCTTTTGGGCCCTAATTTTATTCGCAAAACCTTCTGTGAAGGCCTGATGGATTTAAGGAATTTTAGAGTTGTTCCCTTATCTAGATAATCTAGCGCAAGATATTGAAAACTGTTTAAGTTTGCGTTCCATCATTTTGAGGGAGTACGTCTCAGAGAGTTTTGTTGAGAAGAGGCAAGGGAGCACTGAGCACCCTGACTTCACCCTGCATTTTCTGGGACCCATATCAAATGAATATACCTATATACCCATGATATCAGATATATCAACACTCAACTGATTTTGAAATCTCCCCAGCTTCCTCATTCTAACAGAAAATCTTAGATCAATGACCAGACGAAGACAGTTTCAGTTACTTGCAGTCTAGATCTCATAAAAAGTACTGAACCTGTTAAGTTGCATTACTGTACCTACGATAAGGGAGTTTTTTCCTGATGATTCAATGGATTAAAAAAAGCATCTATTACTGACAGGAGTACTGTTAACATCTACGGCAAGTCTACGTTCTGGAGAGGTCGAATGATAACGGATACATACATACGTTTATAGGATTTAAAAGAGATGTACTCTTATTTACTGTTAATTTGGAAAAGTACTGTAAAGTTGCTTAACATTTTATGTTTCTTTCTAATTATATATTTTTAGGTTAACCTCAAAGTAGGTTTCAATAAGTACGAAAATTGACCAACCCTAGGAAGAAAAATGTTAACATTGGTTCTTACGGAGCTTGCGCTTCTGTTGACACAGTCTATTAATTCTATGATTATTTTCATAAATTGTAACAGCTAATGATAAGTCAGGATTGTACTTTACTAGTTTATTGACTATACAATGGACGGACACAAAACTCAATTTGCAGGATAAAAAATCACAACATTACAACAAAACAAATATTTCAACAAAATATCATACTATTTTCTAGAAAAATTCAATTAACATCTTCTGATCCTTCTTTTCGGAAAAATTTCCGACAATGCTCTTTCATAACGATCTTCTTAGGTAATAAAAAGTAGTATAATTTGCAATAGGGATGCGGATTTTTAATCGATTTGACCCAAAAATCGATAATTTAATCAGTAAAATCGAATAATTTTACCTGGATTAATTGGCCTAATCCCTTTTCTTCCTCAGATCGATGCAATTTTTTAACTATAGGACATCTACGGTCCAAACACAAGGATGTGTACACTTCGCTACTTGCTGAGGAAAAGCCATCCACAAGAATAACATCAGCAGGACAAATCTCAGGTTTTTCCCCCAAAAAAATTCTTCCATGCCACCCTCTAGAAAAATAAAAAACTTGACTCACTCCTGGGTCTCATGATTGCACACAATCACCAGGCTTTCTCTATAGCTGAGAATGCAGGTTTCAAGGAATTTGTGCATGAACAGAATCCTGATTATAAAATGCCTAGCAGAACTACCCTGCCAAGAAATATTTTGCCAAAAATAAATACAGAGTGTTACGAGAAGAAGTGAAAAAAACATTAGCTACCGCAGATGACAGGTAAGTACATGTGTCTCACAACTAATCAATGGACCAGTCAGGCTGAGGAAGGATATATGACAGTGACAGTCCACTTTGTAAATGATAATTTTAAGATTACAAGCTTAAGCTTGGATACCCGTTACTTCCCAGGCAGCCATACTGATAAAGCAATCAGTGCCATGGTCGGAACAATCCTTGACGAGTGGAATCTTAACATATTGCTTGACCTTAGCAACAATGCAAGTAACATGATTTGTGCTTCTAATGATGGCAAATTTACTTGCATACCATGCTCAATTCACAATTTACAGTTGGCAATGTCTGATGCTATGAGAGCTTGCTCTTTTATTGAGCCCATGTTGTGTAAATGTTGCAAATTGTTGGCCAAAATCATAGGACAAGAGCAAATGAAAATTTGAGGAAGAATCAGAAAGCTCTGAGTAAGCCTGAACACGAGTTATAACAGGATGTGGAAGCAAGATTTAACAGTGAATTTATTATTCTTAAGAGGCTCGCTGAGCAAAAGGAGCCAATCATGCTTGAACTGATAGAGGCTAATGTAGAAGGGCTCCTTGGGCAGGAATGGTACCAGCTAGAGGGCTCAGTTGAAATACTTCGGCCCTTCGATGAGGCGACAACCCAGTTGTCCTCTGAAACCCTACCCGCTCTCTCGATACTAATTCCAGTGCTCAAAGGACTAAATCATGGATTGGAAAAGATCATAAGCAAAAAGAAAACAGGAGCAAACTTTGCCCGACAGGTAGTAAAAACCTTGAAAGCAAGGTTTCCTGATTTCAGCGATGATTGTATCGACAACTGTTGTTTAACCCACAATATAAGACTGCAATGATGGAACTCCATATTCGACCTATCATCAAAGACAGAGTGAGGAAAGAAGCCGCGAAGAAGGCAGAGAAAGAGAAGCAGAAAATGTGCCACTCCAAGAGGAACTGCCTCTGCAATAAAAGAAGAAAAAGTTCGCTTTATGGTCATCTATCAACGAAATCATGCCTCAAGATACAGGTAATTTACTCTTCCTATTCTCTTATTTCTGAATACTTAATCTCAAAGAATGTGCTCCAAGTATGCTTTTCCTTTTCTACTCTCCTGAAACTTTATTGACTTTGTTTTTACATTATAATTATTTGTTATTGAAAGTAAATCACTTGCTAAAACTCAAAATTATTCAAACTTGACGTTAAGTTGTTAAGAAGTAATATGATGTGTGTAACCAGACAGCAAAATAGCCCAAGAAGTTTATCTAGGGAAAGATAAAATTTCATATTGCATCTATTTGGGACGGCTCATTTTCCCAAAAGGAACTGAAAAATGACTTGTCATAAGTCGAATATTTAGTATTAACTTTCGATGAGACATTCAACAAAGTTGCCAAAAAACAACAGATGAACACATGTGTTATTTATTGGTGTCCTGTGATTAATAGAATTAGCATAAGGTATTTAAATTCGGTTTTTATTTATACGAATAGAAACCGATGCATCCACAGCAAATGATTTGGTAAATGCATTTCTTGAGGGAGTGAGCCCCCTTCTTTTAAAACGTATCCTTCAACTTTCCATGGATGGACCAAACGTAAATTTAAAAATATTAAGAGATCTTCAAACTGAAATCAGGAGCAACCCTGAGGATCCTTACATAATGTCTATTTGTGCTCGTAGTTTGCATAATGTGCATAGTGCTTTTAAAAATTCATTCCAAAAATCAGATATGAATGAGCCATGGTTTCTTAAAAGTTTCTATTATGTATTTGTATTTAATAATTCCCCTACCTGTAATGATATATTAATTCAAGTGTCAAATTTGGACAAAACTCCTCTTAAGTTCTGTCAAGTGCGCCATTTCTTGTTCAGTGCTATTAGAATAAATAGTGTGAGGTTCAGATTGTATTACATATATTTTAATTGTATTATATGTAATGTAATTGTATAGGTATGATGATGTGATTGTATTGTATTGTATTCTTTATTATTATTACTCTACTGAGATTGTCACCTGACGTAATTTTCACAATTTGATCAGTCTGTCGAAGAAGGCAAAACAGCTATCAGACACACATTAATGATACTACTGAGTGAACATTTTGCTCAAGACACTGCACGCATTAAAACCCACAAACCCTACTCTCGTCAACTTGCGAGTCTCAACCCTTTCATCGATCAGCTGGGCATCATCAAGGGGTGCTTGCTTGGTGCGCCCTGATTGGCTCCCCTCTATATACCTCACACGTTTATATAGGCCGGCCATTGGGGCGTATCAGGCAGTTGAGTCTGAGCTCTCGCTAGAGACAGGTCACGGCAACAACACTATGCTTGTTCCTTCCAGTCTCATGGGTTGCCATCGTGGTCGGAGGGAACCGCACTCCTTACCCTGGCCGAGCTATCATCTTACTATGAGAAACTGGCGTCTACAGGTGTCTTTGCGCTGCCCAGCTTCTCAACGATTCCCCCCCGATGACATCTGGGACTTCCTGCAAGACCCGGTCTCGCTCACATAGAGCATGCCAGCAAGTTGCCGGCATGGCATTGTGGATATGCCACAACCTACGATGGCCAAAACCAATCATCTGGGCAACACTGAACCACAATCTCCGTCCTCTCCTATGGTACCTCACGCATTGGAAACAGCCAACATCTCTCCCCATCATCTGGAAAACTCAGGACATCTACACGGATGCAATTCCATCATAAATCGCCTGAGTTTCCACCGACACAGAGGACTACAGGATCTCCACGCTACCCACACCTTTAGAAATCAACACAGCTGAATGTATACCAGCCCTAACGGCGGTATGGGACAACAGGTCTCCACACACTCACATCAAAATTCACACGGACAACCAATCTGCACTACGGATCACCAACAAATATGTTTCCAAGACTTATAAATACATTCCCCTTTGTAAATTGTTAATAGCTTTGTTACACTATTGTAGAGAAAATGACTTCTCCTTTTCTGGACAATATGTCCCAACCCACGATAACCCTGCTGATGTATATTCTCGTTTTCGATAAATGGCTTGTCCCCGCTGTGCTTCCTCTGCCTGAGTACTGCTACGCTGCTTCAAGCGCCCTGATTGGCTCTCCTCTATATACCTCACACATATATATAGGCCGGCCTTTGGGACGTATCAGGCAGTTGAGTCTGAGCTGTCGCTAGAGACAGGTCACGGCAACACCATGCCGGTTAGCCCCATCACAAATATAGCAAGTTATTGAATTGAAATCAAAACTTGAGATGCGTTTACTGAGGATATGATGCCTTGTATGAACATCTCTCTACAAACGAGCTATTCAATGAATGCTCGCTGAAATCTTAATTCACTGAGTGAGGTTGGCAGAGAGCAGCTTTTCTTAGACTTGCCATGTCTCACAAAGAGTTTAGGAATAGCATGCAAACAATATTTTTATTAAAATATTGCTAATGTAGTCTTGGCGCCTCAGCTTCTCTCCAATACCTTAAAAAGCTCTATTAATTTGTTATGCTTTTCTCTCTGCCATTAAAATTTTCCAATCAAAGCGGTGATTATTGGAGTGCGTGATGGGAGCAATAGGTGGCTCACACACCTCCCAACCACCATCCGTCTCTTCTATTGCTGCCAAACTGCAATAAGATACTTTCTGGATGTTGCGCAAGAAGGATGGATTGTCAAGAGGTTCTTTACCTATCAGCTGCCGTGTGCATGTCTCCAATGAGGATGCATGTCCAACAAAAAGGATATTGCCTCCTGTAAGAAAAAAACATAGTTAATATTTGAAACAATTGATGAGTTCTTTTGAAGGGCCATGTATAACAGTAGTGATAATAGTGAGAAAAACGCAAATGAAAGGTTTAAATGCGTACAGTTTTCACAAAAATTGATAAATTCTTCAAATTTTAAGACAGAATTGAGGGGCATACTCTCCCTGACCAATCAGCTTGAAGGAAAACATTTAAAAGTTATTCGGCACTTTATAGTGGTGAAAGCTGCAAGTTCAGTTGTACATACTTCTTACAGAGAATCAGAGGATTCGTTCTCCAGAAAAACCACATGTACGGCCATAGGTGCTTATTCAAAAGAATTACTCAATTTAGAACCAAATTGAATGGTTTTCTCCTTTATCCATTCACATTGATGTTTTTCAGAGATGAATTGGATTGCATTTTGCAAAAAGGAACCAAGAGTATTCCAATGTTGCTACGATTAAAATGATGTGTGACTACACTGATAAGGTTGAGGAATACCCTCTAATAGAAAATTTATACTGTACTGATGGTTTTATGATTTATTGCTGTCATATGTAGTAGATTTTGGGATAAATAAAATACACAAAATACAGGGTGTCTAAGTTCAGCTCAATAGCAAAAAATCAGAGACAGATTTTTTAAGTAAAGATGATGATAAATGATTTTTTTTCTATGAACTAATACCAAAAAAGCCCTTACCCCTCCCTTCTAAAATTTTTCAAAGTTCTGCTGAAATATGGATATGGGTCTTTTTAGACCTCATCAGTGGATCACACTTGTCAGTGAGCCCAGCTCATCATCCTGCAAAATCCTAGACAGCATCGAGCCGCTGTCATGAATATGATAAGAGGCATGACACTGGAGTGTGATCTTTGCACCATCTGTTGTTGCTGCTGAACAAGTCTCAAGACGAAACAAGGAAAACTTGAAAAAAAAAATAAGGATGATCGAAATACATAGAATGCTAGAAAAGCGAGATAAAAAATAAGTTACCTGTTTGACTGATGGCTTTTTTTACAAGTTCATAACTTCGATTATAATAATTTTCTACTGTTTCTGTGACGATATTCTTCAAATCTTCTATTTTTATTGATGGTTCATAATATAAGTCTATGTTGAATCCAAAATTTACAAGCTCCTCTGGACAAAGCCATTCTGGTAGCATTTCTGTGTACCAACCAAGCCATTCGAATAGTGAGGGCTCTATAGATATTGGCAGGTCATTTGCAATTCCTAAACCTATGAAACGAAGATAAAACTATACAGTATATAAAAGAATTAAGCTGTGAAAGGGAGAGGACAAGAAATGATCCAGAAAATTTCAGAAAATTCCTGTGCATACATCTTGATAGAAAATCATAACTAAAAATTATGTCATAATTTACCTCTCCAGATCATGCTGAACTTGGGAACTGCATTATTCAGTTGGCACTATGACTGCTGATCTAAGGGAAGGCGTTGAAATAGTTCAGCAATAAAAAGGGCCTTTAGAATTTTAGTTTTACTGCACTTAACATGTTAAGTGCCACATTAAGCTTATGATGCGGACAATGGCGAACTGACATGTCAGCTAATAGCCACTGTATGCAAATCTTGGGCTGAAATACTTGTTGATAAAAACTTGATAACCTGCCATGAGGCTGCAAACTCTGTGATAAGGAGATTGCAGCTGAGGACCCTAGGTGGAGATGAACCCATATATACTCCCTGGGATGCCAGTAGAATCTAGTTTATCCAGCTAGCGGGCTGATTATTGAAATTGATAGACAAAGCTATACACAAAGAAGATATAAGGAGTATGAAGCCATCCTATTAGTTGAAATGGGTGGTTCCCAGAGACAAAGGGAGAAAATGATGGACAAACTATCCGGTCTCTAGTGGGTTGTTGTTAGTTAGTCTATTACCTACCTCCTTTGTCCATTGCAACCACCCGCTTCTACCAATAGGATCTCTCCATATCTCTCTTGACTTCTTTGTCTATCAATTCCAATGATCGGCCCGCTGACTGTTCCCGACCGCTGGCTCAGGTGCTTCGCGATTGCCAGCCAAGGGGACCTCCCAAGCAACACAAAGTGTTGCCCCTGAGGTTGTTATTATAATTTTTGATTACCTAATAAAATATTATGGCATGTTTGCACGCAACGTAGAGATGGAGAGCAGTAGACACTGCTTACTTTTCTACCAGCCAGCCTTAAAGCCTCTCCGGTTAATCTTGCTTGCAGTTCACCAATTTGTGTTAAAGGGCTGTCAAATAAAAATCCGGGTGGACCACTCGCTCTTTGAGGAACAGAGAGGGGCAAATTTAGATCTTTCCTCATATAGCTCCCTGGAAAATGAAAAAAAAAAAATTAAGAGCATGGAATCAAACATCGATAAATTATTCTACGGGCAAAGATATTTGAGCCCCCCAAAGAAGAAATTACAACTTTCACATGATATCATAGTCGATCTAAAAATTCCCAGAAATTTAAGTCAAGCCTGAGCAAAAAAGGTAGGAGGTTAATAAAACATGCTTGTGAGAAAACTAATTTAGAGTTCCAGTTCAGTACACCGTGTTCAGAGTTTGACACAAGCCTGGTCCAGACAGTCAAATGTTTTGTGCTGTATAGTTGTTGTTGAACTTTGCAGTTTCATTTGAACTGTTTCAACAACTGTGTTTCGCCAAACAATTTTTGCAGATATTCAACCGATATTCAAATATTCGGACTGAACCATAATCAGATCAAAGAGCATCTTCAGGTGGAACTTCAGCTTTAGCGCAATACATTCTGGGTACTAACAATATATTTCAAATTTTAACCATAAGGAGGATTATTTTGGGAAAATCAAAATTTCAGTCTCAAAATTGATCATTAAGGAATCTTCACTGGAAATCACATTCCAAAATCTTAAAATAAAGGCACCAGGGCTAATTTTGAGGAAGAGAGTGCCTTGTGGAAGTGACGTTTCAGCAAAATTCTGCTTCTAACACTGCCTCAAACGGCGTGTCTCTCCCCGTTTTAATCACACATCACTACTGTGTGCAAACATGGACTAAACGCAACAAAAAGATTCGGAAAGCTTCAAAACTCCAAGAGAAAAAGCCTTGAGATCCATATCCACATTAAGGTGCCGCCAATCGAGGAGAGTTGTAATAAATGGATACCATTTAAATACGCCCCCACTGAAAATTTGTGCACTGGTGACTTCTTATTTCGAAAACAGAACAGAATTAATACTGATGAAGAGACTCATGACAAAAACCAAAACTTATTCAATACCTTGCACAGCGTATTTAAATATGAGCAGCACCCATAAAACCGAGCACTAGAAGAGCCATCTATGTTGAAAATGCGTCTACTTATTTAGATTGTAGAATCGCATTTTCGTGAGAGGAATGTTGCTAGAACGGTTAAACTAAGAAAAAAGGTTGAGAGATGAAATTCGTAGAACAGGGGATGGTGCGTTTTTTAACAAGAGGCTTTAATTGCCTTTACCTCGTTCGTCAAAACAGTAAGGAATCCATTTGCCGAAAGTGAAGTCGACTCTTTCTCCATGTCTTACGATATAAAGTTGTCTGTTTTCTGCCTTTTCAACCTGAAAAGAAAAAAAGATTACTACTGAGGCTAGAGTGGAATGAAAATGATCCAGAGGGAAAAAAAGCAAAGAACAACATGACTTGACATTAAGAGTGTAAACACAAATGAATAAAAGACGTAGCGTTTTAAAGCAAGATGAATATTAATTATTAATACTGAGGAAGGTGACGAAGCTCTTACTGGTGATTGTTGATTCAGAGAATAATTGATGAGAAGAATGAGCATGAACAACAAAACAACAACAAAAAATGAAGGAAAAAGTCAAATTTGTAGTTATTCTTCTGCTTCAGCCCCTTGAAAAAGAGCAAATGACAAGTGATAAACAACAATGAACATTGCTTGGCCACAATTTTTTGTTTACACTTTGAAGTTTGAGGAATCTAAAACATTAATGCTAATGCGAAACGAATAGTATTGAGCACAGGTGTGATAACCAGGCTCGTGTTGGTGACCATGCGTAATGTCCACATGCACTGAAGAGTAATGGGCTTTGTCATTAAACCTGTCTATCTCATGCAACACACTGCGCTATCGCTAATTGGTCACCGAAAGCAATGTGGAAAACTTCAATACTTTCATAGTGTTTAGAGACACTTTATGAGAGAAGTATACTTCTTAGACACAAGCAAAGTATGTGCTTCCCTAATGATAAGACTCATTAGATGCATTGCCAACCATTGGTTAAGTTGTGAAAATAAAAATGAAAATAACAATTAGCAGATGACATCTAACATAATCTATTCTACTTTGGCTTACCTTCAGGTTCTCATATAATGCTGGAATGTCAGAATTACTTCCAAAATCTTCCTCGTGAACATCAGATTTTTTTTGAAAAAACAGGGACTTAGGAGATGATAAATTTTCAATTTCATCAATACTATGATCAGAGCTCATTGAAAAAGACCTGAAAAAATAATTAAACACATAATTAGATATTCTAGAAATAGGCTGTTGCCTTTTTTTTTATCAGTAAATTAGCTGTCTGTTTAAATACTGAAATTTCTTTGTAGAAATTACAGGAAAAAGGAGGTTTAATTTAGATTTTCAAAATTAGAGGATAGATAAATAGGTAAATAAGGAAAATAAAAAAAAATTCTTCTTTGAGAAAATTTTCTTGAAAAGTTCAGTTCAACTTACGCATGTAAAGTCCAAGCATCTGTCTCTGCTGTTCGTTCCACATAGTTTACGGGTAAGAAACCACAGCATCCTAATTCAGACAAACGAATTAGACTTAAATAAGGTAAACTAAGAAATAAAGACAGTAGAAAAACTCATCACTGATATTGTTGTAGTTAAAGAACATGTCCCCGCTAGATTGCTAAAAGCAATCTGAAATATTGCTCAAAATGGACCAGTTAAAAGATATCAGTTCAATCGGCTCTTGCAAAAATTACCCAAGATCATTTCTCTCAATTTTGACTTTTTCAACAACAAGTTTCCTTAACCCTTCGCCAATCTGAGCTAGGGCGCAGGCACAGTCCCCTGCCACAAGGTTAGGAATGGAAAATTAAAAAGGAAAAAATATATTTGATCCAAAATGTATAGAAAATATCCTGCAATAGCCACTGATGTTTGTAAACATTTTGAAAAAGCAGTTCTGCCCGACCAAAGACCTGTAAATGCATTTCCAAAATAGTTCATATTTCTTGTCATATCAGCTAAACATAAAGGCCAAATATATTTCAAAATAAGTAAACATGTCTACCTGGACCAGAGGTGTTTCCTCAAAACATTTACATTTGCTTTTGGTGAGCAAAATAATGAGATACACAGGTTATAGAAAAGAATAAGCGTTTTCAATATCTTCCACAGATAATGCGTTATGTACAATCAATTCAGGGCTTTCTTACGGATAAGACTTTAGTGATTAACGCCTTGAACCCTTCTTAATGGTTCCCCGGTTACTTTCTTATCGTTAGTTCTTTAATTCTTTGATCTTTTTACCTTCTGTCGTTTCCAACTTGTTTGGAATTTAGGAGTGAGTGCTGATGTTATGCATTATTGCCCTTCCGGTACTTCCTTCTGTAATCTTCTATTCTTTAATGTTATCTTATCCCTATATTTATATGTAACGCCATTTATTTGGTATCTAAAACTTTGTCTTAGTTGATAAGCATTTAGTTTAATAAAGAAACTTTGAAACAAAAAAAAAATCAATTCAGGGCTTTATTTTTTTGGGGCTGATCACTTCGAATTCTATGAAAAAATCGCGAGTCCTATTTTTTCCTGTTGTTTCCTTCAGATAGCACCTCATGTGCCGCAATTTTCAGCAGTTTCATTCATTCAACTTTGATCGAAAAAATATTTTTGATTGTTTAAATAAAGAAGAGGTTTCCAAGGAATTACACAGCCACAACATTCAAAGATTTCAACAATTCATGCAAACAACCATTGAAGTTTGATGTCATTACTGTATATTAAGCTCAAAAATATCAGTACACAGAATATCTGAGGATTAATTATGAGTCTTACCAGTTAGCCATGACGTTCCTTCAACCCAGCTATCTGGTGAATTCTCTACATCTTCCGGTGCAAGGTAAACAAAATCACCAGTTCGCAGCTCTAATTCATCCGGCTCTCTTGGAATGTGTGAATAATTAACTTTGTAAACCTTTAAAAGAAAAAAAATTACATCAATATACTTGCGACCTCTGAACAAAGTTGAATAATAATCCTTTGTGATTTACAAAACTACTCTGTATGTAAATAAGCGAGTTACTAATAAAGCATACATAGATTTTGACCTGAAAGCTAGATGAGTGGGGAAAATGTACACGGAATGAGAACTGAGAAAACAGAGAGAATCAAAAAGCCCCCCAAAGGAAAGACGGTACATGAAGATAAAATTTAAAGAAACAACAAGAAAGTTTCTTAGGGAACAATTTTACGCAAATTTCCTCCTTAAAGCCTTCTTAAGCCCTTAGAGAAAACAAGAGCTGTAATTTGAATTACAAACTGGGTGACGCCCCCTACTTTTAAGGCGTTGAGGCGAGTCCTCTTAGATTGGCTGATGGTTCCCCCAATTTCCAGGCCAGATGGTGCCCAATTTTTTTCCGTATGGGAACATAGGTAACATGGAGTTTTTTATAGCAGTGAAGTAACCTAAATAAGAAAAATTTATACATTCAACATGGCAAACTTTAAAAATCAATTCTTAGGAATTTTCTGAAGAGAATGAAAACCTTTCACTTGGAATTTTGGGACCCCCCTCTAGCCAAGAGTTTTCATTATGGTCATAAAATTCTACCAATTTGACCGAGCCCACATTTCTCATAAACTTGTGGAACAGCAGCAAAAAGCATCACACACCACACAAAAGAATCTTCCTTAGCAAGCAATTTGTGTACTAATAATTTTTGTAAGTCATCGAAAACTAATATGTATTTCATAAAAAGATACACAGCAATGTTCCTCAACTTTGGTCCAGACTGTTCTGCAATCTAACCATAAAGATGGTGGATGGAAAAGCATGCCAGTAACAACAAATCTCATTGTAATAATTCTTGAATTAAGTTGATCTATCAAGATAATATTAGTTTCCGTCATGAACATTACAAGACATGAATTGTCAATAGGCACACTTTGTTTCGGATAACATTGAAGGAAGAGAGAAGGCAAGGTATGAAAGAAATGCAACACATGAAAAAACTAATTACATGCTTCCCGGAGAATCTGGAATCACGGGAATAAAGACGAATTTCCCAAGAAGCTGTGGCATTTGGATCAACAGATGACTCTACGATGGATTTTAATTCATGGAATTGTGAGGAAGGAAACTGGTAGGCTATTGTTAGGTGAAGTGCTTTGATATGGGGCTTAACTGGCACAGCTAGAATAAAAAATACACCATGCAAATTAGAAAATCAGTGATGGATTAAAACAAAACTTGTGCACAATTGTGTGAGACTAGCAAACGAGCATATCATGATAAAACACCAAAAAACCGAGCGAAGGGTCAAAGACAAGATGCAGACACAATGAAAATACACAAGCTCTGGGCGAGGGTCATGGGTGAAACTAATACTACATCTACATCACTACATGATGTCATGTACATAACTTCCAGCACTTGTAGCACTCAAATGGAGGGATGTACAAAGATGCAACTTTAACTATGGTTCATAACGTGCAAGTTGGGCTCCTGATGAAGCCTAACTTACGTTTTTGGTTTATGTCCCCTTTAAATTAATCGTGTGCACACTTTTCAACACTGTACCTAATTGCATTGGTTTGTTTTTGCTAAATGCGATCCAAATGTACTCCACTAGTAATGTTTTTCAAATTATTTTGTAGAAGTTAAATGTATCTGCAAGATTCAAATGAATATGTACTATACTAAGCCAAATAGGAAAGTGTTGCTTCACACAACTCAAATATGAGCACGAGTTTTAAATTTATTTTTCCATGCTAAATCAGAGTATACCTGATGATAGAAACTTGAAAGGTTTAAAGCACAAGGAGGGGGGTTGGCTTTCTAGTGGAGTAGTTCTAGACTTCTTAAATATTCTTTGGATTGATTAAATTTGAGAGAAAGGCTAAATTTAAAAACGAAAACAAAATTCAAGCCAAAATTTCAACACCTTGATGCAATATCTAGGCTTGTTGACATACATTTTAAAATTGAGCATTTGAGGCATGATTCATCTGTTTTCTAACTAAAATGAATAAGCTGTGGGTTCTATGTCCAATATTTCGTCCATTTAGTCAGATCTATGATTAAAAAAGGAGGATCTATCATTTTTGCGAGGGAGTATGAATGCAAACGCAGAGATCTGGGGGGTTTGGGAGTGGCTGATGCTGTCCTTGCCCCATTCGACATCACAAAGAGGGGAAAAAATTGAAAAAAAGTAGTTGTCCTTACCAAGATTTGAAACTTGATCCACAAACTTCATTGTTATCCTGTTGAAGTCTTCTATGTGCTCATCTTCTACAAAAAGTCCCATGAAATTTGGTGACATGTAATTTTCAAGTTTGACTTGACCTCCCAACTTAATACTGTTGTCTTCCATTATGTGTTTCAGAATTGCAACCAAACGTTCAGTATGTTCATTAGGAGCCTGAAGGTTCAAATTTAAAAAAAAAAAGAAGTTTATTTTTAGCAGTCAATATCTAAGAGTACAGCTACATGTGGTATAGTTCTGGGCTATTTTTCAATCTTCCTCTCGTCGATTCTCGCGGTTGCACCTTGAGTGAGTACAACCAAGAGCTAATTTTCCTCTCGATAATCAAAACAAATTAAAAAAAAACAAAGAAAAGGAAATAAGAGGAACATGTATTTAAGGTCTCCAGCATCTTTATTATACATTACAGTGATGCAAAGTGAGTGATTTAAGTAAAGTGGAAGCACATTTCTTACGCAGCCGTCTTTTTGTGATTTGTCTTTGTTACCAGTCATGGAAACTGGAGTGTGAGCTGTTTTTACAATTGCCTTCTTTCTCAAGTATTTCAGATTTCCCTTCATTTCAGTGAAATATGGGCAAAACCAAATTTTCGAAACATACGTTCTTCAAAAAACTTGACACCCTAAAAGTGTGAACACAAAATTTCTGATGCGATTTTGTAATTCTTAAGTAATGAAAGTCATCTAATTGTTGAATCTCTGCCTGCTGTTTCTTCCACAAAATAAGATTGACTGCACATAATTTTCTCTCGGTGCCTCATAACCAAGTTATTTCCAAGTGATGACAAAAAGGAGGCCTACAGCTACTGCCCTGGTACTCAGAGTCTTGATGTGCGACAACTGTCCACGTTAGGGCAGTTTTAAAGTAAATATTCCTCTTGGTAGACAAGAGAAAAGCTAGCAGGACAAAATCGCTTCAGAATTGAATTAATTGGTTTAAATATTTGTATTGGGGCCTCAAGTTGCGAAATAGTGCAAAGAAATACTTGGAATTAAAATTCGGGAAGTTGTTGCACGCTCTGGCAGGGCAGGATTATGGTCCGCCATCATCATTATCACCCTCTTCCCCATAATCTCTTTTTGCACTAAAACGCACACATGGATTTTTAATCTGTCACTCAAACTCGCTGAATAATAGTCAAAGTACCTAGTTTTTTTCATTGACAACTTGGAGTTCACTATGTTGTTGCATATTGCACAGTTTTTAAAATTTTATTGGCACTACACAAATTATTAGATAAACTTAAAACTTTTTGGAAAAACCGATTAATATCACTTACTTTCTTATTCTCTATGCACTATGGCCATTTCGAGCGGGCAGGCTGCCCATCTTCAGGTGACTCCAAAAAGGTGACTTCTTCGGTTTTTCCAAAAAGTTTTAAGTTTATCTAATAACTTGGAGTTCACCTCAAAATTAAGGGATACTGATTATGTAGTATTGAACCTGAAGGTGAAGAAAATTATGATATCATTCTTATTCTTTTTTAGAAAACGTTATAATGAGTTGGCTTACAGCCAACTGAAGAAACTTAATATGCTGAGCAACTACACCCAACTTATCAACAAAAAATACTGTGCCAGCAAATAACATTTTACTTGTTGGTACTATACCGATGAAAAATGCTGACCTTTTTTTTGTTACCTTAAAAAATGATGTGAGAGATATGTGCGGAAAAAAATTGTGTGCACCATTCCAACCGCACTCGTTGGCAGAGACTTCCCAAAAAGATTGAAGTTGTTCCATTAATTGGCCGACAGGAACTGCATACAGAATATATTCTCGCATTGTGACAAGATCAATGGTTGGATCATTGACATGTGCAAGAAGCCAATCAGATGCAAGCTGCACACTTTTATGACCAGTTGCAGTGAGTGCTTTCTCTCTAAGGAAAAAATCAACAGGTAGGTACTAAAGGAAAAAGATTTGAGTGACACATGGAAATGAAATTTTTGACACCAAAATGCCTTAAGTATGCAAACTCTAAGAGGTAAATTCTCTAATTCTTATGGTTAATGATGTACCCTCCTGTTCATGGAAAAGGCGCTACTTAAGTGTTTTTATTATTTTTAATTTAGCGCCAAAACATTAATGTCAGACTACCCAGCTTTCCTCCTTCAAATTAATATTCTTCAACCTTTATATTTTGACAGATATAAAAACTTATAAACTAAAAACTAAACTGAAATCTATCACCACCGAATATCTTTTCCCTCTGCTAGTTTCTTACAAAGGTTACAAGGGTACTTAATTACGTTCAATGAGAAAGTTTTAGAAGTAAAACTTTGTCTCTTCATGTTGAAGACTCAATTTGAAGGAGCAAATCAAACCAAACGGGAAAAAATCTCCCCTGCAAGATTAAAGCTCCAATCACATATTGACGGTGTATAAGGCCGCAACCACGTAACTCAGTTTGCAAAGCTGCAGCCTTCCTGTCGTACTATGCAGTATCAGTTGATTTAGTAATGTTTTCTTTACATGTTGCAGGTGCATCTTCAATTTTAGGTTCAGTGAATTTTATCGTTACTATTTTTCATATACGGGTTCGTGGTATGAACGTTGAATTAAACATTAACATTTTCTTTGAATGGAAAACTACACGACAACAAAACTTAAAAACTGCCACAAGTTTTCATCTCTGTGCGAAGAAAATTTGGCAAAAGTTTCAAGGAATGATGACGATTTTTTCTCCTTTAAAAAATAAAATACTTAGTGGGTAGCAGAGATTTTCGAACAGCACCAACAAGATACCTCGTTACAAACTTACACCGTCAATATTTAAATATTCAGTGGTGAAATCCCTCCCCCTGCTATCAGGATTTTCCGTCTGCCTCGTAGAAAATGCTTCCGTTTTATCATTTCTAAAACGATCCTTTTTTTTAGCTGAATTGAACTGAATGTTCCTCTGTAAACGCATGATCTGATGAAGGACAAACAGACCACAAGGACCATTACAACATACATTGCTTTAATGTAATTAAATACCAAACAAAATCATGGACACATTTAAAAGTTTGAATGTCTTCCATAAATCAACCAGTATTGAGAAAAACAACGATACAAAAATCTCGAATCAACTCGTGTCATTGACCTCTTCCATAGATGTCAAAGATATCACTATCTGTTTATTCCCTCTACCAGTTTTCTAGGCAAAGTTACATGGTTAATTTGTGTTTTCATGAGAAAGTTTCAGAGGTAATACTTACGCTCTATGTCTTGGAAACCCCATTTGAAGGAGCAATTGCAGCGGTGTTCTTCGTTCTGCTTGAACTTTGATGGTAACAGAATGCTTGCGAGGAGGCAAAGTTGCCATTTCAACATTACTATGAGCTGCAGACATAGTATGAAAGTTCAATGAATGCCTTAAAGGCTGTAAGATCTGAGCATGAAATGAAGTGGAGGAATTAGTACGTAAATACAACAGAATTTGGAAACTGATAACATAATAAATAATGAAATTAATGAAATAACAACACCGGATGCTGAGGCTGCGGCGAACCTGTTGCTAGATAAGATAACGATAACTGTAACCGGATACAGGATACAGTATAGAATTACAGAAAGTGGTAGCGAGCGAATTGCGGAGATTCGTACATTTCGTAAGACTATCGAATGAAGAATTCAATAAAAACTAATTTTTACGTTGTGAAAACTGAAAAACTGAGAGGTTTATCAAAAAGTTCTATGTCATCTATGTTCAGACTTCAGAATGTCAATGTCAAAGGGGATGCCGGGGGCACTAGATAAAAACCGACCAATCAAAAGCCGCGACCGTCAGGAGAGTTGACGTTGCACTGAGTTCAGCCAATCATCAAACGCCGTTTCCATCCCGCCTGGCTACGTCATCAGAGCCCGCTAAAAAATATGGTTTCAAACTAGTCCACTTTTTCACATTTTCAAAACGGGGTTTTCTTGGCAATTTGGGCTTTGAAAAATTCCTCGAGGCTCAGTTTGATCCATAATTTCAAAAAATTAATTTTAAAAAAATGGGTGCTGTGGACCCATTCTTCATTCATACCTCGAGGATATCCTAAGCATGAATAGTTGCGTACTGACATAGGATGTTAATAAGTACCTATCTTATGTGCTAAAATCTCCGCTCCTATTTTATGTTTTAAACGAACAAATCCACGTCATTCCCTCAAGTTTTCCCAGAAAATTCTTCGTTCGGAGAAGAAATGTCTTGGCAATTTATAGGAATTGCCGTTAAGTAGCTGTTCCCATTTACAAGATGTCGCAAACCGAGATACGTGGTTACGGACTTTACAGCGTCGATATGACTTCCTAGGTGGAATGGCAAAACTATAGACCAATGCTTAAGGTCTGGTAAATAATATGGATGGAAATTAAATTATATTTTGCTCTTTCCCGCCTTAAAATTTACCACTGATGATAAGTGGGTATAATATAGTCCATCAAGATTTTTTTACTTTTTAGAATAGGTAGCCAAATTTTTTATGAATATTTTTAACTTAAGTGGGTACCCAATATTTATTTTAAAAAATGCTGCCATTAGCCGTGGCCCATGACCTCCCCCTCCACTCTTTTTAATCCGACCCTGCTATGAAAATTATTATTTGATACGCTTGGAGGATAAGACACATGCAAGCAGTTTTTGCTATTTCGAGAGATATGCTTCAGCAGTTTCGGAATTGAATGGATCCTCATGGTGGGAAGAAAGTTCAAACTGACTTTTTGATGCTTAAGAATTGGAATTTGGGAGCGAATTTTTCACAGAATATGCATTAAGACTAATTTTACTTGAAATCATTAACATCTTAATTTTTTCAAAAACTGCAGACGACCTTGGGAAAAGGTGCCAAAAATTTTCAGTGGGCAAGTTAAAGAAATAATTTATCAGATAGACGACTTTGCTGCCTTATATATGCCCACAACTTGGCTATGGTCTTCGTCAAATCCTGCCGATAGTTTTCTTCCCTTTTCTTCTCTTTTTTCTCACTTTCTGTAGAATAGTTCTAAAATTTGCCACCCAGTTCTGAAGCACTGTCAGCACTCCCCTAAATCTGGCTCTGGACTTAACTACCATTCTATATTATTGATAAAGCTTGGGGACGTACTATACACTATTGCCAACTTTTATCATTTACATATTTGAAAACATTTTTTTTTCTTCTTCTTCTTCTTTTTCGAAGAGAGGGTAACAGATATTACAATAAAAATTCAGAAACACAAGAGCAAGCCCTTCCAACACAGCGTGTTGATAAGTACTTGCAACTTTCTTTTTATTTTTTTTCTCTTTTTGATAGAAATAACAAACAGGAAAGGAAACAGAACAAGAGATAGCTTCCAAATATTAAATTTTGAGACAGGAAACAACAAGAACCTATAAAAAATAAATACATTGAAGTTAGTAAAAAAATATTAAAGAGTACAGCAGAGTTTCACAGTCATTAGCTTACTTAGTTCCTGTCATCTAACATAAGGTAAAAATTTCTCTTAGGTAAATTGAAAAATGGAATAAACATGAACATACTAATGACGTTTCTTACAAACATTCCACCTGGCGTCTAAATAAAGTCTAAACTTGAAAAATTTGAGCCAAGCCAACATAAAATAAAAAACCGGTAAAATCCGGTTTATTCACAGTGCAGTTATGACTAAAATGTATATAAGTCAAATTTTCCTTTAATCCCACAACACTCCAATATGGAACAATGGAAAAAAAGAATGATGAAGACGAATTCACCATGGTCCTAATGTTAAGAGTAAGCTTGCCTAAGATCAAGAAATTTGTTTCAAATTTTCAAGTAAAACACAAATGAATCAGCTCTTTAAAAAAGGGTTGAGGTCGAACTTTTAAAAAAAATATATTTTCAATTTTTTTTTTTTTGGTGCATATTTTCCGCTTGTTTTACATGACAATCACCTTCTTGTACGTCTGTCACTTGCGTTCAAAGAAGTGGACTACCGCTGCTTTCATGAGTAAAATGGTAAGGATAGCCGGAGAGTTCAAAAATGCATAAAACAATTTTGAAAATTGTACTTCTACCCTTTTTAAAAATACTGATTCAAATAAATATGCATTTACAGCGTCCATCCATTTCCCGCGACGGAGTTTTAACGATCCAGGCCCAATTTCAATCACTCAGCAGAACATTCTTGATGCACACTAGGAGAGGCCATTCAAAGAGAATTTTTCCTGATTCAGGACAATGCAGCTACTTTTATTTTTTCTTTGCATCAACCAATTAGATGACTAGCTCAAATATTCAAGCACTTGCACAGTAAATACAGAAGAGGAATATCACTATGAGTTCATGACTGTTATATGAAATTCAAGCCTGCGGAAAAATATATTAACAACTGGAGGAGAACTGCAATCTGTTGGTTTAAACTTAGGAATATTTTAAGACTTCAAGAGGAAAATAATTCGGTAACTGCCAATACAGAGCATAGAAGAAAGAAAGGTATCTTGATGAAAATGGGAAGAGAAACACACAAAACCTCAAAGCATGGCTTTAGGAGGGTTCTTTGGGAGCTAGAGCCTCAGGTGGGCAGTTATAGAAATGAGGAGGTGGATTTTGAAATTAATGGTTTCCCCTTCCTTTCAATCTCGTTACACTGCAAAGTAAAATCACGAACAACCGGAAAGCAGAGAAAGAGGAATTTCAGGTCATTAATTTCGAAATCTGGGGGCAGCAAAATTGTTAAATCAGGCCATGAAAATCTCTTCCAGCCGGTCTATCCGTCTCTTTCACTCAGTCACCAGCTTTGCTTCTACATTTTAGAAATAGCCTCGAAAGCACCAATAAAGTTCACTCAATTTTGGAATTTCCGACTAATACCACCACAAAGTGAAAGATGAAGGATGGCATGTCCACAGAGAATCTGGGCCACCCAAATCATATTTACAATGACTAAAAGAAGAGCATTCAAACAGTGAGTACTAAAAATAAACTGGTTAAAAAGGAACCAAATAAGACAAATTTTCCTACTCAGTGACATTATGAGGAAGCAAGAACATCCTCTCATGGAGAAATAATGGTAAAAAAATAATCTGAGCCTTCTCACTTCCTGTTAGCCATAAAAAAGTTCCAAAAGTCCATGAAAACGAAGCTTAATAAAATAAGTTGAGCGTCAGCTGAAAAACTGATAGGCATGAAGAAGCAACAGAGCAAGCCGAACCGATCATCCGTTTGCAGGAACCCTTTCCTGCATTGAATTGGGTATCACAATGGATTTTTATTGTCGACCTTTGTTACATATTTGTTTTCTAAGGATAAGAAGTTTGCTAAGATGAATAAAATGTCTGAAAGCCTAGTAAATCAGAGGTAGTCTTGGGTATAAATTCAATATTCTTTATCTGGAGTGGTTTAAACAAATAATAATCAATGTAAAAAACAACTTAAATCAGTGTGGTTAAAGGAAAAAGTGAATTACTATTATACAAATGTATCTAACGTTGATTCCTTTTCAGAGTCTTAAGATAAAAAATATTTTCAAACCTCAAATGAACTCTTTACCAAGTACAGTAAGTTAAAAAAAAAAAAAAATATCTTGTCCTCTACTTGATATGTGGTGATTTTTCACTCAAAAAATTATCAGGTTTTCAAAAATGAGGCATTCTTTGGATTGGTTTTTGGTCGCAAGTAGGAGGATCATGAATTAATTAAGAGTTAAACGTTTTAGAGGACGCTTTTGCATGCTAACAAATCTTTTGTTTTATTACAACTTTTTATTAGTGGCCTTATTCTGTAACTTTGATTAATAGACTCAATTTGTGCCTTTTCTTCGATGTACCTTTTTCTGTACCTTTCATCTCAAATTTGCTGTTCAAAAACGCCATGGTTAAACAATAGTCTACTCACAGGTCCATCACTGGAAAAATGATCTGGCAGGAAAATTCACAGACGTTACATTGAAAAGGACAGTGATAATCAAACAGCCATAGAACACAACTAATGGCAGCATCACAGACGCAATGGCTTTCAGTATTGTTTCGTCTGTAAACTGGGAGGTGTAACATTTCAGAGAGGACCATGTCATCTTGTTCCCATTTTGTGTAGAAAAAAAAAATGAATACATTAATGGTGAAACAGTTAACCACTGCCATGATTCAAAATTCTGGCTCAAGTTTGTTTTTTCAAAACAAATTAACTGTTATTGTGAAATTCACATGAAATCTGCAAAGCTCTTCAGAGGGGGAAAAATTTCTTTGGTAGAGTTGAGTGGCTCAAGAGATTTTTGGGCAAATTGAGATGATATTTTTTTCTTATTTTCCCCATTGTTATATGTGACAAGAAGTTTAAAGTGCTATAAATCGTGACACAAGGTGCTTAATCTTCTGAGCCAACCATTAATAACAATCTATTTAAAACACTAAAATGTATAATATTTCTACAAAATAAGCTCACTCTTGAAAAATTAAAAAATGTTTGGCCTGCAGCAGACATAGTGTGATCCAATCCCACAGGTTTCTCAGGATCAAAAAACAGTGGCTAAATTGAAACTGGAATAATTGCGATGTAAAACATTTGGTGATACTGAGGATACATTTTTTATGAATTCACAACAAATGAGTGGTTACCGTACCCTTGAGACTCCCTGTCCAATGAATGCAATCTGCCAATTTTGTTTTTTCTCCTTTTGCATCCTTAAAATCCAAACACTGAAGAAAGGTTATCGCAATGTTGGATAAAACTAAGCACAGTGGTCACATCTACAGTGCAGAGTTTCAAAATCGCATCTTCTATATTGATTTTTGGAGAGGAAAATAACGAACATTTTTGCTTAAAATTATATGGGAATGACATTTACACAGCAATTATAACACCAACTCACGACAGCAGAATTTTCAGTGGAAAACTGGATTTTTGGCTAAAATCAGAAAGTGCTAAACAGAAGCTTGGACCTAGGGAACATCTTAATTTCAATGATTTTAAAAAGAAAGATGTACTCTTAGTACTACTTAAGGCAATTTTTTCACACTACACTTTCAAATTTTTAGAGAAATGTAGGATTGGACCACCTTAGCAGACAGACAATGATGAGTTAACATTATGTACTTAAAAATAGGAATGCAGGAATTAGACAACTGCCAGAGTAACATGATCTGGATTACAGCCTAATAACACAAAATTTAATTTTCACTCTCCCCAAGTAGCAATTTTCAACGGAAGAATACATTTTTTTTTATACATCCGGAATATTTTGCAATTAAGTTGCGATTTTCAACGATTTAAACGATAAAATTGCTGGGATCATCAACATCTGAGCAATTATCCTCGATCTTGTCGGAATTCTATCTCTACAAAATCGCGTTCGATAAAATCGAAATTTTATTTCAATTTATCACGATTTTGGGTTTGATAATATTGCAACAAATCGCAATCAATAAAATTGCTTTTTTATTGCAAATTTAAGCGATGAAATCGAAATTTTTATCTAATAATATTGTAATATAAATTGACGTCGATAAAATCGAGATACATTCTTCGATCAAATCGCAACTTATTGCAATCACTGCTACTTGGGCCACACAAACCGAATCTTTAAAATTATCCTGGTAGCTGCTTAGAAAAAAATAAAAGAGAAAAAAAAGGAGGAAAATTCAGTGATATTATGCAGTTTATACAGAATTTCCCAACTGCAAGAGCAATTTCTACAGGTCAAAATAACCATTGAAAGGTGTCCTAGTGTTGATGAAAGATTTTCAAAGGCTGCGCAAAAAATGAGTACTCAGGTGTGCATGTAATTGACCCAGGATGGAAAGATGGACCAAGTCACTAAGGATAGAGAACCCCTTGGAAGAGAGGCTACAGTGATGTTGAAGAGTATTCTCTGAGATCATCAAATTTTGGAGAACAAGAGGAGAATTTTTTATGCTATTGTGACAAGCATGTGGATATGAGCTTTGGTAGCTGAGGAAATGGAAACAGGATTTGTCAAGATAAACAAATATGGAACTCTGGAGGAGTTAGACAGGAAATTCTAAAGAGGATTGAGTCCATATTGATAGATTGCATTTGAAGTATTGACCAGACAGATAGTCTGGTTCTGATATGATCACTTTAATAGAATGATAGTAGGAAGGCTGCCGAAAAGATTTTTTAGATGGGGGTGTTGGTGATTTTGCTAGAATGCATTAAAATTAATTATAAAACTGAAAAACTCGTTACAGTGGGAAAAAGCTCAAATGAGCCTATTTTCCCCTCGTTTTACTGAATTTTAACGCATCTTCGCAAAACCATCACCACTGTCTAATCGACTTAGGCATCGAACCGTGATCTGTTCGTAGTAACCTTCAATGTGCAACCGTGATATAAATTATGTCATAAGACAATTATGCTTTAGGTTACTTAACTATTAAATAGAATTCTAGATACTTAGATACTAGTGCTATATATGAATTCAATCACTTTATAAGTTTTTCAAAATATCGTTTATTGTTGGTCTGTATAATCGTTGTACTTTGGTTAAAAATCCATAACATAAATACATCCGATACCTACCTATTATTTTTCCCTTAACTTTTTTTTTTCACACAGCTCTGCTACAAGGGTAATGTCAAAAAATATTTCGTTCCCAAAGTATTTAAAGTAATAACGAATCCAAAAATGATAGAGAGTAAGAAAAAAACTGATATTTAGGAATATAAAAAATTATGCAATATTGCAATGAAGACATTTTGTTTGGCACAAAGCAGCAATGATCAGGAGAGATTGTCTGATGAAAGAATGGTCTCTATTCGGTTCCGGGTCATCGACCAGCACTCTTTGCACTGGCTTCCCATTGTTCCTTCTTGAATTTGTCTTCCAAAAGACCTGGGATCTGCACATAAAAATATAAAAACTATAGTAACAGACATTCATTTTACAAAAACATTAAGCAAATTTTTAGAGGTACTTTTTCTTTTGACCCATTCCATGCTCAACTCACAACTTTTCCCCTTCACCTATTGTTGAACATAAATGTTACACCGTGGAGGCTTTTGCAAAAAGAGGTAATTAATTCCTCGTTGTTATAAATTAGCCTAACTTTAATAGAAAGGAATGGCTTTTTTTGATTGACACTACTGCTTATCACTTGTAAATCTAAGGATGCTCCCGACTTTATCATTCGCAGGAGTGCATTCCTGATATGATGTCAAACTTCTCCACATTTTTTGGATGAGCACAACTCAGCGACTGCTGTGAAAAGGTTTTAAAGATTATCATGACCTCTGGATGCTGTGCGACACAAACTTCATCTGCAAAAACACATGCTTTCAAAATTACCAAACTACTCAACGCGTTCCTGAAATGATATCGGTCAAACCGTCTGTCAACAATAACGTAGTTAATTTGACTTACAACCTTTATTCTATACCAACAACTATACCAATGTTAGATTTACTCAAGTAATAAGAAAGTCTCAGGAAGTCTTGGAAGTAGTTGGCACCAAAAAAACAGGTCTAGATGGAGATAGAAGTAGGAACAGTCCTTACAGTTAACACAAGTCTTTCTGAGCTTCTCTCAGCCAACACTTAAAGATATTGAAGCACTGCATGAAGGTGGTCCAAGTAAACTTTCAACACACTGACTGAAGTACCTAGGTGCAGAGCTTCCTTGAAAAGAGCATCAGTGTTGGTAGCGCTTATCCGGGAATCCTGGGTCAAAGTTGGAACAATCAGGCCAAAATGCCAGAGGCAATAAAATTTTCTACGATACTACGGCCAGAAGACCCAGGACTTGCATTACAGGGGCAGATTTAAAAGGCTGGCAGTCTAGTAGCCTCTGGCCATGATACACGGCCATATGACACGAACAATAATATCCACCACATTACTGGATGGAGTGAATTATCAGGTATAAAGAAAGGGGCAGGAACTATGTTTTGCTGGGGTGCCATACAGCTACCCATCACAAGTCAGGAGGCACCAAGGACACAAGTGGTTCAGGCGAATCTCACCATCGTAAATGAAGGCACAGACAAATTTTGTTAGGGGCTAGCATATATCTTGAGAACCAAATTTGGTTAATCTCAAGTAGGTGTACATCTGAAATTTACACTCTGCGAAGTTGATGAAACAGATGTCTCATAGGTAGGGATGTGCCTATCTGTAATTCTCCAATAACAGTTATCACCCTCACTGTTATTCAGAAATAACAGTTAATAACAGTTATTTGTAACTGTTATTTTGAAGAAAACTGCTTGAAATTGAATCCTGACTAACTCGATTTGGTCAAAAAATGATGCGTCTCGCCAACAAAACTGATAAAAAATCCCCATGAATTATAATATCAACACATTTTGCCATTTATTTTAATAAACTGTAGATGTTCCATTAATCGGAAAAAAGCATTAGCCAAAAAATTGATTGTTTAAAATAACTTTTATTTTTCAAAAACAACATTCGATAACTGTTATCGGCACATTCCTACTCATAGGTACCGTAAGTAGCCCTGAGAGAACAAACAAGGTCACACAAGAGGAGGACTAAACTGAGAAGTGGGCGACACTGGCAGAGACATATTTCGTATAATTTTTAACCGTTGGCACCACTAAAAATGGTTGGAATTTACTCAAATCTTGATAAAATCGTTTTGAGTAAGTGGCACCGATAGTCATCTAAGAACAGTGACATATTTCTAACTTATTCTTTCATATCGCACCTTGGTAAAAATGGAACATAATGATTTCAAAGGCATAGTGACATCTCACTGCTATATAAAACGAGGAGGGAATGACGAAATCATTATGACAAATTCCGAAATTTCGATGTCATGATATCATCATGCACACCGAGTTCGATAAAGAGGCTTGATGTCGCTATGACTTCTGGTCCCTGTTATGTTATTATTAATTCTGATCACTAAGCTGTCTTCAAGACTTCTAAAAAAAGTGATATCGCTGCAATGTCTATTGACTTATTGGTGAGTGGCTGTTCAACGACTGACAAGCAAAGACAAGGTCACTGTTGGTAAAAGTTTAGATAAGCCCAGGAATAACATGTTATTACTTATTAAGTTAAGGGACCATGCAGAACTTAGTAACTTCAAAATAGAAAACAAACGGAATATGAGGAAAAGAATTAAGGAAAAAGGGAGAGACTCACCAATTTGCTAAAATTTGTAGGTAATCCATTGGGTTAGAAGATTTTTACCTAAGAATAATGAATCCAGAACATTCTTTTTGGAAACACTAATGAGAGGGTAACACTTTAGAACACTAAAGGTGGTAGGAGGAAATTGAGAATGTTCATAATGGGAGGATATACGCATTTCATCGGTGGTTTCAATGATACCTATCCAGACGAGAAATGTTTAACTCTTACATCTGAAAGTAGAACTTTACATTGAGATACCTCAGAAAAATATTCGTGGACAAATGAAAATGATTCACGAGACCGGTTTTTTTTTTGAAGGGGGGGGGGGAGGGTATTTTTAGTGAAAAATGTTCCTGCACTGTATTTTGCTCCGAAATATTAACGTTGATATCATAAGTTCAATTGTATGCATACGATTGTTATGTATACATGTATTGATTGATTGCATACTAAGAGATCATAAGATTAATGATACAAATTTGAGATAAAACAATACGTACTTACATGTAGAAGAGAAAAAAAAAACACTACGACTGCTTCAATGTAAATTAAATGAGTAAGACTCGTGGTTTTCTATCAGTCATCCATTTATGTATGAAAAACTAAGGCACTAAGATCCCTTTTACTCAATCTTATTTAATGTCGACCGGTTCACCACAGATTTTTTTAAATGACATTTCTTGATCGACAGATGTGCTTGCAACCTTTGGTTTTCCGATTGCTGCAAATGCTGTGGAAAAATTTCTCTCAATGCAAAATAATTCATTTTTTATTCTGCTGCTTGACATTTTTGCCTACTTTAAACATCAAAGACTACTTGGCTATTTCACTTTACATTTTTCTGAATAAAGTGCCTCGATCAGCATGCTTGTTCACAGTTATCCACTTTTCAATTTTCGTAACTAAATGTCTTTCACTTTAGTTTAATGTGTTTGGAGGTCTATATCTTGACATTGCTTACTCTCTTATCACCTTAGGAACTAACCAACCGAATTACGTTAGCTTTATGTTAAAGGATAGCTCTTGATTCTCAAATGGGCTCATCATCACCACTATTATTATTCTTTTTGTATTAATACATCAAAGTTATACTGTTGGAGAAGATCTCTTGCATTGCCCCAACCTTTTGGCTCCTTTGGCAACCATCACGATAATTGGTACAAACAAGCAGTCCCCTAAAATGAACGAATTATAGAAAAGTTCTGACTCTGTCAGTATAAGCAGCAAAAAGGGGAGGTATTTCTTATAAATTGCTTGGATATTGCTTTTACGGATATTTAATTTTGTTTGCTTATTCAAAAAACTTGGGGTGAACGTGAGAAACTGAAAAATTAAAATTTTATAACTTCAGAAAATTAAATTTTTTGGACAGTTTTTAATCAGATAATTTTTTAAGCTCAGAAGAGGCCTTATGGGGCAAACTCATTATATCATGACACTTTGAAAAGCGATTCTTGTACTTTGCACTTGCACTCGTACCTAACATTTAAGATTCTTCAGTGTCATTTAAAATTACGAAAATGGACAAGTTAACCGATCACACATCATTTTCGACTTGAGTGGTGAACAATGAGTCATCCATTCTTCTACTGTGTGTATATGAGTATTTGGCCTTGGTCTCATAGGAAAAAAGCGGATTTGTATGAACTTTATGCGTAAATCGGTCAAAATTTAAATTTAGCCTCTTAAAATTATTAGTATTCGTTCAAAGAGCCAAAATTAAAAAGACTAAGCACCTAAGCTTTTGCCTAAAAGCTAAAAATTGCACCATGAAAATTTAGAGGTGAGGGGGAAGGAGGAATGACAATAATTTTAAAAAATTGAGATGAGTTATCTAGAATAAATTAGGAAAAAGTTCAGGGTAGAGTTAGACAAAAGCGAAGACACGCAAAGAATCAGGATTATTATTTTGTATCCATGTGTTTGTTAAAAGGCAGCATCCACTAGTTCACAAGTAACTCGTACAAGTTAACTGAACTCACAAAATATTGGGCAAAAGTTTCTGTTTCAAAATCTTCCAGCTTTTCAATAGAATAAGCCTAGTAGCCAAAATACAGCATGACGTTTGAGTCTAGAGATGGAAAAAACATGTATCTATGTACACACAAAATATGTATAAAACACGAAATTCACGCCATTCATATAAATGAACTTGAGTGGATTCCACATTTTCTTCTCTCAGCTATTTAATAAGAAGGCAGAGAGTCAGGAGAGGTATTTTCTCTGCACTGTAATGCATGCATCCTCTCCTCTTACTCCGTGAGGCGCCTACTTAGCCCTGTCTTTGTGTTTCCCCTCCCCTCACTCCTGCAGATGATGATCCATCACCAAAAAATACTGCTAAGCAAACGTTACTTATGTAGCAAAAGACTGAGGGTGCAACGGATAAAGCCCTCAGTTAGACATAAGGCCTTGAAAACTGCGCTCTAAGGGGCATGTATGAACTGATGCTGTATGAACACTCTATCTTTTTTCAGTAAGAGTATTCTCCTATAAATAAGATAAGTTTTCAAATACGAAAAAATAATAAGAATTTAGATACCTATGAATTTACACTTGACAATTTTCTATCTTTCATTTAGCGGCTGAATTTTACAGAGAGTGACATTATTATTACAGACAGCATAAAAGATCTAGGTTTATCCATGCTGTCAGAGTCCAACATCTCTGAAATTAGGTGACCATTTAGGCCACTTTACATAAGGAAAGAAGCACTAGGGATTAGAGGCATCAAACTTTTGCATTATCAAGGTTTCACCGTTCAATGTAATTCTCTAAGTTGTATCCCTCAATCAGGCTAACTTCAACCATGGGCCTCACAAAAATACTTCCCTGGAGGGATGTTAACGTTTCGATACTTTACTTTGACATGATACTTTCAATGTCCCAGTGAGGTGCTAACTTGCTTTCATTCAGAATTTGAGTACACATTAAAAACTTGTGATACATAATAAATACAAACTTTATACTAGCATCAGATTCATGTAGAAAAGAGTTGGGAGACATATGACACTTTTTTTTCGCAGTCATAAAGCTAACATAAAAATTTCTTTTCCTCCTCTCTTATTTTTTCATCTCTCTCCCTTCTTCGTTCTCAATCTTCTTTCTTCTCCTCTTCATGAAATGGGATAAATAGTGATGAACTGCAGTAGATCAGAACTAATCATGATGAATTTGGATTAAACAGGATAAATATAAATAAAACGGTATTAATAAGAAAGGATAGAAACAGAGGATCAAATGGATGAAACATTGGAGTAAATAGGGATGAACCGAGATAAATCAAAGAATAGAGAAAAATAAAAAATAAAATCGCAGGATCACTACAAAAAAATGAGGACGATGAAAGATGCATTTGTCATTTTTTATGTGTTTGAGGTGTTTGTTGCGTTTAGTGATATTTTCATGGTTAGAATCAATGGCCAACCAGGGCAACTCCATTTCCCAATATGACCGAAAGAAGCCACACTCTATTGATGTATGGTGCCCCAACAGACCTTCATATGCAAAAATTATTAGACTGACTTCATAAATCATGCAAGTCCAATAAAAGAAAATGACAAAATGCACAGCAAGATGCAGGGAATTACGAGAAACATCACAAATTTATCTCCTGATTGACTAAAACTTGTGATGGAAAAAGTTATTTGATTGATTAAAACTTGTAATGGGAAAAGTTCCATGATTCCTGAAAAACTTTTGTCCTTTTTTTCGACATAGAGACTAAAAACAATTTCATAACGAAATGCTTGTCATATTGCCAGAATAACTTTAGCCCATGATGGGTAGCCTTTATTCACAGTCTCTCAAAGCCAATCCGACACAGAAGGGGAATAAGATATTGGCGTTGAAACATCATGTACCTATATAATCTTCCCACTCTCCCATAAAAATGTGTTGTATATAAAATTGGTATTGAATACCATATCTAGATATAAGTATTTAATCTTGTATGAGATGAATATTAAAAATGTATTAAATAATTCATCTACGTCAAACATTTCTAATGCTTGTATTGTGGCTACTAGGACACTGGGCCACTGGGAAGTACCCATCTACTACCCTAAACAGTGACGAGAAAAGAAAACTTGCAAAAGCCAATCTATGATAGAATAAACTCAATTTTTCCCAAACATCATCCAAGCTTTGGTTGAAATCAGAGGAACACCACTAATGTGCTGCCTAAGGCAAAATCAATGCTTTAAATTTAAAAGAAATACCATCATCACACCATACAGAAGAAGAAAATTGGACCATTCGACAATATCTTGAATGTAAAACTTTAGCATCTCCCTAAAACAAATATCGAAGCTGCTTTTAAATTTCAATTTTGGGAAAATCATACTGTCATGGCCTGATTTTAAGTAAAAAATAGTTTTCACTTGATTTTCTCACTTGAATTTATCACACTCTGAAGCCAAGGGCTACAAAAGCACTTTAGGGGAAAATGTAAGAGGCAATTGAAAGTAAGGTTTGATATTATAAGCGATTAAGTTTGATTCAATCATAATTTCAATTATGCTCCTGAATATCGTACTTAAAAATGAACGTTTCACTGTGTATGAAATAAATGCGCTACTGGTGCTAATTTTTGGAGGAAAGAATGATTGAAATCGATGGTGGAAAAAAAAACATATATTTCAGTTTGAAACATTACCCATTCTCTCACTAATTCTATTTTAACAAAGAAAAACTGCTATTTAACCTCCATTATGAGGGGTGGCTTAAGTACGCACACAGCTTAAAATATCACAAGAGCAAACATTTTAAAAATCACCTCACTTTAAGTTAAGTCTTGGGGTTAACCATTAAGTTTAGAGTTCACGAAATTGAAAATAAGACAGCACCACATTATTGACTAAATGAAAAAATAACTTGTTGAATTTTTGTGCCTGTACTAAGTAAAAAGTAACTAATAGTGACAGAAATGGTAGATCTTGCTCCAATCTATGCTAACGCTTCAGTGCTTTTGGACAGATCATATTATTTTAAAGACACAGCTTTTTCAACTCTACAGAAATAAGACTCATTGGAAATCTATTAAAAAAATCTAGCTATCAAAATCATAAAGGCAGTGAAGAGATTCTGGGTTTTTTTACTTGAAGAAAATAAATGCTTCCGTCTAAATTTGTTCATTGATGAAATTAAGTAGGAGATATGCACCCAATAGGGGAGGAATAAATACATGAAATAGGTAAAACTAAGAAAAGAAAAAATAAATAAATTCTCAGAAGGAAAAATAGGGGATATGTCATGTCTTTTGCGTTTCAAAAATAATTAAAAACAACTATAGGCACTCTCTTGCAATCATATTTCATAAATGCAGCCGTTTCATAAGTCTGAGTCCATCCGTCTGCAATATTTGAGATACTAAGTAACCCAAAAGCACATATATACTTAAATTTCAGTTTTCACAGGCTGTAATCATTGCTGTATTGTTTTCCTCCTCCTCCTACACAAAGAAAAAAGTAAAATTCAAAGCTCAAGAATCAAACGTAATAAAAAAAAATACTGAAACAGAGATCAAGTTTTCACAACACAGCAAGATACATTTCTATGACGTGAAAAGTATACATGACACTCAGGTGAAGGTCCAAAATTATCTAATTTTTTTAAAAACAAAAAATAATAATGATTGAGCTGCCACTATGTCTGCTAAATCATACCAACAGTTAACAGGAATGTCAATGTAAAATATGAAGATATGTGCTATGATGATATTTGGGATGAGAGAATGGATACTTCGATCATTAACGTTTAAAGATATGGTCGATACTGTATCTACCGATGCATACATATTAAGGACGGAAATACTGGCTTCAAATTAAGCAACGGGCGCTTCTAATGATATAATCAATAGAGAAATCTGATGACATAATCAACGAGCCCTCCTGGTAACATCATCAACAGGTGCCTTGGTGGACCTCCTGATGATGTAATAAATAAGGACTTTAAATGACATCATCATTGGGGTTAGAGCCCTAGAGGGCGAGCTCTTCTGCCTGTGAAGCAGAGCCTTAAAAGGGTAGAGAGAACGTCCCCTTCAGCTAATGGAGCAGAACCTTAGAAAGGTTAAGCAAGAGCACCCCAGCCAGTAGGGCGTAGCCCTTAAAAGGGCCCTCCTCTCAGCCAGTGCACAGTGCGCAAAATTCTCAAGCAGATTTCAAAAAATTCTTGGCCCTTGGAACAAACATTCGTGACTAATGAGTTTCCCTTAAAATTAGGTTAGAGTGCCGTGTTTTATACTTCAAAACTATTAACAACCAATTAACACATATCCTTGTCAGGTTTAACGGTCAAAGGCATAAAAATATAGTGACTGGTAACTGAGGTTGGAATAACAAAGTTTGGCCTAGGTATTCAGCATCTCAGTTCTAGCAAATAATTTTAAAGTTGATGAACTTTTTCTTCATCTGGAATTTTAGGTGCTACTTCCTTTCCCTTTCATTGTTAATCTGAAAGTTGAAAGTTACAAATTACGAAAGTTCAAAAGTTAAGAATTATTATTAAAAATACTCAGGGATATTCTTCTACATATTCTCGATTTTCTTGAGAAGTTGCAAATAGTAATGACTCGATTTTGGCACATTGATCCTGCCTAGTATTCTTAACACCTCATAAAATTTTTAGTGCAAATATCGGTGACTATTGAAAATTATAGCCATTCAAAGTTAGAATCCAAAGTAGTTTTAGTGGGTCTCTTGAAAAAATTGCCACTCATTTGGTAATCAAAAATAGTGCTAACCAATTAATTATTTACTTTTGGAACATCCTATCCTAGCATCCTACATAGGTTGTCCCAAAAGTACTGCACGTTTTTTTCTTATTGACGAACAGTAGTAGATATCAAAATGCGGTTTGTGTAGTCTTAAAGATCGGCCAATCATCGATAGAACAAGACAAATCCGAGCTCTCTAAGTCAAAAAATGACCAAGTTACAGCGTTTTGAAAATGACTTGTAGAGGGGACCCCTACGGGATTTTCAGCTTCTTTTCTGGAAAAAAAAACAAAGAATTAAGGATTCAAGTAGTTTTATTAAAACAATTTTGCAGAATCTTACCAAGATTACTAGCATTTACTCTTCTTCACTGGATGACTGGACACTAGTTTCTTCTCAAAATACCCTCCATCACTTGCCACACAGCGCCGCAACCGTTCTTCCCAATTTATTCTTCAAAGATGGTTTTTTCGAATTCTTCTTGCCTAATGTTCTTTAAGAAAGTTTCAACAGCTCTTTTCATCTCGTTGATGGAGTTAAACTTCCTGCCTCTTAAGCCCTTTTTCAACGTAGGGAATAACCAAAAATCGCAAGGTGCAAGGTCCGGGCTGATATCATGTTACCAACTTCATTCGATCGCGACGATTTCTCTGTAGAATTTTTGATCAATCAAATCTTTGTTTTTTCCAGAAAAGAAGCTAAAAATCCTGAAGAGGTCACCTCTACAAGTCATTTTCAAAACACTGTAACTTGGTCATTTTTTGACTTAGAGAGCTCAGATTTGTCTTGTTTTATTGGTAATTGCTTGGTCTTTCAGACTACATAAACCGCATTTTGATATCTGCTACCGTTTGTCCAAAAAAAAAAAAAACAATCAACTCTTTGTTTTTTTCCAGAAAAGAAGCTGAAAATCCCGTAGGGGTCCCCTCTACAAGTCATTTTCAAAACGCTGTAACTTGGTCATTTTTTGACTCAGAGAGCTCGGATTTGTCTTGTTTTACCGGTAATTGGCCGGTCTTTAAGACTACACAAACCGCATTTTGATATCTACTACCGTTCGTCAAAAAGAAAAAAACGTGCAGTACTTTTGGGACAACCTATGTAGAATCAATTGCATATGTATGAAATTTACCTTGCAACATAACAGAACGAACTGAAAGTAATACTTCACCCATGGTGAGTCAAACTGTTGTGTTCAACTTGAACAAATGTACTTTCGACTTTTTTTAAAATAAAAAAATGGCAAAATTAAGGGTTCTTTCTATAATTTTTTTTTTCTTTCTCTGACATTTGTCAAAATTACACAAAAATGAAGAAAAAACCAAGAACTCGAGAACCAAGTTAAACATTTTCTTCCATGTTAACAATATTGACTTACTTCCATAATTTTGGACCTCCACTCTTATTGTGCGGTACAGCAAGATATTTTCAGACACTGAACTCCAATTTTGATTGACTTACAGGCATCGCACAACGGAAGTCCAGAAAGACCCATTAAATAAAATTAAAAAAATCTTGCATATTTATTGCATTTTGTCAAAAACTGTAATTCATAATTTATTTTACTCCCCCTTACTGCGCGGTGTAAAATTGCAAACTTTGTGCAGTTACCTGAGGATGAGCTGAGAGGTTTAGAAAAGCTATCATTGTCGAATTAACACTAATTTTCCTACGGATTCAGCCGAAAAAGAAAGGAAATTCTTCTTCTACTAATGGCATAGACTTACTTTCCAGAAAGTTTGAGAGCCACTCCTTCATTTTACAGTGCCTAAAAATGTTCGAAGGGGAGAGAAACGGCAAAATTAGAGTATTTTGGACGTTTCTGACTTGACACATCAAACACCAAACACATTAGACGCCTTGAATACAATGAATGAATTAATCTCATTCATCTATATTTATACTTTAATAAATAAGTCCTTACTAATCCGAATTTTACTCCAATTAATACGAATTCATCCAGAATTACCTTAATTCAACTTCATTCATCAAGATTCATCCTAATTTAATTAGGATCATTCCAATACACTGGCCACAAGATTGTACTGCAAAATTGTGTTCCAACATTTTTAGAAAAATTATAAAGGACCGCACACACTCCTTATGGGAATGTGTACCAAGATCAATTTTTTTATTGCATTTACCTCCTCTATGGGTGCTGATCAAAAGTCCTCATTGCGCCAACTTTTACACTGTTTTTGCACAATCCGCCTAGGAATTTTCAATAATTACTTGAATAAGTGAGGCCAACGAGTCGATTTAACAAGAGAAATCCGGGCCAATAAGTAACGAAGACAGTGAGCGAGAGAAAGAAGCTGATTTGAACAGTGAAAGAAAAGGCGTGCGTAATCCGAGATGAGAATGCCCGGTTTTTCTCGTTTTCAGCAAAAGCTGAAAGACAGATATCACCATACTGGCCTCACTTATTCAAGTAATTATTGAAGTTTCCAAGGCAAATTGTGCAAAAGCAGTGTCTCATGGAAAGTTGGCGCAATGACGGCTTTTGATCAGCATCCATAGACGAGATATATGCAATAAAAAAATTAGAAATCGATCAAGGTGCACATTCCCATAAGAGTGTGCGGGGTCCTTTTGGAATCCAAATCTGGTCATGAGATGGAAACTTTTTGAGTCCAGAATTGATACCAAAAAAGTCAAAAATTGTAATTGAAAGTGATAAAATAATCAGAAGCAGTAGATGAGAGTTACTATTATCGATTGCTGCTACCTGTCATTGTTACCTCACACAGTAAAAGCTCAAGGGAAGAAAAAGACTTGATTTTACATCAACAAAGAAAAAGAAAACCTATTGATTAGCAAGACAGTAGTGCTAAGTGCTTGAAGAAAGCCATTTTTCGCTCTTGACTGAAAGATCCTCATTCTTGCTAGGGGTGAGAATTCGTCTAAAGTCAAAAGCTTCTACATTAAACTCCTTGAGAAAATTCCTCCTACTCATTCTGTGCTTGCAAACTTGTGTTAAGTACACTTTACTGATCAAAGAATCAGAGAGTCAACATTTTATTAAAGAATTATAGCCTTAGCTGCCCTTGATGAACCAAGCTTACTAATGTTAAAGAACCAGAGGTAATTGGTGCGAGGAGTGAAATATGATAAACTTCACAGCTATAGCTTAAAATTTGAGTCTTCTTTTGAAACAAACACATTTTCAAAAGATGAACAATTAAATGTAGGCAGAGACCAAAGCATTAACATTTTAGCCCTTTTCTGACAAAAATTATTCAACTACTTACCCAAGATGGTCAAAGGCTTTGGTGATGGGATAGAGACAACATTTTTAAACCAGATTTACAGTTACAATTACATCTCTATTACTGAAAAAGCTAAGGGCAGATTAAGAATTGAAGAACCGTTGGTTTGCAGTCACGATAACAATCTTCACTTAGTTATCGCTGGTAGATGTAATGGTTACCTTTTCAATCTTGTTCACCTAGTTTTTGTTACTGTATAATCTTTTGTTACAAAATTGCTAATTTTGATATCTACTTCTGACAATTTTTTAAAAAAAAAAAATTGTTAAATTCAAAATTTAATTGCTGCAAACAAAAAATAAACACTCAAAATGTTGCTCGAATACTGTAAGTAATAGGATGGTGGAATAGTGCTGGGTCCACACTATTTCGCAGTAAAATGAAGACAAAAATTAGCATTTGAGTCAAAAACTGAACTCTGGTATCGGGGTATGATACAAGACTGAAGAGGAAATGTGTTCAACTCAGGCAAATACATTGGAATACTAAGTTGGGGTCATGCCAGGAGACTTTATTAGTTTGGGTTTTTTAAGTAGATCACACTTGTGTGTGAGCTCAGCCTAACATCGTGCAAAATCCCAGACGGTATTAAAACGCTGTCATGAACATGACACAAAGTATGACGCTGAAGTGCCATTCTGGCACCGTCTGCTGTTTTCCCTAAACAACTCTCAAAGCGAAACAGGAAAAACCTGAAAAATTGATGGTCAGGCAGTTTAAGATGCGAGTGAATCTAGACGCAACTGTCTGCTCCCAAACGGAAATAGCACACATCGCCAACTATGCATGCAAACAAGAAAAATACACTGAATGGTTTAATGCCATGTAGGGTTTTCCGGGATGCTAAGCTGAGCTCACTGATGAGAGTGATCTTCTGTAAAGACCCTAACCGAAATAGATCTCTCAGCATAATTCCAGCGTAGTATTTCCATGCATCTACTTGAGGTGAACATTCTCTCCCCTTTGTCTTGCACTGATACTCATTAGAGTTCATATTTGACTCCAATGCTAATTTTTGGAATTTTTTGGCTTGATTACCCCGCAAAATAGTGCACTATACTACCATCTTGTTGAACACCTACTTCATCACTATTTTGTGTTGTTATCAAGTTACTTATGAAAAGGTTGTTTCATGTTACTTTTTGGTTTAAACCAGCACGGTCGACAGGCTGATACAATGATAAGATGCCACAAGGAACTCTTGACCTATTAAAATAATAATATCAGAAAACAGAAAAATAGAGATTGAGCTAGCTACGATGAAGGAAGGATATAAGTTAATGAAAGGAACAAAATGCCGCAAAAAAGAGAAACTTACCTTGGGCTTTGGTCGATGAGTATCAACTGCATCAACTGCAAATTTGACAAGTTCCATTTTACATCCATACGCAACAGGTGTTAATTTAATGATGGTATGAAGGGGTACACTGAGATAAGGTAGCTCGTCTGAAACAAATAAAAGGAAACTCAGCATACGATTCTCATTTAGCAGAGGGGAACCAGCGCGATTGCAATGTTGTAAAAGAATAATATAAAGCTTTTGTTTTTTGGTAAAAAAATTGATGATACTGAAGCAAAACGATCTTACAAATTTTATTAGAACGCGTATATGTAGTACTTTTTTAAAGCAAAGAAGAAGTTGTACAATTTTGAAAATACTGTACTTGCGTTGGTTTCTTTCTACTAAACGTGATACATTTTATCAAACTGCTAGGTAGGTTTTAGAATCAAAAGTAGCGATTAATGAAAATGACCGATTCAAAGGATAATTCTGAAATAATTATCAAAGTTGTTCCAACACTAGAAAAATTAATGGGGTGGCTCACTCTACTCATATTTGTATCCGATTGTGTTATGGACTACAAATTTGGTTTTTGTATCACGGAACCTCCTTCCTGCTATTTAACTATAAACAAGGCTGAATTTTGAGAAGTGTGTATTTTTGCTTTGAGTAAATGGTTAAACATCATTATTGCTGCCTTATTTTGTGAAATTTCCTCACTTTCACTAGCTGGCCTGATGGAGCCAGCGCAAAGGTTTTTTGATGACATTTAGGGAACTACATGAGACTGTGCGTAGAAGGAAAGGGACCAGCAGCCTGATTGTTGAAATTTTTTGTTTGTCGGGACGACATAGATGACATAGGTTAAAAGGCGGAGTGTGATTGGTCGGCCCGACATAGGTACAACAAAGCAGCGATAAGGCATAGCCGACCAATCACTCTCCGCCTTTTAACCTATGTCATCTATGTCATCCCAACAAACAAAAAATTTCAACAATCAGGCTGCAGGCTTGCTCATCATTTTAACAGTGCCCTAGACCACTGCCAGAGGCATGATGCATATGAAATGCATATGGTTTGTTTCAACTGCAATACTTGAATTGGGTCATGCATGTAATATTTGAATTCAGTTCTACATGCAATAAGATTCTAAAAATGTTAATTTTTAGGTGAGGTGTTTTGGACAATTTTACGAAATAAAAACTCCTTGCTGTTGACACCACACTCTCATTACTTTATATGACTATGAAGAGTGTTAAAATTAGCAGAGATATGCATTTTAGAAACTTTAACCCTTGGATGACGAACCGAATTTACGAGGCCTGGCGGCTTCTTATTTTTCGCACCACGGCAGCTGTAATTGTCCGAAAAGTCTGTCCTTCATAAATAGCTATACAAAAACTCTTAAAAACATAGGTAATTCTTGAAAAAAAAAATTTAAATTTTTTTTTTTTTTTAGGCACAGCAATTATTTTTCCATGTCTACCCCTAGAATGACTGACCCTGGCCTGCAAGGCCCATATTGAGAATATATGGTTATTTGATAACTGCAATGTTTTTTTCTCTGTTTTTGGAAGAATTTTGTGATTTTCATGTTCATCTTCTACAACCAAGGTCCCAAATTTTGTATCTGCTTGAAAATGTTAAAAAACAGGCATGGCACCTATGTGTAAAAAAATGTACTATGAGTCAAAGCTATGTCCTCCCTCCTGACAACAGTAGGGCAGTGCTGAGATGACTTTTAGTAATTCTAGTGTGATTATACCTAAAGGTGAATACATCTATATTTATTATATTTCTTCATGTTGTTGAATATTGTTGAAGTTTAAAACAAAATAGTGATTTCAACATGATATTGAAAATCATAGAAATCAATAAATAATTGAGGTGGTGAAAAGAACCTCCTTTTCTTATCTCTAAATCTTCCTAAATGATACGTTAAAAGTTAGTCCTAAAAATTTTATTTGAAGGTTAAAATCTGCATCCACTCCATATTATCTGACATTCAATACTATGAAAAGTGCGGTTTTAAGAGCATTCATAAATAACCAAGGACACTGGGCAACATGATTTCGAGGCAATATATTCCACGTTTAAGACTCATCAAATAGTTAAAGTAAATCCCTTTAACAAGAACTTACCGGCTGATTTGTCAAGGAAGTATGCAAGAAGACACCGAATGACTGCTTGATGACTAACGACTAATACATTTCCTTGGCGCTCTAGTTCCATTATCACAGGCTCTAACCTTGCTACGAGATCTTCGTAGGATTCTCCACGAGGGTAGCGATAGGTAAATTTCGCTTGGTCTCTGGCAGCAAAATCCTCTGGGTATTTTTCTGCTATTTCTTCATACGTCATTTCTTCACAGATACCCTTAAAAGAAAAACAAACGAGACACCCAAATGTTAATAAAAATAATCTTTTGACCCAGTGCTTATCTGAAGTAAATATTTTTTTCTTGTACCGGAATTTTCACTTCACCAAATATAGGTCAAAGAAATTACTCAAATCCAGTCAGAAAAAAAAATTGATAGCTTCTCATACCATTTTACACTCTTTAGCGCAGCTTTACTGCTCTGGAGTATAGGTTGCTACTATACAGTTAAAGTTTGTTCACTCATTAACGTTCATAGATGAGAATACTCGTCAGTGCCAAACCAGGACATACAATAGCGCGTAAAGGAGGTAGCTTGAACAGTTACTAGCCAATTGCTCTGACCGTTTCTGTCAGATTACCCGATAGATATCACCATGAATATTGCTCTTAAGATCTTTCGAGAGTATTGCCTCAGATTGTTTGTACTGCTAGATGCAGCAGGCAAAAAAATGCTTGTACCCAAATGGATTTAATAGTTTGTTGTCCTCATGATCTTTGTTGCCAATGCTACTTAATGAATGACTAGCATAAATCTTGCTAATTTTATTAAGACCAGTACTCTTAAATGAAGAGAGGTATTCAGTCCCCACCGAGAGGTTAACTTTGCCATAACAAACTTACGCACTGTGCACTGATCTATTAAAAGCTACCTTCACAAGTTAATGAAATTTAAACTGTAGCAGACTGAAATTTGTTAGCAGGATCAGTCCATGAAATTTTGCGCTGCAAAGGATTGTAGAAAAATATTTTTCTCCATTTTTCTGAGATAATCAAAAGGCGCATCCTGTTGAAATGCATAACGATCTTTGCAAAAAAATTGTGCATGCTTGAAATAACACTTTCAAAAACATCACCTGTAATGAAAGTTGGTAATATAGCTACAATCCAGAGGCAAATCAACTATTATCTTGATGGATTGACCGTGACGATTCACAGCCTAAATGAGCGTATTGAGTGGAAAGCAATGCAAAAAACATAATTAACATGTTCGATAATATTTTTAGGCGAATTTATGGTTCCTCTTGGTGTCAGAGGAAATGCATATTTTTATTAGAATTCGATGCTAAGGTTGCAAGAAGATGTTCAGCAAAAACGTCCTGACTCATGAAGCAATGGCAATTTTCTGCAAATATCTGATCACACTACTATATGACAGCCCCTGAGGGACTTCATAGGGTGATTAGAGCTAGAGAACACTTCTTATTGATAAAAATGATTGTGCAAAACTTAAAAAGCACATTAATTTTTGCCGATAACGTATTTCCTTTTCCAGGCAATCGTTCTAAAGTAAAAACATGAAAACTTACTGCATCTATTTCATTTAGTGCTTTCCATCTTTCTTGAGGGGCAGCAACACTGGCGACTGTTTGTATTGTTCGTTGTAACCAGGATGTCCATACTCTTAGGCCGGAAATATTTTGCTGCTGAATGTACTGAGCCAGTGAATTTGCATACTGTTTACCTCGCCACGATAATTCTGAGTCTCCTCCAATTCTACCTTCCATATTCTGGACACTTTCGCCATGCTAAAAAAAATCTTAGTATTAATTGTAGCTTTAGCATGGTAACTGAATCAAACCGATATTACAGGCAGGAAAGATGGGAGCTGGGATGGTAAAAAGACTATGTTAGGCCTACGTTTTTGGTACTTTGTTTCTTGTCATCTTTATTTACATTTTTAGATGACACTGGGTTCACTTGTCTGGTAAATAATTGGCAGTGTCATATGAATGTATTGTCTCCATCTACGACGCATAAAGTCAAATTTTGAAGATAGTAAAGAACAGGACTATTTAAATATGTTTCGGAGTACCCCACAAAAGGAGGCATTATTTCTTTGCAAGCATGATTTTTCATGCAGTTTTTCTCTGCGGATTACTTTTCAGTACCAAAAATTGTGGAAATTAAGTATCTGCAGGCCAGTTCCTTTCAAAGTCAAAGACCCATTGGGGCACGTTTCAATGTTTTAAATTTATAGTTTCTTATGCTTTTTCATAAAAACGCTGAGTTCTTGGCAAAAAATGTTTAAGCGCAGCTGTTTTACTCGTGCATGTCAGCATTTCTGTTCAAAAAACTTCAACCATATGCTTACCAAGATAACTCCAAATAAAATTTTAAATAAATTATACATAAAAATGTAAGAAATAATTTGAAACTTACTCGACTTAAGTATATAGTTCGTGGAACAATATGAATGTTCATTAAATAGTAAACTATTCGGGCTTGAATGTGCCCTTCATGTTTGTGAACAACTACTTTTTCCCCTGTGTTATATATTTTCATAAAACTTAAGTCAGACTCCAGAGCTTCATCTAATGCTTCATATTTTTCTTGATAATGCTCAATCCTCTGTAGAAAATCTTGGAGCGCTGCTTCTGTGTTCATTTCTTTGTAATCAGGACTATTTACTTTGACTTCCTGTGGACAAAAAACAAAAATCTAATTATAACTTTAAATGAGGGACCAAAACAAAAAATTCTAGTTGACAGCACACTGATGAATATGAATGTGTCCTTCAATATTTCAACATTTTGGTGATGAAATTACATTTCTTCAGTTGTATATTGTACAACAAACCTCTGACTGGGTTTTTTCGCAAAAAGTATAAGTTAAAGTTAAATAAAAAAGTTAGCATTAAAGTTAGCATTTAAAGTTTTAGTCCCTTCAGCATTTTCACATACATACAGGGTATGCGAAAACTGTAGGTTCTTATCTGTAATCGTTTCAAAATGGCGGCCAGTGAAAAGGCAATACTGTAGAAAATTGATATCTCCGTTCTTGATGGTTTAGGATAAAAATCTATTATTATGGGTATCTTAGTACAAAAAACAAAAACAAATATGACGTCAGAACTCAAAAATAATGCACTATTATTAAGAATGCTGATATCAAAAAGCCGCTTACATCGTTATTGGCATGCGATCTTGTTGCATCACTCCAATGAATGTTAGGACCACTTACATTGTGACGAATTTTTAGTCCCAAAACAATGTTGACTGGATTTGCCTCCAAGACTATTTGCAAGACTTACACAAATTTCGCTAAATACTACTATAGTATTTGAATACTTTTTGTTTCACCTTCCATTTCAGCACAGGGTGTCTACTGGTACGATCTCATTTCCTTTCCTCATTCTAAGTTTGATACATGTACAAAATGACTAAAACGATCAAGACAAACATTACTTGGAATATGTACGATTAAATTATTTATACTCTCACCATAATGTTTTGTTCAACAATTTTTGGATCATCACAGACAGACTCCACAAAAAACAGTTTGAAACCCATTTTTTCTACAACAATATCATGAATCATTCTCCTACGTTCCATAGTTGAGTTGGTTGCATCAAATACCTGAAAAAAGAAAAGTTACTAGATTTAAACTTCTTTTACTAGATAAATATGAAAAGGAAAATACAAGGTCATCTAAAAAGTAAGTTTTCCTATTTTATATCCTCCAGACCAAAAGTTTGAAATATTGAATTAATAAATCAGGCATTTTATAGTTTTGAGACAAGGTAGAGATTTTGGAAAATAGTCGACAGGCTTTGAAGCAAAGGACATCTCCACCATGTGAGCAGCTGGCCGATCGTGTTCAATTGCAAGCAACAATGGGAAAGCCCCTAGGACTGGTTTTGAAAATAGGAAATGCAGCTCATTTTAGTATAAAAGAGGCATAATTTTCTCTCTCTCTCTCTCTCTCTGCTAGCAAAGCTACAACACCACTCCGTCTTAAAAATTTTCTTTTCTTACACCCTTTCATCTTTTTGTCATGAATTTAGTTCAGGGCCTTATCCTCCAACCCTTCATTTAAATAAATCTAATAATAATTTAATCCACCCTGTAAAAGTGTTGAGGGTGCTGAGGTGAGGGCGGCCCTGTCATCTGTTTAGTTAAATGATTCTTCCTTGTGATAGATCCTGTCAATTCCTTGTACAGACTTTCCGGGTCCAAGGGAGTGAATCAATATCATCCGAAAAATATACTACGCACAATGAGAGCATGCCCATCCATGGAATAAGATTCATTACATAAGTTTCTAACCGTAGAGCAGCTAAAATGCTGGTACTTACTTCGTAAATGTGACAATATACCTATTGATTTTACTGACTCTCATAAATTATCTCTTCCCTACCTTCCAGATAATCATGAGCCCTCTTCCCTCTTCAATCATTACTTGCATGTATTTTCTTGTGGGAAAATTACCCCTGGTTGTTCCTATGCTGCACACGTACATTGCTGCTGGCTAGAGAAAGTTTATGAGAGTCGATTTTCTCAGGACTCTTGGCTTGTGCACTTCTCTGTTATTCCTGTTAAATTTGAACGGCAAAGATTTTCTGGATTCAATAGAGTAGTCCTTCTATTTTCTCAAATTCACAATTACTCCACACTTGTATGTGCTTAGCATGCACCAAACTAAATTCTCTTAATTAAAGTAAAGCCAAAAGATTAATTTTTGAGGCCAAATTAGGTTTGGAATGACGTACTAACAAGAAAGAACTTACAGCTACTTCACCGCCTCTATCCAGCCATGAGCAGACATCATGAAGAGCATCAATGGCACATTGTGTTCGGATTGCCATCGCTTCTCTATTGTCCTGTCTAAAGAACTCATGGCTTTTGTAAGCGGTTGTTGCATGTCGTCTATATTCTCCTAAATTAAACACTGAAAAAGAAAAATCAAATAATAATAATAATAATGACATTCAACATAAAATGGAAAAAAAATTCGACACAAATAAACATTCAATATCTAAAAATTAAAGATGCAGCAGTAAAAAACATGTTTATTGGTTACATCGACAAAAGATTCTAATGCAAGCATCAACTTTGGCAACAGCTTCGAGGGACTCTCACCTGCGCCCTTAGGACCACATTACAAGGTGCAAAATCAAGGAGAATATATGTCTCATTCATCATTTTATCAAAGGGCTTAATTTTGAGGAAAATTGTTAAGAAATTATTTTGTTCAGGAGGATATCTGACATCAGAAACCAAATTTTTTTTTTCCCACCAATCACCGTCTAAGCCTGAAAAATTCCTATTTAATTTTTTTTCTGTTATAATTTCTTTCAGGTGTCAGAAAATAAATCCCTTCAAAGTCTGATGAGGCGCTGCCTTGCCTACCACATCGATAGAAAACTCTGCATCCATTAAGAACTTCAACTGATTGTGAGACAAATGAATGAAGGGTTCATTCTCGCTTGCTTTACACTTTTCAAAATCGTTGTACTTAAAATATTTTAAGCATTTCTTGGTGATGTACAATTCTGTAGGAGAAAAAGAAGAAGAAGAAGAAGAAGAAGAAGAAAAAAAGTACGGAACAGTTTAGGTGTTGGTGTGGTCACCTTTGGTGTTGATTCCAATCCAATTCAGATATCTGGACAACTTCTTGGAAATGTAAGTTTTACCTCGGGCTGGCAGCCCTACCATGGCAATGACGTGAGGACTGTTGACATAGTTGGCGCGTTCGCCTGCAAAACAAAAATAAGATCATAATTAAGTAGATGAATCACTCACGCTGATCATACTTGATGAGCTCCTAGCAAAAACGAGCTTTTAAACAATTCACATTCACGGATGTGCTCACTAATCGTATCGAGGATCTTCGCAAAGTGGGTCTACGAATTCTGGGAGTCTCCTCGAATAAATTTGATTCCTTACAGGATCTCCCCGTTGTTATGTGTAAAAATTAGAGGGAGGATTTTAGATGTAAAAAAGCACACTCAATTCATCCTCTGGATATGCATTCACGAATCAAACCCCTCTGAGCTATAAGGGTGGAAAGTTGCAAGATGAAAAGAGAGGTAAAACGAGAGAGAGGGGCCTCAACTTCTAGTGCTTTTTTGGAGCTTTGGAGTTGATTTCGGCGAAAACCAGTCGCACCATCGTGTTACTCGCAAAATTTTTCAAATGTAGCAGTACTTAAAAAGCAAGTTCTTGACACATGCAAGAGCTCAACTTATGCGCGGCGACGGAATTAAGGGACTCTGCTACCCATCTGTGCCGTTCACATTGTTGTGTGCTGCAGAAACTGCCACAAGAGTTTCTTGCTTAACTTTTCACGACTTCCAGCGCGCATTCCGGTTCTCAGTAAAATTCAGCCAAAGTATTAAAAAAAAATATATATATATATATACAAATTGGATTTTGATGACGTTCGGACCAAGTTTTATCAAGTTCGCTTTTTGTTCGATTTTAGGCCCCATGAAATTGAAAAAAAGGTCGGTTGAAGTTTTTTTATAGCCGAAAAACTTAGAAATATTAGCATTTTTTAATTCAATTTTTCAACGACACTCAGGTAGAACAAGACGCGGCGAATTTCTTATGCTAGCATCTCAATAAACCTGAGCGACGCATTCAGTGATATTGGTAGATGTTGATAATATCGTACTGACACAACTATTTGTACTCAGTGGACACGCATATTGCATATGAAAAAATGGAAGGCGCTTCAGTCACTCTGGTCTATGAGACAATGCACGCAGCAGCATGTGGTGCCATCATGCGTAGGTGGCAAGATGAAATTCTCTGATTATAAGGCGGGAGAAGGATATTTTTGTGTTATATTCACATATTAGAAACTTACCCCCTGACCGCTTTGTAGTTCCAACCCCCCCTTCTCTCTCCCAAGAGTCCAAAAAACTTTTAGAAAGCTCCGGAAAGGATGCGGCGAGGGCCTCAATTTATTTGCACATCACTTGGAGAAAATTCTGGATAATTCGAGTTAATTCCAGAGAGACTATCGTCGGTCATCGCATGAGACCTTTCAAAAATCCGAGAAAATTCTAGAAAGTTTCGAAGAGGAATAATTAGGGTCTCCTTTTACTTACAAGTACTTGAATGAAGACAATTAGAAAGAGTTTTAGAAAGTTCTTGAGACGGTTAGTATTTGTCGCCATGTGACATCCTTCTTGAGTCTAGGATATTAAGTCCATCGCGATCAGCTTTATTATAGAGATATTATAGAGCAAAGATATCCCACCACCACACCGACGTGACAGCGTGTGGCTGCGAGTACTACTTAATGGGCTAGAATGACCGCAGCGCCTTAAATTTTTACGACGCAACACGGATGCCCATAGTGCACGGATGGTTGCATTTCAGCGTTATTACCGATACCATTGGCCAATTCTCAAATATAAATTTCAGAAGCGTTTAGGAAAAAGACCGCAGGAACACTCAGGCGTTGCCAAAATTCCTCTGATTAAATATGAATTTCCAGGAAAACTTGAGAGCTTCGATTTTTTGTACTTTCAGAATATTTTCTACACAACTTAGGTACAGTAGACTCTGGATTATCCGGATTAATTGGTGCCGGGCCCGATCCGGATGAGAAAGAAATCCGGATAATAATAGTAAACACAAACACCACCAACCAACACCAGAGTATTCTTATTATGTAGGTATACATCATGTACATACCAACACGAATTTAAAAGGTTAACGCCAAACTGAACGACTCAATGGTGATTGTGGATGGTAGCCGACAACGATAAATTACAATACAACGATTAAAGCGCGCAATGCGTGAAGTATTCATGCAGTCTTGTAGCCGCTAATGTGCGTTTTAGGCTAACTAACCGACTGCACTGCGTTTGGCGTAATGCGAGAAGTATTTATGCAATCTAGTAGGCGCTAATGCGTTCCATGCCGACCTCACTGTTTGGCGCAATGCGTGAAGTATTCCTTCAGCCTTGCAGGCGCCAATATGCCTTGCGACCGCTTCTCCGCGGATCCGCTCACTTATCGGAATGCGTACGTAGTTACATGGTTACAAAATCGATCCGGAAAATCCAGAGTCCGGATAATACGAAGCCGGATAATGTCTTTGCGGATAATCCAGAGTCTACTGTACTTAAATGATTCTAAGAAAGGAAATCCTTATTCAAGGAAATATATTCTTAACTTTCCTAGGAAAATAAGTTTTAACAATATGAAAGTTGGCAACGACTGGATTTTCAAACTGCGTTTTTCCGGCGCGGCAATTTTACTTTTGGAGCAACCAAGGCAAGGCTGGCACGGGTGGTATTATGAAACACCCGAACCGCTTTTCCCCCAGAACCCGAGACTCCTCGTTACGAGGAGTATAAAATGAACAATTCAGAAGACCGGTTTCGGCGCAGATCGAAAACTGCGATATTGATGTTTTCGTGGACGTGGACTAGAACTTTCATAGAAAAATTAGGTCTATGTATACACAAAAAGATCAACGGCGGGAGCCTTACGAGAGTCAAAAAAATTAGTTCCTTTTCGCGTGGTTCTGTCCACTTCAAAACTAATTCATTTTTTACAGACCTGCCGAACAACCTTATCTGGGATGGGCACAATTTACGATATGAACCCACCTGAAGAGGCTTTCATCATGAATCTAAAGAGGAACGGTTAGGTATAGATGGAGTCAACTTGCGACCTTCCCAAGGCAACCGAAAGAAAGGGGTAAGATCAAACGACAACTTAATGACGCAAGCAATGCAGTGCCCATATAAACTGAGCAAGCAGTAAAATATTCGTACGTATTATGTAAACTCAGTGATAAGAATAAATCTAACAGCCTGCACAATTGATTGGCTTCTGAGATAAGGTGGAAGTTAAGTATTCCTAAACTGCTACTTCTTCAGGAAGCAAATGTAAGATTAGAGCGAGACGATCGAAAATGCATAGGTAATTAGAGAATAATTAAACGAATGGACTCCGTCCCACTACATTGATGGTAGGGCAACGGGGGGAGGGGGGGGATTCGCGAAAATAAGCGATTTTATAATATCGATGGCTAAAATACGAAATCACGTATCTCCATTTGCAACGTTGCAGACTTCCTGTCATACTTACTTTATTTTTTCTTCGGGATCTGTCAGCGAAATATTCTGTGCAAGCAAGCTTGGCTTGAATCTCTTCAAAATGTAAAATAGGAGGCACATTTTTGAACACCGCAATGGGAATAAGTGGTTTTGCACATAGACCATCGATAGGTTTAACGTGGGTAGCGTTCAGCAACTGGTAACCATAAAAAAATTGAGGTAGTTTTTGGCTTGTGTAAAGCCATATTTTTTAATGTCAAAAATATTATGTTCAGCATCAGCTTTGCCGACATATACGTAAAATATACTTCAATTTCTCCCATTCGTTAGCTTCCGGAAATTTTTCAGTCACACCATACAGTAAAGAGACGGTCCAAAAATCTGAGGGTGGTCAGCATTCAAGAAAGGAAGGAGACATTGTACTTGATTCTTAGACCTTCCGTTCTTAGTCATGTAATGTTAGGATATGATAAAAATGAGCGTTAGTATGCCTCGTAAATTATTGTTACTAGCCCGTGGACACCCTGTATTGTTTCCGACGGCAGTGAGCGGTCCAATTAACACCGCGGAAAATGTTCCTATCAAATACACAGAGACAAGAATTTCAGGCTGAACAACTGAAAATTGCTTAAACAAGCTTTAAGAGGGATAAAATTTCCTTTTGCCTCAAAAATAATTCGTCTGCAGCATATTTGACCGGAATTTTTTCTGAGTGAACAATAAGCTGATACAGCAGGAATTTTTTCTGAGTAGACAATAGGGTTCGATTTTGGATGCCATCTGGGCTGGCAAACCAATTTTTTTTTTTAGTTGATCACAATTTTTAGAGACCAAAATTAATGTTTGTATACGTGCTACACACGGCGCGAGAAACTTTCCGAGAGGCGCAAATTAACCATTGAAATGCAAAACGGGATTGCTACACTGTTTCAAGAATTCACGGCGGGTTGCTTCTGAATTTTTTCAGGCGTCTTTTTGGGCCAGTGCTTCGAGTTTTCAGATGCCAAGGCTTCATTTTTACATACATTTTGCACATGACGCCTGGTAAAGTTGAAATGCTTCCTAATAGTGCACCGAAAAAAGAAGTTCGTTCTAAAACTGTCTCCCTCTGACTTTTCAGAAACACATATTTTAGTAATAATTGAGGCGGGGGACTTGGAACGCAGGGTGCATAAATGTAGTTTCGTAAAAAATCGAGATATTAGTGATTTCAACTAAAACTAAGTAATCTTGGAATACATTTTGAGAAAAATTCACCTGTGAAATCCAATTTTTAAGCATCAAAATATGAGTTTCGCCTTCCTTTCCGCCATTAGGCTCTATGCAATTTGGAAAATTTTAACACGTACCTACTTATCGAAACAGCAAAAACTGCACTGTCCTCCGAGCCCCTCAACTTAAATGTGTTTAAGGCGATTTTAGAAGACAAACTAGGCTTTCTATGGGTAAAACTTTCTTCAAATGTTAAAAAATATTTTTCGCTTTTCGACTTTAGAGTTAAGATATTAAAGATTCTTTTTTAGAGGAACCCCCTTTAACAACAATTCTAAAATAAGAAAAAAATTCTCGATGACTATAATTTTAATATGCATTTCAAATATTTTTTTATAAAACCTTTTGAAAATGATTTTAAAATACTAAAAAATGATTGGAAAACTTCAACAAGTCTTTCG